GAATTGGCCAGGCTCAGTGGCTCAGCCTGTAATCCTAGCACTTTGGGAGGCTGAAGCGAGAGTATTGCCTGAGCCCAGGGGTTCGAGACCCACCCAGGCAACTTGGCAAGACCTTGTGTCTAGAATAAGTCAAAAATTAGCTGGACATGGTAGCACGCGCCTGTAGTTCTGGCTACTTGGAAGGCTGAGGTGGAAGGATCACAGGAGCCCAGCAGTCGAGGGTGCAGTAGCCAAGAGCATGCCACTGCCCTCCAACCTGGGTGACAAGAGTGAGACTCCCAACTCAAAACAACAATTGTTTTTCTGTTGATTCTTTTATCATTATGAAATATTTATCTTTATTTCTAGAAATACTCATTGTCTTAAAGTCTACTTTGGTACTAATAGCACCACACAAGCTTTCTTAATCCTTATGTACTTACATGGTACATCTTCTTCCATCTTTTTACTTTCAACTTATTTGTATTTTCAAACAGATTGCTTTTTAAAATTGATTTTGACAATCTCTTTTAATTAGTGTTTAGTCCATTTACATTTATTATAATTATTGCTATAGTTGGGTTTAACTCTGCCATTGCTACTATTTGTTTTCTATTTGTCTCATCTATGATTTTTTTCTTCTTTTTCTCTTTTCCTATATTCTTTTAAGCTAACTAAATATTATTCCATTTTATTCTCTATCAGCTTTATTTTTATCAATCAACTATGCTGAGGAATAATTTTCACTAATTTTTTTCTTTAACTTTAAAGAAACCTCTTAGGAAAACATCTCTGTCTTATAAATAATTTTCACTAATTTTTTTCTTTAACTTTAAAAAAACCTCTTAGGAAAACATCTCTGTCTTATAAAGACATAATACAGCAATTTATTCAATTTCACCTCAGTTTCTTTTTCTTCTGTTAAATTTAACTAAAACAGAAATGCCTTATTAAAAAAAATTACCAATGTTAAGTGTACAAATGATGAGTTCTGATAAACATATAGTCGCAAAATCACCACCAAAAACAAGATATAGAACATTAAAAAGTTCCTTTGTACCTCTTTGAAACCAGTCCTACAACTCTCCCCTGACCTCAGGTACTACTTTCTATCACTTTGATTTTGTCTTTTCCAGTATTTTGTATAAATATCATATAGTATGTTGTCTTTTATGTCTGCCTTCTTTCACTTAGTACAATGCTTCTGAGGTGCATCCATGTTGTTACATGTATCAGTTCATTCCTTTTTATTGCTGAGTAGTAGTTTATAATATGAACAGTTTACAATTTGTTTATACATTCACATATTGATGGATATTTGGCTTGTTTCTGCTTTTTGCCTATTATAAATAAAACTGTTGTGTACATTTGTATGCAAGTATTTGTATAAATGTACTTTGATACATTCTGGGTAAATTCCTAAGAGTGAGAACCCTGGCTCTACAGTAAGTGTATGTTTAAATTTAGAAGAAACTTCCAAACTTTTCCAAAGTGTATGTACTATTTTGCACGTCCCTCAGCAATGTATGAGTTTCAATTACTCTGTATCCTCACCAACACTCGTCGTCAGTTAATTATAGCCACTGTAGTGGGTGTGTAGAAGTATCTCATTTTTCTTTAAATTACTGTCAATTTCACTAACTATAAATTTAAACTATGCCAAATAAGAAATGAGTAGTTAAAATATTAATGCTGTCTCTTAATGTCTACTTTCTTATAAAATTAGAGAACTCTCTTAAAAACAAATAGCTCTTGCTATGAAGAATCATTTATAGTACATCAGTTTCTTCAGTTTCAAATGCAACTAAAATATAGATTAATGCATTTTATTTTTAGAAAGAGTAAGACTTTTTTTCTCATCTATACCCTTTATGTATTTTTGAAATTTTCTAGCATGAACATCTGCTACTTTTATACTAAAAAAAAAACCCCAATAAATTAGTTTCTTAAAGAAAAAGATGACTTAATACTATAAGAAAGGGATTGGCAGTAGTGGGACACTACTGGTGGGGGAAATAGCATCAATAAGGGTACCCACACTTTACCTGTATGATGACCACGTATGTCCCTAACCCTCAATGTATCCATTTTAAAAATAAAATAAAACAATTTTTTTAAAAAAGAAAAAGATGACTCAAGATACTAATCTTGAAAACAGACAGTAGGGGCAACATAATACTGCTTTTCATTTTAGAAACTCAGTAGCAAAATCCTGGAGCTACAATATCATCAAATTTAGTACTCTGATTATCTCTTAAAATCTAGTAACATAATGTTGCCTTCATTTCTATATGAGAACTCAGTGTGACCACCAAGGAGTAATTCACTGTAACTTCCTATTATCTGACATTTGCCTAGAACCTTTACAAGGTTGTTGGGTTCCCCCCCTCCCCTCCCCCGCATGGTGGTACTGTACATCTGTTGCACCTCCTGCCCACTTCTCCACTGTGGAGCCCAATACCCTCCTAACCAAGCCCCACCAAAACGTATTGAAATGAAAACAAAGCAAACACCATGTTATCTGTAAAGTATAAATAAAGGAAATTTGGGATAAACACGTCATCTTTTCTTCAACACTTATTTTCTTTTCTTTTTTTTTTTTACTTTACACAAAACCTAAGAGCCCAGTTCTTGAAATATACAAAGATAACCTCAGCAAAACAATTTATAATAAAAGTGGCATTTGTGAATTAGAGCAGGTCAACAGTGCTTATTTGTATGCACACTGCTAATTTGTATGGCTTTGTCAGTTGGTTGCATCATTTCAGTACCTTGACCTATCACACTACTTTGAACATAACATAAATCAGGGCAAGGTTTATGATAAAGGACTCTGCATTATTCAAAGGGAGTCAGTTCATATTTTTTTGCAAGAATAACATAATTGTTTCATTATGCTGTCTTCAGTATGCTACATAACTATTTCTGTGCAACTTATCTTCAAGTATTTCTCTTTGTCCTTTTATTCAAGGGAGTTTGTTAGTGTTACCTTGAAATTTCCTTTATGTTGAATAAAACCAACTGGATAAATTCATGTTATGGGTTCTTTCTCTAGTGCCATTTTTTTTTTTTTTTTTTTTTGAGTTGGAGTCTCACTCTGTCGCCCAGACTGGAGTGCAGTGGCTGCTCCCAGCCACCGCAGCCTTGACCTGCTGGGTTCCGGCAATCCTTCCACCTCAACCTTCCAAGTAGCCGGAATTACAGGCATGCGCTACCACGCCCGGCTGATTTTTTGATTTATTGTAGAGATGAGGTCTCGCTGCCCAGACGGGTCTCGAACCTGCGGGCTCAGGCAATCCACTCACCCCAGCCTCCCAAGGCGCGGGATTACAGGCTGAGCCACCGAGCCCGGCTTCTAGTGCCATTTTTAAGCAAGACAAAGGTCCCCAAGACATTATGACAGATCATTAAAGCTTTCAAAGATACAGATTCCAAAGAGTAATAAGCTTTTACAATAGTAGAAAAGATGTGTCTGTGTGTGTATACACACATCTATTGCAATATTCCTCTATACAAGAATGGAATATTACCCTAAATCAGAAAATTATATCCTAACATAGAGGTCTGCCCAAGAAAAGATATCGCCTGTTGAGCTTACTTGCATCCTGATAAGTTTACTTGCATCTTTCTAAAGGACTTTCTGTAGAAATACACACACACACACACACACACACACACACACACACACACACACACACACACTAGATCCACACGGTATAAGAGATTGTTTTTAGAGATGCTGGTTTCTGGATCACAAATGAACAAGAAATACCAACATCAACTCAGGATGTGAAGTAACTAGTTGGAGGAAAAAATCTAGGGCTCAGTCAGCATGGAATTAGTGACAAATGAGAAGGCTCCAAAAAACAGTTCCCAAAAGATATGTTAGGAGAGAGGTCTGAGGAGTCAACAGGTGATTTTGGGATTAAAGCAATAGAAATGTAACCAACAGGTCATAATAAAGGCTAGCAGTATGACAATCTAATAAGTCCTCAGCTGATTCCTGAGATTTATGTAAAGGGAAAGAAAAAAAATACCTAAGCATTAGATCATGGATCAAGAATCACAACTCTGAATAAACTGCCCTGCAGGAACCTTTCACACAGGTGGAGCTACTAAGTATGCCATCCCCACAACCCTGAAAATTTCTATGAATGAATTAGAGAGCAATTTCATTCCTGAAAATAGAAAGCCCTGTAGAAAGATGCAAGTAAGCTCAACAGGGGATATATTTTCTTGGGTAGATAACTCTGTGAGGATGTGATTTTCTGATTTAGGGTAACATTGCATTCTAGTATAAAAGAAAACAAGACATGAAATTCATCATGTTAAATTTAGATAAGTTAGTAACTTATGAGACATATTAGACAGAAAAAATAGAGCATATGTGTGTGACCACAGAGACAGGAGAAAGATATACCAAATATACATAAAGCACTAAAATTATGAAAAGCAACAAAGACACTAAATATTCATGACACGCTAAGTACGCATAAGACATATAAAGCCCTCAATATGTGTGAGAACTTGATTCAATTACTTATTGGTGACACTTATTCATGACTGCTCAGCAGACTAACTGGCAAGTTACAGCTGTGGTCAAGTGTACCTGCCCCAAGTCCTTTCTATAGAGCATATCATTGGTCTTAGGCACATTTCATCTGATTGAGTCCACTGGATCAAACTTCAACTCTGGTCCTCTTCATAACTAATAGGGGAAAGCTGATGTAACAGACTAAGCGTCAGGACATAAGAACCTTATATAACCTGCGATTCTGGAGTTCCCTTCTAGGCACCATACCACCCTAATTGTGGTACTCTACCCTATCACTTTCTTCTTGTTCCTCACTGTGTATTTCATATTGATTTAATAAATCATATGTTTCAAGTATCCTCATTTGGTTTGTAAACCTTCTTGTTCCTTGACCTCTGGGGTAGTTTGCTTTATAGTGTATTTGGAGGCTACCATTGCACAATGTTGATTTTCCACAAAGCACATGAACAGAGACAGAGACTGCAAAGACTTCTGGTCTTATTTTATTTAGGCACACGCTCTATCTTAAGCATACATAGGCTCTAAATCTCTTCTCATAGCTCATTATTCCCAATCTGCAACAGGCTTAACTTGTCTCTTCAGAACCAAAAACATATCACATTGAGAAAGTTAACTAATCTAAGTATTACAGCTGCAATAACAAGGTTGTAGATTTCTCTTTATTGTCTCTACTAAACATCAGCCAAACCTCAGCAAATAGTTATGATGAAGTAGTGCTACAGACTGTTCTTGAGCCACAAAATGAGAAATAAATGGAAAGGATTAGCTACAAAAAAGAGGTAAGAAATTATCTATTACTGATCACAACCTTTTCTCTTTTAAATTAATGATAATAAATCAAAACAGATGCATATCAAGAAAGAATCACTCCCTATAGCAAGAGAGTTGTTTGTAAATAAAGGGTCCAGTTTGGTGACAATGTTTCAATGAAACTATAACTACAAAATGGATATTTTTGTACAAATTCTTATCATTATAAATAGAGCCAAATTTTCTGCACAATACCATGAAAGAGTAAATGCCAAATGCCACCTCTTGAATGATATTGAAAGTATAGCTTTTTTACAGGATGAAGAATAAGGCTATTAGAAACAATTCAAACTGTAAAAAGTGTCTTGAAATGCCATCTTCCACTTCCGAAAATAAAATATAAAAGACATTCAATATTTATTTAGAGCAAATATGTCTAGAGAGAGGGAGCTCATTTCAGTATTAGTTAAAATTGTTTAACTTCTTTGTAATACAGGTTATGTCAATTATCTAAATTCCGTTTTTTTCCAGTCCCCTGGTTCCCCTCTCTTTCACCTTCCTACCCTACCCCACTCCCTAAGATTTGTTAATGGGTTAGTAACCTTGACATTGTGAGAAAAACATTTCTTATCTGGAATATTTTCATGGTATCATGTAACTAACCACAAGATATATTAAAGATAGATAGGTAACGATGGATAGAAAATAAAGTTTTATATAAAAATCAGCCTTATTATTTCAGTTATATTTCTGTACAAAAATAATTATTTTGTTATATGCATACATATTTTGTGCAAAAATACAACTATAAGTAATGAGGTTAGTTTTCTTATAAAATTTACAAGAAGAGAAATAAACCTTCTTATATATATACAGCTCTAGCTATAAACACATGATTCATATATTTTACAATTATATGCAGTTCATCATTCCTTTATCCACTGAACTATGGCATAAAGGACAGAAGTTGTAGTTACTTATTTCCTGAGCAAGCATACAGTGCTTGCATACACTGCACATCCAGAACTGATATTCAGTGATTGGGCTTCCTGTGGCAATGCATATTGGCAGTCTGCCTTCACCACTGTAAAAAGAAGAGGAAAAATAATTAATTATTCTTTAAAACTTCTAATTAGTCTTAATTTATTTAATACACTTTAAAAAATGAGAAATGAAAAAATTTTCAAGATCAGTTTCAAATAAGATTAACTTTAAATGGTTTAGGCAAAAATTTTTCTTACAATGAAAACATAAAGTATTAATTAATATACTTGTTAAGACTAAATAAAATAGCATATCAATGTAAACTGCTTCAAATTTAGTGCTTTAGTTCTTATACTACACACTATATGTAGAGCAATACAAGCTTCTAATAAGAATACATCTATTAATTACAATTAGCCTACCCTTCCAGAAAGCTGTCCAATTCAGATTTTCTGTTATCTTCTGGAGGATATTTGGTGAAGATTTCTAGAGCAAGGTCTTCGTATTGCTGTTTCTGTTCTGAGCTGAGGGTCTCTAAAGATTCAAGTTTAATAAAAGCTTTTGAACAAGTACCAAAGGCTCTGCTGGCACATGCGCAGAGTGCTAACAGAGAGTAGATCTCAACAGCGGGGATAATGTCTTCATAGTCTCTCAGGTGAAGAGCTAGGAAAAAGAGGATAATTTGGGTTTTGTAAAATGATTCTGACACCATGAACACGCATGGGAACAAATCTATGTTGTGGTGTTTTAGTTTAACCTACACGAACTTTAACAAACTTAAAGCAGACAGTGTCCTGCTTTAAGCCCTCCTACATCATCTCCAAGAATCTGTGAAGCCAGCTAACAGTTCAGGTCCTAAGAAAATAACAGTCAACAAATGCTACACATGGCTGTGCTAACACAGAAATATACACACAGACAAAAACAATTTTGGTGTCAAAACTCCCATCTTTTCTTCCATTTATGTTAGAAATTTCTGTGGCATTCCAGAAAAAGTAAATTAATATTATACCATGCTGGTCAAAATTCTCAAATAATATTGTAGGGTTTTTTGTTTTTAAAAAAAGGCCAAAGTTGTATAAAATTATATGTTGTTTCTTTGAGCAGATTACTGCTTTTATGTTTGTCTTACTGAAATAATAGGACTTTGAGGAAAAGGAAGTGAAAATGAGCCTCTAAGTTGTCAGTTCAGACTATTTATTTTGACAGTTATCACATCTTATTTGCATTTTTCTACACTGGAGATATAGTCTTTCTTTAAAATACACTGAAGAATTCATATCAGATTTGTAACCAATTTGTATCTTTTTCTACTCTAGACCCAGGAATCTTAAAAATACTTTGTTATAGTACATTAAACACTTCACAAAACAAGTTTAAAACAATACATTCAAGAGTTTCACAATCAGATTCCTATAATGGTCCTGGGGTCAAATATTTACAACAAAGGTTAGTGGAAGAATTATATAAAATATAATCATTTAGTTACAGCAAACAATACTCTCTGATTTCACATCGGAAGCATAAAAGGTTCCCAGGTAACCATTACCAAGGCATACATTGTTTCAGATCATTCTATCACTAAAAGAAAAAAAAGAAAAAAATAAAGTATATGGAGAACTTCATCTGATAGGTGAAGCATCTCAAGTTAAAGGTCAAACTTTTTCTTTTATTTAATGTAAGTTTAGAAATAGTACATAAAATGCATAAAATGCCACTATTTTAAACAGTGTATAATTTGTATCACATATTAATCAGTTAAAATTAAAGTTATTTATAAACATAAAAATAATTTTTACATATAACTAATAACCAATTAGAAAAAAATTACAATACCACTGCTAATGACAACAAAAGTAGGAATAAACTGCCAAATAAAAGTTTAGAGTACACGAGAAGAAAACTACTACAAACCTTTAGAGAGAGACACAGATACACAAATGGCTTTTTTAAATTGATGTTTCTAACAAATATTGTATGTTCTCACTCATATATGTTAGCTAAACAAGTTGATCTCGTGAAGAGAATGATGGTGACCAGAAGCTGGGAAGAGTAGTGGGGATGACGAGAGGTTGGCTAATGGGTTCAGAAATACAAATAGGAGAATAGGTTCTAGTGTTTGTTAGCCCAGTGACTATATTTAACAATAATTTTTTGTATATTTCAAAATAGCTAGAAGAGAAGAGTTGGAATGTTTCCAACACAAAAAAAATGATAAATGTTTGAGATGACAGAGATCCTAATTACCCTAATTCGAGCATTACACATTGTATGCATGTTTCAAAATATCACATGTACCCCATAAATATGTACAATTATTATGTATCAATTAAGAAGAAAACAAAAACAAAATTTTAAATGATGTTCCTGGATGAGAAAACTCACTATAAACATATAAATGAACCCAATATTAATATAGTAAATGAATGAAATTCTAATCAAACTCAATGAGACTTCATTGAAACTCTCCTAACCCTCAAAAAGACTGTAAAGTTGATCTGGATGAATAAACATAAATTTTTTTTCTCCAGAAAGAAGAGTAATTATTAAGGAGAGTTTAAATATGAACAATGTAAAAGTAAAGTAACTAAGGGGATAGTATTGGCACAGAAATACATGAATAGAAAATAATAGTCTAGAAAGAGATTAAGAATGCATATAAATTTAGTTTCATGAAGGTAAAATTTCAAATCTATGAGGAAAGAATACATTCTTTATAAAGGGTTTAGGATAACTACGAAGTTATGATAAAATGTAATGTTTAATAACCTTGAAGTGGTAGACTTCCAAAGCATGGCCCCAAAGAGAAAAATATTAATTAAAAGGTTGACAGATATGACTCTATCAAAAACACTATAAATATCATCATCACAGCTACCACTTATTGAGGGCTCATAATATCCAGGTACTGTAATAAATAAATTTTCTTTTCATGAACTTCTCAATCATTAAAATAACTCTATGAGCAAGACACTATTATACCCACCTTATCCAAGGAGAAAGCAAAGTTTAGAAAGGTTAAGTAATTATAACTGCTAGGGAGAAACCAATATACATGAAAGAGGATTACTATACATAGTCTCGAAGTAGCTCTTATAAAAATACAAAAATAAAAATCATCCCTATATAACTCCAGAAACATTCAAATAAAATAATTTATCTGAAAATACTTTTTTAAAGGCCACGCTGTTAGCATAGGATTAGGGTGTAAAGCCATTTGGTGATGATCTGAGCAGCAGACAGATGATGGACAGAGGAAGAATGAGGTACACTGTGACAGTACTTGCACTGCTGTCATAGCCAAGCTGAAAGGGCAGTACTGGTTTAGTCATACCAATGTATTTATTTGGTTTGTGACATAATTCTCATAATAATGTTCTTTGGAATTAAGATATCTAAACTCGAGAATACTATTATTGTTAAGAAGAAATTGGAATCCTGCTACTGCATGTAAATAACCTTCTATAAGTTATAGTATATAAATACCATGGAATATTAAGTAGCTATTAAAAATGATTACATAGATCTACATTAACAATGAGAAAAGATAATCACAACATACTGCTGAGGAGAAAAAGCAAGCTCCAGCATGAAGAGGCATCTAAAAGGAAGTTTACTTAAATGTTAGCAGTATAGTAATAATCTGAGTTACATGATTATTTTATAAATTACAATTTAATAAATTTATTCATAAACTATATTTTATATATTTATATACATATTAATTTATAATTATAAATTATTTTATACAGTATAATAAAGTAATTATCTCTGTGTTATATGATTGTTTTATAAATTAGATTATTTTAGCATTTACTTTGTATTTTCTGTTTTGGTTGAAATTATTTGTTAAGTACCATTTTTGAAAAACACAAGATAAATACTATAGAAGTGTATATGTAAAATATGAAAATAGTTTACAACATATTGTTTTTAAAAAGTATCCCAAAGTATGCCCTATATACTTACAATATTATAAAAAATAAAATTATTTTAAAAAAGATATATATAGACCCACATACATATATATCTTTTTTAAAATAAAAGGATATAGACCTAACTATTAAGTGTTTAACTTTGAATATAGATAGACATATGAATGCTATAACATTCTGTTTATCTCAAATATCTGACATTTCTGTGAACTATATGTAGTGTTTTATGTATATTAAAAAAAGAACTTTAAAAAGTGAAATGCAAAAAACAAATCATATATAACATAATCTCAAATACATGAAAATAAGCCCATAGGAAAAAATATTACTGAAATTAATATAAAGGCAAATTGAAAAAGCTGGCCCTTCGTATTCCATTCACAATTTTTTGACTTACTATATACATTAGGTGAACTGCCTACCTGTCTTCAAGGCAGTGTCAACATATCCCTCATAGAGTTGCCTTTGTGTAAGTATAAAGAAGTGGTAGGCCTCTGCCCCTCTCCATGCATTATCTGTGAAACGACTGGTTGTAGACAGAACTTCCTCTTCCAGCAAACCAGCCAAAACAGAAGTGGCCTACAAGTAAAGCCAACCCACATTTTCCATCAGAACAAACACACAGGGTGTCAACTCCCATAGAACAAAGGTCATGACAGGGAAAATAACTTCTGAAATTTTTAGACATTAAAATATCTAAATGAGCAGATTTTTACCATTACAAAACTATCATTACAGACTTAATTTTTACTTTCTTTAAGAGCTAGTTCAACCTCTACAGAAAGCAGTGTGGCGATTCCCAAAAGAACTAAAAATTGACCTTCCATACAATCCAGCAATCCCCCTCCTGGGAATATAACTGGAATAATATAAATTGTTCTATGAAATAGACACCTGCACACACGTTTATAGCTGCACTATTCACAATAGCAAAAATATGGAACCAACCCTACTCCCCATCAAAAGTGAATTGGATAAAGAAAATGTGGTACATATACATGATGGAGGATTATGCAGCCATAAAGAACAAAATCATGGACTTTACAGAAAATTGGAGTTAGAGACAATCATATTCGGTGATCTATCACAGAAAAAAATAACTGAATATCACATGTTCTAACTCATAAGCGGGACCTGAACATTAATCACATTAGTATGAGGGAGGGATTGGCAGTTGCTAGGCACTGCTGGCGGCTATGAAGGGCACATAACAACACAAGGGGTACCTGGTCCCAAACCAGGGGAAGTGAGGGCCAGTTGGAGGCCCAAACATCACTTGCATGCGGCCTACTTGTGTAGTTAATCCTTACTTGTATCCATATCTCTATGAGATAATTTTTTTTTTTTAAATGAGAGCAAGAGAGAGTCTCTTGCTCTGTTGCAGGCTGAAGTGCATTGGCACTATCATAGCTCAATGCAGTGTTGAACTTCTGGGCTCACGTGATCCTCCTGCCTCCGCCTCGGAGTAGCTATGACTACAGGTGCATACCACCATGCCCAGCCCACACCTAATGTTTTATTATAATTCATATTTTGTTAAACTAATATAATCAAATTTTAAAATACAGTTGATTAAACGTTATGTTAATAAGAGATTCATTTACAGGTTAAAATAATATACATATTCTAGGAAAGTTTTTTAAACTCACTGACTGGAAAGGAGGAGTTACCAGATAATTAAAAATTTTTTAGCAAAAATAAGAAGGCAAAGACTACAGGTAAGTATTGTAGAAAATTAATTTTCACTATTTCTAAGTTTGAACACGAATTCTAAATCAGTCATTCCTTTTCTTCATATAATTTAAAGAAACAAAAGCAGATTTGCAAATTAAATGATTTGTCCATTAAGAAAAATGTGGTAGTTTTTGTTTTTTCTGAAACACTTCAAATGATTTAAAGTTATTTAACGTCCTACTTTACCTCTGAACTCTTTCCTTGAGCACTTCTCCACTTTTTCATTTGTTCATGATGTTGCTCTATAAGTAAAGCTGACAGTACATAGAGCTTCTTAACACGTAGAGGTTTGGTTCTTTTCTTTGCCTCTTCATCAGCAATCTTTAAACATTTAAAAAATTGGGGAAAGATACTTCTCAGTCTATATTTGTACAAATATAATCATCTCAAAAATTAAATGATTTTCTACAAAAGGAGGAAAATAAGTAGGACAGAATATAAATACAACATATTTATGATAAATATTTTAAAACTCATTTTCTTTCCTTAGTATTTAGTTCTTTCCTCAGTATTAATCCTTTAGAGTTAAAACTCATATCAATCTTAGAAAATAACAGGTGCTGTTAAATAACTAAACCAGAATGAAGAAACTGTTAATGAAACTATTAGAATTTTCCATAACAAAGGGATTTTTAAAATAATGTTCCGGCAACCTTCTGGGGTCCCCTTCTACTTTTCTGTTCTCTCAAAAAATCCTGCTTTCTCACTTTCCGAAAAAAATAAAAATAATGTTCCAAGTACACAAAGATATAATGGTGCTGACATAATGCACTCTTCAGAAGTTAAAATTTATTTATATGATTCTCAGGAAAATTTTTCAATTTTAATTAAATTAAATGGGGAAATAATAGAATGTAAGATGTGCGTACATTAACTGTACTAGTTACCATCCCTCCAAACAGATGTAAAGTGTAATATTTAAAACTTGTACATTTAAAATTACTCAAAACTCTATCACCACAAAATTTAATTTCCAGTTGTAGGAATTTGTACTTTGTGGTCCTAGCAATTTCTTAGACTCTTTGCTAACTTCAGTATTAAATATACAATTATTTAGGAATCAATAAGCTGCTAATATTAATAAGTAGCCTTGTTAGTAAAAAGCAATAACCACTAAAATAGTGCATACAGTAGTAATAAAACCAGAAAAGTTTTGCTTTAATATTTGTTATCAAAGAAAATAAAAAATATGTTCTTTAGTATATAAAAAAATTTGTAAATAGAACAAACTAAATACTCACCAAGATTATTATATTACCTTAAACATCAGTTTAGCAGCATCAAAAAAGTAACTGGCTTTCCGATAGAGTTCTATGGCATCAAAAATCTTATTCTTTTCCAGTAAATGAGATGCAAATCTAGCTAACAGAGATCCAATTTCCTTCATATTATGATTTTTAGCCAGTTTAACAGCTTTGTTCCACTAGGAAAAAAATTATCTCACTCAGTCACACATTTATGTCATAAGATACACAAATAAACCCTTAAGTTTATAATAAATAATATCACTTTAAAATTAAAAACTGTCATGTTCTTAAAAATCAGAGCAATATCACTTCTATAAGCTAAATGTGTCAAAATGATTAAATGATCTAAGACTCTTTCTGCTTAAATGCATCTAAAATTGAAAGTTTCAAAGTTTATAATTATGTTAATCTTATAATTCAATTTTTGTACAAACTGAGCAAAAAAAGATATACTTGTTTATTTTTATAGTAAAACAAAGTATATAATTTCACTTAAAATATCCTATCAGAATTAATATTTAAAGATTATTTTTATAAAGCAAATGGGGCTTTATAAAATAATTTAAGGAAAATATTAAAAGAATGCCTTGATAGTCAACAGTTTCTGTAATACTTCTGTGCCTCTATTTTAGTTAAATTTCAGCTTTAAAAAAATCAAATGTATGTTTTCTATAAAAGGAAAGGAAAACAGATTTGCCAAAATAAATATGAAGTAACTCAATTCCTTCCTCAAGTAATGACTGACCATTAGCTGGTCCTTCTTTGGAAACAAAATCCAACCCTAATAAAATGCAGAAAATTATGAAATTACTTCCAGACAAAAACTTGCTATTCTAATAGCACTGGGTTTGTTCATGCTCCCACATTGAGTTAGTTATGAGTGGGTCACCACCCATTGTAGCAATTCAAGAGGTAAGTGCAAACTACCACTTTCTCAGCCCTCAGTCAAGAGAATACCTGGCTTGTTCCTTTCACAAAATTCACGTCCAGCTCTCCAACTCTTACACTGGCCTTAATTTTTAAAGGATAACTAGGGTGACTTTAATTCTGCTTTCTGCTTTGACTTAAAAAAATCCTAAGACAACAAGCTGCACAGACAGTAAGTTTTAGTTCTTTACTTGGTTGAGATGTACACAGGTATCTACAGCTGCCTTTGGTTGATTACATTTCAAAAATGCAATTACTGCTTGTTCACACATTCCAACTCCCACAAACATCTGTGCTATTTCCTATAAAAACAAAATAATTTTATCAGATTTCACAGACCAAGGAAATAACATTTTAATTTAACAAAACACAATAGGGGCCAATCAGTATTACATTTACTGGTAGTTACAGTGATTTTTCTTCTAACATTCATAGGTGCAGAGGCTACAAATTATGATGGATGCTAAGGCATCACTCTATAAAATCAAAGTTTTTAACCAGAATCACTGGTTCAGGCTGTGGATCTAACTTTTAACCACGCCTTGAAGACACTGCACTTCTTTCTTCTCTCAGCCCAGTAGAGCTAGTATACAGAAATGTCAAGCTCCAAAACAATTCCCATACCAGCAAGTGAGACCAAAAAAAAAAAATCTTTACAGCAATTGGTGGTATTCTCAATGCTAATCATTAACTACAGGCTTAAGGGGAAACTTCACATTCACAGAGCTCTCAAATACTTCTGTAAAGAAATGCCCTAGAGAAGTCTGCCATTCTCAGTTCAGGAAGCTAGACCCAAAACAGATCCCTTGGAGGGTGGTGGCAGGGAGAGTGAACCACCACTACAACAAATCTTATCTGTTCAGTTGTATTTTCCATTTTCAGAAGATCATTATTATTATTATTATTTTTTTTTTTAGTTGGAGTCTCACTCCATCGCCCAGGCTAGAGTGCAGTGGCACACTCATGGCCACCCCAGCATCGACCTGCTGGGCTCCAATGATCCTTCCACCTCAGCCTTCCAAGAAGCCAGAACTACAGCCACACGCTACCACACCTGGCTAATTTTTTATTTATTGTAGAGACGAGGTCTTGCCAAGTTACCCAGGCTCATCTCGAACCCACGGGCTCAGGCAATCCACTCATTTCGGCCTCCCAAAGTGCTGGAATTACAGGCTGAGCCACCAAACCTAGTCAGATCATTTTTTTGTTTTTAGAATATCTGATTAGCCAAAGTTTTTCACTCCCCAAACCCATCTACAATATTTTTTTAAATATATATTTTATATCCAATTGTCTTTTTAAAAATAATGTTTATATTTTTTATCATAAATTAACATATTCTAATGGTTAAAAATTACAGAACATGAAAAAATAAAGTTACTCATAATCTTATCATTCATAAGAAACCTCTCTCAATAGTATGGTGTAATTTCTTAACATCTTTGTCCTTTGAATATATACATATGTGTGTGTTTGTGTATGCACTGTGATCATACTATACATAATTTTGTATCCTGCATTTCCCACTTCAACATTATATGTATCTTCCCATATTATTTAAAAAATTATTCCATAACTTGATGTAAAATGTATAGTACTACCTAAAATTGGTACTATTTTAGTTAGAATTATTAGTATTTACTCAGTAACATTACTATTTTTAATACAGAAAAATGTTTTTCGTTTTTCAGACACACCTAATAGATGACACTAATATAGGATATACTGTTCCCCATACCCAGGGTTCTAAGTAACTTGTTTCTTTTCTACACAAGAAAACACATAGGACTGAAAGTAAGGGTGAGTGAAAATCCCATTATTACATAGATAACTACTCTAATTTGCAATACAGAAAACTGAATTATCAGAATTCTATAATTATGTACTAATGAGAATATTTTTGAGGCAGGACTCATAACTGATATATGTCCACACTGCAGTTGAGAGCTGATAACTCTACAGGTATTGTATAGCTCACTGACGTACATATTAGATAAACAAAATACAAACTCATTTATAGTATTTAGCAATTAATTAAAAGAGACTTAAAAAGAATATTCAAATTAAAGAGAATTATTTTAGTTTTTCTTTTTAAACATTAGTCTATTGTTAATATAACACAATAAAAGTTGAGCTATCTTTTAAAACTTAAGTTATAGACAATTTCAAATAATTTAAGATTATTTTGAAGCAAATTCCTGACAACACATCATTTCATCTATAAATATTTCATGTATTCAGGAACTTTTAAAAGCAAGTTTATAAAACTGAACAGACTATACAAGACTGTATCATGGTAAAGTAGTAGCAATATGATCGATTTTCCTCTCCATTTTCAAACATTCTATAATATTGACATACTGTTTTCAATTAAAATAAAAGCATCATTCCATGTCTAAGAAACTGTAAAATTATAAGTTGTTTTTTAACTTTTGTTATTGCAGAGGATATTTCCTGAATATAACATACAATTTTATAAAGTAACCTAACAACCCCAAAAACTAAAATTTGCATTACCTACCGGAAGTAACTTGTGGTTTTCTGGAAGTGAATTGACAAGATTCTCTAATCCCTCATAATCTTCTAACATATAATAACATTCAGCTAATCGTTCCTGGTTCCGACTTTGTACATAATATTGTACAGCATTCGACCTACAGAAAGAAAGAAAAAAATTTTAAACTAATATGACTCTCCTGATAAATAAGCACTTTCATCAAAAATGTTTCTTCATTAGAATTACCAATACCAATACTCTGTTCATCATCTTTGGTTACAGAATAACTCTGAAGCATACAAATGGGGGGGAAAAATCTAAAGCATATTCTAGTTATAATATTCTTAAGAAATATTGTCTTAATCTGATGTATCGCTGACATAAACAAAGCATATTTGATCAAAATGAAAAGAATAAAAGCCAGTAATTTCTGAAAATAATATATAATAGACTTTTTTTTCACTTTGGTCAGAAGTGAATCCTATAACATCTAAGAACTGTACACTGTAGTCTCAAATCACGGAGAGCTGCCTGGAACTAAGTGCGAGTTTTGTGTTTGTAAACTCCAAAGTTTTACAGTGCTCAAATCACAACTTCAAGGTTCACTGGCTTTCCAACTTTATCTGGTCTTCATTTCCCCAACATTATTATTTCCTTAAGAAGTACTCAGGCAGCTACTAAGTGCTGCATGAAGGCATGAGATACTCCAGATAAGTTACATACCACATTTGTCGATCAGCAAAGTAGTCTCCAACGGCATTGTTGGCTTGTTCAAGGAGACTGTCGTCTGCATCACCAGATCCAGTTTTCAGGAGGTGAAGTACTCTAAACCAATCCCCCAATTTCACTCGTAGGCCAATAGCGAGATCTCTACAAACAATGGCATTTATTCATTCATCTATTTGATAAATACTTACCAAGTGCCTACTATGTGCTAGTTACAGTGCTAGGTACTGAGAAATACACAGCATGAGTAGACAGAGGAGGTAACTCCCCAAAACATTTTAGAAACTTAGCCTAACCAGGTAAGAGGTAATGAAGATGACCTAGATGCTATGGTTTGAGTAAGTGTCTCCCACAAAGTTCATGCTGAAACTTAATCTCCATTGTGATGGTGCCTCCAAGAAGTGGGGCCTTTTGGGAAGTGATTAAGTCCACTCTTGTGAACTGCTTAATGCCCTTACATAAAAGACTTCAGAGAGTTTTCTATTTTTTGCTCTTCTGCTTTACCCCACGTGAGGGCATGGAGTTCAAGATGCCATCCATCTTGAAAGCAGAAACAGAGTCCTCTTCAGACACCAAACCTATTAACGCCTTTAATCATGAATTTTCTAGCCTCCAGAACTGTGAGAAATACATTTCTATTCTTTATAAATTACCCAATCTCAGATATGTTGTTATAGTATACCAAATGGACCAAGATACCAGAATAGGAAAAAGAAAACAATTTCCTGCCTTTATTTTCCTGAACTTCCAATTTATTTATCAAAATAAAGATTTAAATAATAATCACTTCTCTTTAGTAATTTCTTAGACATTATTAAGTTTATTTCAAAACATATAGCATAAATGCATGTTTGGTTTTCTATTTCTGTTCAGAGATTATGTTGTATTAGTGACTTCCTGGAAGTATAAGTAACATTAATGAAAATTAGATATAATGTTGATAGTTGAAATGGTTCAGTGGCAAAGATTCTGCACTCTTACATCTGCAGCAAGGGATCCATTCCCAGTGACGATACCAGTCACTAAAGACATAGTAAATTCTTTAACTCAAGAGAATAAACTTTTATGAAGTTCAGACATTATTTTATATAAATCAAAAATAAAATATAAAGTATAAAATTCAAACCCTAACTACTTTTTATTTTTATGTTATGCTTCTTGACAACAGAAAATTAAATAATGGCCTAAGCCAAAAAAGAGAATTAGAATAATGATACTGTGTCATAAATGATAAAAGCCCCCAGTCTCTATATTCATTTTTTTCCCACCAAATGAAAAATAAATATCTTCCATAGTCAGTCATTATTCGATGTAAAAACAGAGAAGAAAGCTACCCCCAGATTCTAAAGCATAAATTAATGAGGGGCATGTGCAATATCTAGGTTGTAATCCAAACTGAAAATTATTTCTAAAATAAATAGCATGATACATTTAGTCTATTTGTATTCCTCATTTGAAAAATAATTATAAGCTGTGGAAGTCCTGGGAATGCCTACACCTTCAAAACTTACCTTCTGTCCATATCAAGATACATTCTTTCAGCCTCTTCAAATCTGCCAAAGTAGGCAAAAACTTCAGCCTGTTTCATGGACTCACTCTGTAGATTGCCTAGGAGCTCCACAAACTTGATGCCTGGGTAATCTTTGCAGCGCACAAATGCTAGCTCTGCAGTGTTCAGGTCCAGTTTCTGAAGGGCTGCTTCAGCCAGTAGTCGCCTTTATTTAAAATAGAAACAGAAAAGTATATTACAAATTACTGATAAACTAGTATTGAATCAGAATTCTATTATTATACCTATTGTTTCCAGTGAAACAAGGTGCAAACATTTTAACACATGCAAACATTTTTTATGCAATAGTCTGCTTGCTTATATTAAGGACTTCCAAATCTAAATGAATTTCTATATCTTAAAAAGAAGAGCAATAATGGAAGACTTTTCCCATCAGGAGGCTAGTAGGGGAGCAGGGGATGACAGAGCTGAGATAAAAGCCTATGCCTGACATCTTGGGAGGCTTTGCTTTTGTTAAAATACCAAAGTCGGGGGTGTGGATTGTCCTCTATGAATTGGGATGCATCTTCAATTCCAACCTTCTCAATCAGTGCTCGACTATCTCTCAGAGACCGAATCTCAACGTTAATTAGATAATCCTTGTTTGGATGTTCTGGATTCTAAAAGTAAAGATGAAACAAAGAAGTTTTCATGATGAAAACAAAGAACTTTAGAGTATGTTTCTGTTTTTTTACATTTTAAAACAAAACAAAATCTGCCGCAGATTATGAGCAAAATTGGGAAGAAAAAAAAATCCCCATGTTGGATCTTTTGAGTTATCTGGAAAACACCCAAAACCACAGGTAAAGTCCCTCCTGAGACAATCAGGCTCCCACGGGGAAAAGTGGGCAATGGCTTAAGGGATCCCTTCCAGTTATACAACTCTGTTTCCCTCTGCTCAAACTGGTATTTCCCCCAAAATGAGATAACACATCTCAAGCATTCAGCACAATGTCCTGCAGTACTATTCACTTTACTCATAGTCTTAGAATTGACCTAATGCTCTCCTGCTTCAGAACTCAGAACAGGTACACCTCCTAACTGAATTATGGCGCCCCCAACCTTTTACTGGCTGTTAAATTACTTGTCCATCTCCCCTACTCCTCTACCTCAGGTCAGGAACTGCGTCTTATTGGTTCTCAATTAAGATTTATTGAATCAATAAATAGATGAATTTGAATAAATCATTTTACCCATTAAATGCCTTCCTCATCTAAAAAACTTTAAAAAGTCAATACAATCACCAGTTGGAACAACAACAGCTCAGGCACTTTCCAGAATTCTAGAACTTAAAGTAATTGAACCTTTCTTGAAAAACATTACTGATGATAAAATTCAGTCAACTGAAAGATTAATCAAAATTAAGAATTTATATACAGTGAAAATGTAGTAAAAAGACTGGTAATAGCTTTGAAATCATTTAGACATAAGACTAAACAACTGGAAATTAGGGTTACAAAACAAAATAATAATATAATTACAAAAAGAGAAGAAGAGAGAGAAAATATAAGAATGTCATCTTTTAGAATAGAAAGTCAGTCAACACTCTTAAAAGTTAAAATGTAGGGCCAGGTTCAGTGGTTCAGCCTGTAATCCCAACACTTTGGGAGGTTGAGGCAAGTGGACTGCCTGAGCCCACGGGTTGGAGACCAGCCCAGGCAACTTGGAGAGACCTTATCTCTACAATGAATTAAAAAATTAACCAGGCATGGTAGCACACGCCTGTAGTTCTGGCTACTTGGAAGGCTGAGGTGGAAGGATCACAGGAGCCCAGCAGGTTGACACTGGAGTGGCCATGAGCATGCCACTGCACTCCAGCCTGGGCAATGAACTGAGAATTCAACTCAAAAAAAAAAAAATACTTAAATGTAGTTTAAAATTATAACTTCTTAGTTTTTCATAACTTTCTCCTTAACTCAGGAAAATGTTGTTATTGTGGTTTAAAAAATTATATATATAATTTATATATATATATAAACCTAGAAGTCTAGAATTCCTTTAAATTTACTTTCAGGTTTTTAATTAAAGTTAAATTTAACACCAAAAATGTAGATTGTAAAATGATGCCATTTCTATAAAAATTACTTCTATTCATCTATCTAATCTATCAAATCTATTTTTCCATATAAGACTTACATATGTATGGAATGATGTTCTGATGTTTACCTAATGTTGATAATTAAAATATTTAAATGGTAGGATTTAGGGTGATTTTTAAAATTTTATTTCAGCACTTTACTGTACTGCTTAGATTCTATATAATAACTCTTTACCCATTTTTTAAAGCAATAAAGTCATTATTCATTTTTTTAAAAGACCATTTTAATCAATTATCTACCAGACCCAGATTTAAGAAGCTCACTGTCTGTCAAACCATTAAATATATAAGAACAGACAAGATACTACACTCACCTTAGTTTGATTCTACCCACCTATGGTTTAGTTTTGAAAGAGGATATTGGCAAACCACATCTTCTAAAAAGTGTTCCCAACCCCTAAATCTTTTGGGGAAAAAGGACAAGCAAAAAGACCTCTTCCTTCAAATGCAAGGAAAACGGAAAAATGGATATTCTCTAATGGTATTGTATTCAATTAACCCAGCAATGAAATAAGTTCATTAGTTTTACAAGTCATATTCCTTACACAAGGACAAGATCTTTATATCTTATATAATCACACATTATCTTACATAATAACAATCCTATGAGATGAGTACCATTATTATCCACATTTCCTAGAGGTAAAACCTAAGGCCAATACTTTTTATCATCATTTTACAGGAAAGGAAAGTGAAGCTCAAAAAGATAATGGCATCCACCTAAACATTGCACAACAATAGAGCAGGGTTACACTCGAGAGCTGACTCCTGGGTCCACTCTCCTAAACACGACACTACACCACTTAGTCCAGAAATGAAAAATCCTAGTCAAGCAAACAACAGAAATACAACTTTTTTTTTTAAGGATTACCTTTAATATCTCATCCAAAAGAACAGATTTAATTTCTAAGTCCTCAAAATTGCAAATATATCCAGAGGTCTGAATGGGTTCCTTTCAAGACAAAAACAAGTATATGTTTTATTATGCAAAATTACCTCTCCTTTAACAAATCATAGTTTTAAATTCTATTATCAAATTTTTCAAACAAACAGAAGAGTAGAGAGAATGCATTAACCCATACATTCATCACCTAAATAATCAACATTTTGATACATATGCTGCATTTATTTTGGGGGCTGAAGTATTGTAAAATAAATAGTGCAAATTATAGACATCGTGATATTTCACTCCTAAATACTACAGTACATATCTCTAAAAGATAAGGATTTTTCTATTACATGGCCTCATTACTGTTATCACACCTTACATAGTTAATATTAATTCCCTACTGGCATCTAATATTCAGCCCAAATTTTCTCAATTAAAACAAAAATGCCCTACATAGCTTGACAATTCTAATTCATGCAATATTAAATTTAATTCTTAGTAAAATTAATAAATGCTATATTTGTATTAAGTTCATCTATCAAAAGAAATCTGATAGCATACTGAAAAGTCTCTCTTCTGTAACATGAGCCAGAGTACATTTCTGAAATATTTCTCACATAGGAATATTTATTTGTCAATATGTAAATATATGAGTCTGTTATATGTCTGTCTCTTACCTCTAGTGTTATAGAGGTTTGCAGAAACAAAGAATAGGATATGTATATTATGATGTACATATGATGTAGCTGCACTAAATCCTTAGTGGGGGAAAAAAGATATAAATATTATATAAACAAAAATAAATAAACTTCCAAAATGCCTAATACCTCCAGGAATACTGTAAAAAGAATATAATAATGTTGTCTGGTAGTGAAAATAGTACTAGAATGCAATTTTTAAAATACATGTGCAAAAAAATAAAAATATATATGTATATATGTATGTCATCATAAAGTAAAAAGTAACCAAAATCCAAATAACATAACATAGCAGATTTATAACTCTGAAAGTTAGCCCTAGACATATGATAGAAACTACAGAAATTATAGTAAAAAGAAGATACCAAAAAGAAGAAAATAAGAGGCAAAAGTTAAATTGTATTTAGTTTAAGTTTACTATGTCTAAGTTTAAGAAAGAGGCTCTTACTTACATGTACAGTATACGTGTTTAGTGGGTTTTAAAATGTTGGCTTTCTTTTGAAAGTACAAACTATTCAGTAAAATATACAAATTATATAAGAAAATTTTATAAAATTCCTTCATTGTCTTAAAGAGACTGTATTACATAAAGGCAAATGATATGTTTTTATGAGCAAACAAACATAAATTTAATTTAGAAAGAACACATATGTAATGAGATATTTCTTATAAATTACAGGGCCCTTTTGAATATTTGATTACTTTGATACTGTATGTAAACCAAGTATACTTATGTAAATATACTTATCACTAAAAACATTTTTTATTTTTGGCTACATAATACAACAAAGCACCACAGTCAAAAAATAAAGTCATAAAAGATGATCTGTGGACAAAAAGTAATACCAAAAACGAAGAGAAAGGGAGAAAGATGGAGAGATTTAAAAAACAAATTTCCAAAATAATCTGTGATTATTAACACATAAGTAAATATGCACAAAAATTTATGCAATTCAGATTTTAAAAATCCAACTTCTGCTTAAATTACCTCAACTAATTTTATTTCTCAAAATTCATTGAACATCCATTCATTTGAATATGAAGTCTACACAGCAGAGTACACTCACCTAAGCAGTATGCAAGATAACTCTTTTTATCAAAAAAGTATCTAAAACTTTACGAATCTACACTATACCAATAAACACTGGTGCCCTTATTCAGCACACAAGTCAGAAGGCCTCATAATATGTACAATATAATGGATATCCTGAAGTACCCTTCTTTGCCCTTCAATTTTAGCACAAATTGTGTCATACTGAAGTCTGCATAATTAAGTGGATTTAGAGATTATATTATCTAATTTTAGCTAGCCTTTACAAAATGAACACATGGCCTAAAAAGCTTCTTGCAAGGAACTTGTGAATTAAAAGCAATATTGGTAATGCAAGCACAAGCAAATGAGAAAAAGCAGAAATGACACCTCTCTTACTCCATGCATAATCTTTGGGTCAGTGTGAAACAATGACAATCTCATCAGGTCTGACAAAAAAGCCAGCTAAAAGTCAAAATCATTAAGTAGACTATTTGAAACATGGAACTTGTATCCACTAAGCTAACAAAACAAAACATCACTCTAAAATGTGCATTATAATACCCACAGCCCAGTTACAGATGGCTGTGGGACTAAGGATTATACCGCTCGATCCATCATAGCTTCCTGCAACACCAACACAGATCACTTAAGTCCCTTTGGGTTGTCCCACCAACTCTGCCATCGCCCACATCACACCTTCAGCCCAGGGGCCTGAGAATCCACCCACACACATCTGGCTCACCACTCCCACTTCTAGCTTTTAAGCAAACCAGTCAGCTGGAAGCCCAAGAATCAGCCATCCAGGACCCACTAACACTGGAGCAACAAGGGTATAAAAACCAAAAAACAAGCAACTCTGGGGCCTAAAAACAGGCACACTCACCCCACTGCTACCACCACCAGGGACCTAGTTGGCATCCAAGTGCCCAGTAAAACTTCAGTACAACCTCAATTGTACCCTAAGCCGTTGAGAAAATCATAGATACCACCAATCCTGTGTACTGCTGAAGAAGTCACATAAAGCTCACACTACCACAGGCACCAAAAATCAAAGCCAAAGTATTTTACTTAATTAGCAACATACACACATCTTCAAGGAAAAATTCTCCTCTACAAAAGCAATTTTCAAACATTGGAACAAGCGACTGATATAACAAATACGTACATATCAAGGGAAGACACAGAAAACAAGAAAAAGCAGGCAAATATGATACCACCAAAGGACTACAACAGATCCCTACAAAAGAATTCCTCAAAATACCATATTAAAGACTTCAAGGTATTAACTGATTCAAAAATATCAGAAAATAAATTCAGGATATAAATGAGAAATTTACCAAAGAGATATCAAATTACCATCATCACCTTCAAAGCATTAGGGAAAAAAATCCTAAAATTCAAATAGAACCAAAAAAGAGCCCAAATAGGCAAAGCAATCCTAAGCAAAAAGAATAAAGGTGGAGGCATCATAGTACCTGACTTTAAATTATACTACAAGGGTACAGTAACCAAAAAACAGCATGGTACTAGTATAAAAATAGACACAGTGAAACAGAGTACAGAAACCAGAAATAAAGCCACGTGCCTACCACCACCTATCTTCACCAAAATCAACAAAAATATACACGGGGAAGGATACCCTATTCAATAAATGGTGCTGGGAAAACTGGCTAGTCATATATGTAGAAGAATAAAACAAGACTCACACCTCACCACATACAAAAATTAACTCAAGATGAATGGATTAACAACCTAAATGTAAGGCCTGCAACTATAACAATCCTAGAAGAAAACCTAGGAAAAAACTCTTCTGGAAATTGGCCTAGGCAAATTTTGAGGACTTTATGACCAAGTATTCAAAAGCAAACACAACAAAAACAAAAATAGAGAAACAGGACATAATTAAATTTAAAAAATTAAAAAGCTTCTACACATCAAAAAAAAAAAGAAGAAGAAGAAGAAGAAACAGATAACCTCCAGAATGGAGAAAAAAATTTTTCAAATAATGCATGTGACAAGAGCTAATATCCAGAATCTATAAGGAGTGTAGACAACTCAGAAAAAAAAAAAAAATGAGGGCAAAGACCATAGACAGACGTTTTTCAAAAGAAAAATGCAGCCAATGAACCTATGAGAAAATGTTCAATATCACTAATTATCAAATAAATGCAAATTCAAACCACAATGAGATATCATCTAAACCCAGTCAAAATGGTTATTATTAAAAACATCAAAAACAACAGAAGTCAGCAAGGATGCAAAGAAAAGGGAGCCCTTATACACTGTTGGTGGGAATGTAAATTAGTACACCCTCTATGAGGAACAATATAGAGAGATCTCAAAGAACTAAAAATAGAACTACCATTTTATTCAGCAATCCCACTACAGAATATCTATTCAAAGAGAAAGAAATCATTATATCAAAAAGATAATACCTGCACACATATGTTTATCACAGCACTATTCACTAATAGCAAAGATCTGGAAGCAACATTAGTGTCCACCTATAGAGGACTGGATAAAGAAAATGTGGTGTGTGTGTTTGTATGTGTGTGTGTGTCTAATATCCAGAATCTACAAGGAATGTAAACAACTCAACAACAACAACAACAAAAATGAGGACAACACTATGAACAGACATTTTTCAAAAGAAGACATACAAGCAGCCAATGAACATATGAAAAATGTTCTATACAGACACAACACATACACACACAAATACACACACCATCAGATGCTACTTAGCCATACAAAAAGAATGACATCCTGTTTTTTGCAGCAACATGAATGGAACTGGAAGCCATTATGCTAAGTACAATAACTTCAGAAACACAAAAGCCAAATACCACATGTTCTCATTTATAAGTGGGAGCTAAACAATGGGGACATATGAACATACGGAGTAGAATAACTGACACTGGAGATACAAAAGATGAGAGGGTGGGAAGGGGGTAAGAGCTGAAAAATTATTGCTTGGGTACAATAGTTCACTATTTGGATAGTGGGTACACTAAAAGCCCAGACGTCACCACTACGTAATATATGAATGTAAAAAATCTGCACTTGTACCCCTAAACATATAAAATGAATTAAAAATAAAATGTGCATGATGTTGAAATACCAACTAATGATAGTATGAACTACCACAATTAGAATAATATTTAAAAATAAACTTTATGTCATCCTTTAAAATGTATCTTTTTTCATTCTTTTAAATTTTCTATTTGGGGGACATGATTCATAATGTATTTATAACACAGTAAGTCATTTAAATAATTTATAAATAAATATGTGTGTTACAAGAGTATATATTCAAAAGTTTTGGAAGCTCCTGGTTTGGAAAAGATGCAAATGTACAAAAATGAGAGACTGGTTAATAAAATTATGATATGAAATAGTAGTACCAATGAGAGGGAAGAGTCAAAAAAGGGATAAAAGAGTTCAACCAGTACCTTGAAAGGGTTACTGGAAGTTAAAATAATTAAGGAATGAATATCAATATTAAATACTCATTTCCTAATTCTCAAAGAAAATGTGTTTTATTAGTGAATTAAACTTTGCACACAGACAACATCTTTTTCTCTCAAATAATATGAAGATTCACAACTTGAAAGGTAGGCATCTAGAATTCATAATAACACTCAAATGTATAAAAATATATTGTTATTAACTGTCAAAAAATAGTCATCTTCTGAATAATAATATAGAACACTATGTCCTAAAGGAACATAGTGTTCTGCAGCTCTGCAAATCCAGTCGATTCTCTGTTTTGAAGTGTATGTCCTTGTATGATCAATAAGCAGCTAGAGGAACGAAAAGCAGAGTTGCTAAACAAGCAGAGAGCACAGTGAGCCAGTGTCCTCATGAATGAAAAGAACAGAATAGCATCACTTATAAAGAAATCCAGTGGGAAGTTTGTAAAAAATCCATCAAGTTCTAAATCTAATAAAAATTGAACTACAAGCCAAACCAGAAAACAAATTCAAATTTAATAATAATATATATTTTTTAAGGCTGTTCTGTTAAAACTACTTAAGAAACACTTTCCACCAGGCAAAGATTTTACTTGGTACCAGATTGACCATGTGTGCTACAAACACATTATAAGCAGCCAGATATAATAAACACTCTCACTTCTCCAGGCACATGATTTCTAACTTAGTATGAGATGGGCCAAGAATAGAGAGAAAGGACTCTAATATTCAAAAAGTATCCTACTTCCATCCTCAAGGCTATCCTATGGTTACCTGTCAAAATTTCACAGTTGTTTTGGGGCAAGGGCCAAATTACTATTGAATCCTTGAAAAAAGTCCATGCTTACAGGTCAAACACAGCAGCCCTGAATGTCTTTCCTCTGAACCATTTCTCAGGGTCTACGAATTGCAAAGATCCTAAGATCCATTCCCAAGAGCTTTAACAGAGCCTTTGAGAGTAATTTACATCAGGTCATTTGCCAACTCAAAAATCCTAAGTAGTGCTCAAATGGGGAAATGAGAAAATAATTTAGGATATTAAAAGGATAGTCTACCACTAAATAAACTACTCCAGAAGAACTTTGGGAGTTCGGGGGCCCCAGCATGCAATTTCTTCCCAAGAAGGAAGCTATAGGTGCAAATAAATGGAAATTAATGGCATAAAGCATTTTTTTTAACTCATTTCTTATTATTCACACTAGTGGAGTATAGCAGGAATACAGAAAACTTCAAATTGAAAATTCATTACTAATTTAAAAATTGTTTAAAAGTTTTATCTTCTTAATGATGTTTTGACTTTGCAACTCTTAAACACAACAGCTAACAATTGGCCCAGAGTAAACAGGAAAATCCAAAGCATAAAAATTAGCTGATGGGAGCCACAGAGAAACTCAAAATACAACCTTAAAAATGGGTTTTGAAAAAGGGGGCTTTGTGATACCCAAGAGAGTAATCACGGTCCATACTTGTATATCCATAAGTATATCTGAGTTAATATGATTTATAAGTCCACTAAACTATACACATGCATACTGAAACATGTTTAAGTATTCTGAAAGCAAGAAGGCCCTGTAGCAAGTTAAATAATAGTCCCCCAAAAGATTCTCCACCTAGAACTTCAGAATGTGATCGTATTTGGAAAAGGGTCTTTGTAGAGGTAATTGAGATAAGAATCTCAAGACGAGATTACTTTGGATTAGGTGGGTCTTAAATCTAATGACAGATGTCTTATGAGAAAAAGAAAAGAAGACACATGGGGAGACATAGGGAAGATGACCATGGGAGACAGGCTGAGATTGGAATGATGTGTCCACAAGCCAAAGAACATCAAGAACTGCCTGTAACCACCAGAAGTTAAAAGAGACAAGGGAGGAATTTTCCTTAGCAGAAATGTGTCCCTGCTGACACCTTGAATTTAGACTTCAGGTCTTCAGAGTTGTGAATGAATAGATTTGTTGTTTTAAGCCATCAAGTTTGTGGTCATTTTTACAATAGCCCTAGAAAATGAATACAGGCCCCATTGTCCCCTCTTCTGCCCTGTGACAATCTCTTTATCTCTTTATCTCTTTCCAGAGCATACATAAATACCATACCTGATCCCTGTACACCTGGCATGGACTATGAGAGAACTAAGAGTACCAACCCATGTAACCAAATATTAGTATCTAAATAAATATTAGGAGAAGACTTCAAATTGTCCTCACACCCTAAGTGATTGATCTTGTACCACACCTGGGGTGCATGCAGTCTACTTTGGAGACCACTGAAGATAAACTTTTTAAATTTCAAGACGTATCTGTCTGAGCCTGCCCTCCAGAGTCCAATCAGATAATATACTGAGGTCACACAGAAGAAAGTTGTTATTCTTTTAAAAGATGGTGTTCAAAGGATGTCGAGCAGGGAATATGGACACTGAAATTAAAAACCTCGCCCAGGATGTGGCACTGGCCTGTGTATACAAATCACTAATGTAGCTCTTCAGGATCATATGGTATAAATAATCTTAATAAATTATTGAAAGTTTCTACTTAAGAAAAAAGATTATTTCTTCAGAAAGAACACAGATTAGTGGGTGATACAGTAAATGAAATAAAAATAAGACAAGGTAAACACAGAATACAGTAAGTAGATAAGCAGATGAGAATGAAGGGACAAGACAAGGCAATTTCAAAACTGCATTCTAAAAATTAGGTTGTTCTAAGAAATTTTGGTAAATAAGACTACTAATTTCTTTCTTTCAGACTAGTGATCATGATTTCATCTTTTAAAAAGAACAGATAAATGCCTAGGAAGTACCTTCCAGAGAAAGTAGAGAATACTTAAAAGATGAGTATTATTCTCAATTAAGACTGTTTTAAAAATCCACAGAAGTGTTTTTATTTATTTTCAGAAATTCATGCCATATTGGCATTAGTGTTCAACACACCCCTTAAAGAAACAAAGGGGAAATATCCAGGATTTAATATTTTGCTCATTATTTAAGGGTGTTAACACTAATTTGTTTTTACCTCAGGATCCAGGTTTCTGAAAACATACATTCTTGTCTTCTCCATCATTGCAAACAAATCAGGATTGTCCTTGGCCCATTTCATATCCCAGACATCTTTTCGTTCCAAGTTTAACAACTGACCAACTACTTGCTGTCCTGTACTGTCTGTTACTCGAGCATCCAAGTCAAAGAAAGTTAAAACACCTGAGGTATCTATGATAGCAAGACGACTAAAAATAATGCAATTGGAGAAAGGGAGAAAATTTTAAAATTACTATAAGCGACCATAAGAATAATTACCTTAACCATTCTTCCTCAAAATCAGTTTATCAGAAAACTGGAATATAGTAGAAATAGCTTCAAAACATTTTTTTTTTACAAATTCAATAGAAGTATGGACTGTTCTCCATTTTGCTTTCTAATAAGGAAAATCTACCCAAAGAAATTAAACCAATTGGTATGAAACAGAAAACAGTCACAATACTCTTAAGAGTAAAAAATTGCATAAAAATTTCCATATGCCCAATTAGAGAAACACATTTAAACAAATGCAGTATACTAAAACCACACTGAATTTAAGAAAAGTTCACAATAAACACGCCCATCTTTACATTTATTACATAAATCCAACAATCCCAACTGACAATTACTAAGTCTCACATATACATGGGGAGTTTTTTCAGACTTACCTAGAATTGCAGTTCAAGGATAACTTATAGGCTCGACAATTAAGAGAATATTTTTGAATCAAACCAACATTAGGAAGACTGTATCTCTGAATGGTGCCAGATTCACGACCCTAGGAAAATCACTTTTGATTACTAAATAATTACCATAACAATGTCAGACTACAACTACAGGTCTTTCTATATAGCCATACATTTGATTTAAAACCAAAGCGACGATATCAGAGCAAATTCCCAATTCTGATAATGAATCATGTTATTAACCACATATTTAACTACTAATTTAATTAAGCCTTTTTAAAACAGCTAAAGGTGGTCTAATTTTGTTTCATGTAATATTCAAGAAAGAAGTCAGAGACCTAGCACTTTGGTAATACACAAATTCTTACATCACAAGGAAAAAATATCTAAGGTTTCTATAGTTGTTGTCTAGATTAATATTTAGAACATATTAAAAGCTAAAACATAAAATACTTGAATTAAATTGCATCTATATATATGAAAAATCAATTTAAGATCATATGAAACAGTTATTACTGAAAATCTAGGTTTTTATCCTATAGTCATCTACCTGATACTGATGTTTTTGGCAGGGGGAAAGATGATCTGAAAGCAGTGATACCATGAATAGTAGTTTAAATATGTTTTAAAATAAATCAGAAAGTAATTTGCTGGGCAAAACTGAAGGTTGAGAGATCAACAGTAAGTACAACAGATGCAGGGTGCCGGGTATGGACGAAGTGGAAAACTCCACACAGCTCATCTTAACCTCTCCCCTTTTTCATCAGAGCAGCATGGCTTTTGCAGCATGACTCTCAAGAGGGCTTATCAGAGGAAATACTATAGAATACTATACTCTTAAGATTTTTCTCCCATAAACTTAACCAATGACTAAAATATGTAACTGGAATATTTACTACTAAGTCTCTATTTACATAATCCAAATGCAATAATGCCACCAGCATCACTGTATTTAACACTTACTTCTAAAATTAATATTTTCAAATGTCAGAGCTCAAAAAGGCACTATGCTATTGATTCTATTTGAAAAATCAGCTGAATGTGCCATGAGCTTCTCTAGTTTACTGGTTGCCAAACACACTACCTCTTCATTCTAAGTCTTACGAAAGTACGAAGGTAGCTGAGCCAAAGGACTTTCTTCGATATAAAATATCAGGCTACACAGAGGAAGAAACTTTCTAAGATCTACCACCATGCAATCTGCCCTACATCACATCCATGAGCTCTGTATAGGGCTCATTCAACCCAGCGATACAAACTCCAAGTTTACTTAATCTTCTTAGTTGGCCATCATTCTCCTGCTTTCATAAATAGCTATGCTTGCAAATGATTAATAATTTTTAGGTAAACATCCTTACTTTTCATATTGAACTTAGTAAAACTTAGGGGGCCACAAGATGATGTTCAAATCCAAAACTTATTACTTAACACTATTTCTATAATTTAAATCATTTTTTAATAAGATAAATTTTTTATAACTTACCACAATCAATGTCTTATCGGATGCAGTTATGGCACAAATTGGATCCCTTGTGCCCTAAAATAAGTTCATCAATCATTATTATTATTTAACAAATATTTATTGAATGACTCATCTACAAGGTAGTCTGCAATTCACTAAGAAGAATGCATCAATTGACTTTTTTTTTCTGTACTGAACATCTACTATGTGCCAGTCACTGAACTAAGCACTAAGATACCTGGATGAAATCTTTACCCTCAGGGATTACTCAAAAGTCTAGTTGAGAAGATGGTGACGTGAACACCTAATTACAGTACAACATGATGAAAGAGGAGGTACAAACAGGGGTTATGAGAGCATAGAGGAAGGAGTATCTAATTTACACCAAGATGGGTAAAAAGCTGAACTTAGTGCTAAAAGATGAACAGATGGAAGAAGGACCAGCACATGCCAAAATGAGGAAAGGTAAAATGGCACAGCACTGCAACAGCATGGACAGGTCTGCAGGGCATTATGCTTAGTGAAAAAAGCCAGACTCAAAAGGTGGCATATCATATGATTCCATACATAAAAATTCTCAAAATGGCAAAACTATAGAGGTGGAGAATAAATTAGTGGTTTCCAGGGGGCAAGAATGGGGCTGAGGAGTAGGTGAGAAAATGGTTAAGTAGCATGGAAGAAGTTCCTTTATGGTGATAAAATTACATAAATACACACACACACACACACACACACACACACACACACACACACACACAAGCACATGTACACATGAGTGAAAACTGAATAAGAAATAAGTTCATAGTCTAGTTAACAGTATTGTACTACTGTCAATTCCCTGGTTTTGATGTTCTTCTACACTTATATAAGACATCATCATTGAGGGAAACTGAGTGAAGGAATTATTCTGCAATTTCCTGTGAGACTATAATTATTTCAAAATAAAATGTTTTTCAAAGTCAAAAGAAAAAATTCAGCATGGCATATTCAGGAAATTACAAGTTGTTTGGCACAGCTGTATCAGAGGGGAAGAGAAGTGGGCCAGGGAGGAGGAGCAGTTGTGGGTATATTTTATTCTGAAAAATATGGAAATTTACTGAAGGGTTATAATGGGGGGAAAGGACTATTTGTAGCATGATCGTATTTACATTTTAGAAAGATTGCACTGGCCAGCAGTATGATAAATGGATTGGCATAGTAGGCATGGGGAAGACTGAAACTAGAGAGACTATTCTGTGTTGTCCAATATGGTAGCCACTAGCCCCATGTTTTCATTTAAATGTAAATTTCAATTAATTAAAGTGAAATAAAATTTAAAATTCAGCTCCTCAGCTGAACTAGCCTCATTTTAAGTGTTCAATAGCAACATATGGCTAGTGGCTAATGCATTGGACAACAAAGATATACAATATCTCCATTACCGCAGAAAGTTCTATTGGTCAGTGCTGGATGGAAAGTTATTTCAGTGATCTAGGCAAGAACTAATGATAGACTTGATTGATATAGAGATGGAAAGGAGAAAAGCCAATCTGACAAAAACTTAGAAAACAGAATCAACAGAACTCAGTGATTTATTGGAAGTGGAGAGCAAGAGAAAAAGATTTCTCATGATTCTTACATAGATAGTGGAACCAGTCACAGATATATCGAATATATAGAAAGAAATGGATTTGGAGGGAAAATGAAGGCAGTCTCAGACAGGTTAAATTTAATGTGCTTTTGAGCTACTCAATTTCTTGCTATCCAGACAGCAAGAAATATGCTATTTAGAAATTGAAAAAACTCAACATTGGAAATATAGATATTGGAGTAATCAGCATATCATTAAAGGGGTGGGTTTTAATAAGAATGCTAAGAAGAGTATATTAATAAGTTTTTTTTTAAAGTAGATATCCAGCCGGGCTCGGTGGCTCAGCCTGTAATCCCGCGCCTTTGGGAAGCTGAGGTGAGTGGATTGCCTAAGCCCACAGTTCGAGACCCGCCTGGGCAGTGAGACCTCATCTCTACGGTAAATCAAAAATCAGCCGGGCGTGGTAGCGCATGCCTGTAATTCTGGCTACTAGGAAGGCTGAGGCGGAAGGATCGCCGGAGCCCTGCAGGTCGAGGCTGCGGTGGCCAGGAGCGGCCACTGCACTCCAGTCTAGGCGACAGAGTGAGACTCCAACTCAAAAAAAAAAAAAAAAAAGTAGATATCCAAGGTTTGGCCATTAGGGAACACCACAGAAAGAGAAGAGTGGATTAGTTCTAGACAAGGAAGACTAGAGAAGACTAGCCCTAGACAAAGAAAGAGTCAGCTATGAATAAATTCAAGAGTATGGTTCCATAAAAGCCAAGAAGAAAAGAGTGACAAAAAATGTTAAGTGTCCTGTATAGATCAGATGGCTTAACGACAGAAAAACCTATCCGACTTGACAATTCAAAGGCCTCTAGAAAGCAGAATGCAATGAAGAGAGAATGAGTGGTGAGGGAAAGATGAATGCAAAATAGTCTTTCAAGAAGCTCAGCTATGAAAGGATGAAGAGACAAACAAAGCGTATGAAAGATGACATGTGGTTTGACAATGGAAACTTTTGTCATTTTTAAGATGAAAGCAATTTTAATATATTTTATATTAGGGTACAGAAAAAGAGCTGGTTCGTGATAAATCAGTTTAAAACTCAACATTGGAAATGTTTTCACTAGGAAACTTTTCTTACTCAGCAGCAGAGTCCCAGTACCTACTCCAATGTCTGACACCTAATAGACACTCAAAGAATACTTGTTTAATAAATGCATAGGTATGTAAGAACTAGATGAATTCTTACATATTCTAGTGAATAGATCACTAGACCTGCTATGAAAAGATCTCAGCTTGAACTCTCACTTTGCTGCTTAATCATTTCATGATCCTGAGCAAACCTGAATCTATCAGTTTTCTAATCTATAAGGTAGAGAGGAAACTACATGCTGTTTGAGTTATAGAGTTGTGAGCATCAGACAAAAAGCTAGATAAGAGAGAGTTTTATAAAGAGGTACTGCTTTAAATACTCAGAAAATTACATCAAAAGTTAGTTACTAAAATATTAAATTACATTAGCTTGTAAACAAAAATATATTCTCATAAAAGGACAGTGAACTATGTTATCTGCAAAAATATATGCACTTACTAATATGCCAGAAGTGACAGACCAATCTATGGTCAATTGATAGATAAAGAGAGATAGACAGATGTTGGAGATACGAGTAGAAGAGAAGGAATAATGTTTCCCAATATTTTTAAGCAATATGCTTTTAAGTAGTGTCATATTAGGTGCTTATCTTCACGTAGCACCTTTATTTTGGCTTAAGAGGCATTAAGATCTGGAAAAAAGTTTTCAAAATAGAAAAAAATTTAAACAATTGCTAAAATAATATCCTAGGCACTGGAAATGAATACTTTCTCAGGTTTAAAAATAAAATTATAGTATTTCCAAATACTGTAATACAGATATTAATATTTGCTGACAAACTAAAATCACCTACTTGAATGGCTTTACTGTAATCAAGCACTCCATTCACTGATCCAGAAGGAATATCATCAACATGATAAATTCTTTAAAAAAAAAAAAAGAGATCAGAATTTCAAAGAAAGTTTAAGTCAAGTTTATACTACTTCATAATCTCTAGAACAATTAAGATATTAAATGAGCCGGGCTCGGTGGCTCAGCCTGTAATCCCGCGCCTTTGGGAGGCTGAGGTGAGTGGATTGCCTGAGCCCGCGGGTTCGAGACCCGCCTGGGCAGCGAGACCTTATCTCTACAATAAATCAAAAAATCAGCCGGGTGTGGTAGCGCATGCCTGTAATTCCAGCTACTTGGAAGGCTGAGGCGGAAGGATCGCCGGAGCCCGAAGCACAGCAGGTCAAGGCTGCAGTGGCCAGGAGCGGCCACTGCACTCTAGTCTGGACGACAGAGTGAGACCCCACCTCAAAAAAAAAAAAAAAGATATTAAATGATATCAATGAATATTATTATTTACTATAACAATCCTGATTATTTTTAAAAGTTCGTGACACAGCTAAATCTTATAAAGGTAGAAACTACCTACCTTGTGTTTACTAGCTATGAGAGTGATATGTTCCTGAAACTTTGGGCACAAAAAATATAGTTAAACATTGAATCATTTGTTTCCAGTGAAGGTCATTAAGCCCTAACAGATACATCACCTTACTCTCCAGCTGCACTGCAGTCAGGAGTAACTTCTAATACATTATCTTTCTCTGTTGTATCTCCATAATTTCCCTTCTACCAATGTGTTTTTAAAAAGTAAAATGTAAATGGATTTGGGAAGATCTAACTAAAGGAAGTTTTGTTCTGAAGTAAAAAGTGAAGAAACTTCCCCTACCCTTCCTGTGTTATAAAGATGTGCCATATGTGGATGTACCTATACCTGAATTATAATAGTTATTCCTATGGCAGTGTCACTGCTGGATTACTTGGCTCTCCCACTAGGTGGTGAGTTTCCTAGAGGCAAAGCGCCACACGTTATCAAGTGCTCTATAATGTCTGCTGAATTAAGTAATGAAGTGAATGGAAGTGAATATAGGTCACAGAGTAACTCTGAGGCTCTGGGCAAATGACTTAATTTTTCTGAGCCTCAATTTCTCCATGTGTAAAATACGAGTAACAATTCCCCCCTTACTGTGTTTCTGAAAGACATAAATGAACTTATGGTTGTAAAGCTCATAAGCAGAATCTGATACATAAAAGGGGTTTAAGCTATAATATAATCACAGGATAATCATGCCATTTTCTACTTTTTAAATACCAAGATATTTGATAATTTATCATTTGAAATCATAATTGTACCTTTAGCAATATAACAGAGATTAATTTTTACATAAATAGGAATTTGTTAAAATACAGAAATGTGTGTACCAATTTAGAGATAGCAGAAACCACCACAAGTTTCTGCTTTTTTTTTGAGTCGAGGTCCTACTCTGTCATCCAGTTTGGAGTGCAGTGGCAGCATCATGGCTCGCTGCACACTCAACCTCCTAGGCTCATGCAATCCTTCCACCTCAGCTTCCTGAATAGCTGGGAGTGCACCACCACACACAGTCTCATTCTCCCAAATAGCTGGGTGCACACCCCCATGCCAGCTAATTTTTTGTAAAAATCACCTACTTGAATGGCTTCACTGTAATCAAGCACCTCATTCACTAATCTAGAAGGAATACCATCAATTCCTATGGTCTCGAACTCCTATGCTCAAGCAATCCTCTTGCCTCAGCCTCCAAGAGTGCTGGAATTACAGGTTTGAGTACTCTGTCTGGCCCATTTTCTGCATCTTAATAAATTTCTAGTAAGAACATTCAGTCCCACTTAGTTATCATAAAATAAAAGTCAAAGATGTTAGTTAGAAGAAGATGCCCCTCAAGAGTCGTTTGGTCCTGCTCCTTCTCTTAAAATAAGAAAGGTACCACAAGAAAGGCCAGTCTGAGTAAAGTGGTTCAGAGTCACATAAACCTGACTTTATGTCTCATCTCTACAAAGCTAGTTACCTTTCACAAATAATTTAGACTCATATATCTCAGTTTCCTCCCTGTGAAACAAGAATGATAAGGGTACTGACAAGACTTACAAAGTGGCACATAAGAAGTACTTAATAAATGCTGGCTGTTATCACCATCATCAACTATATTTTTCAGATGAGGAAACTGAGGTCCCAGGAGAACCAGCCCAAAGTCATCAAAAACAGTAAACACAGCCTAGAGAAAAATATAAGGAAATGCTGCCTTCTTGTAAACAAAAGCCAGAATCTCTTTAGCTGGCTAAAAAAGGACACTTACTCTGTACAGAGTCTAGACTTTTTTGCCCCAACTTGTACTAAGATCCACCTTCTCCCCCAAAACTGCAAGCCTCTGCTTAGTCACACTAAGTCCTTGCATCATGACAATGCACCAGCTCACACAGCACTGTCTGAGAGCATGAGGACTACCACATTCTGTTCTCAAGAGGCCAAAGATTCTGTCCATTTAGTCTTCCATCACCACTGAGAAGATATAATATTTTTCAACTGTTTTTTCCTGCTTCCACATGAACTCACATACCCCAAATACTTTTACTGGGTATATATTATCTGCTATCTAGTATATCTCAGTTTTTTTAGTATATGAGTAAGTCTTAAATGAAAAGTTGCATTAAGATCTCATGCATGTGTAAATGAACAAGATTATTTAAAAAAGCAACCTGGGATTTCTGACCTGACTCCTGCCACCCACTCCCACCAACATGGGCCTATAACCTTGTTAAGAATTATTAGGCTACAACAGTCAACAAAAAGCTTTACTTAAAGGCTTAGGGTAATAACAAAAGGGCAACAAACACGGAGTATCAGTGACAGAGACAATGTAACTAACAAAACACCATAAATGTATCTTTACCTTGAGACTTACTGTAGGGAATCCCTCTACACTGCCGTGGCTCCTAACCCCTCAATGGCAGAACCACTTACCAGAAGAAATTCAGACTCCCTGGAATCCAGGGCAAGAGAAAGAAGTCAAATCTCCAGCTCACCCTGCCTAAAGACCTCTTCCGTATATGAGGTCTGACAATTAAGTTCGCAAACTTGCCACCACATGCTTACATCAGCAGCACTGTATAAACAACTCAGTAAGGTTTCATAACCTTGGTACATCAGGTCTCACAGCTATGTTTGTGCCAACATGTGGCGATGTCTTGCTGAGTAGCATTCATTATTGTTGTTGCATGTGGTTGTGAGCCATCGTGAGAATGCTGGAGCTTGAAGTAGAGCAGTGAACAAACACTAAATTTCTTGTTAAACTTGGCAAAAGTTGAAGTAAAATCAGTGATGTGTCAGTCCAAGTCTATGGGGATAACGTCATGAAGAAAACAGCAGTACACAAATGGATTAAACAGTTTTCTGAGGGTAGAGAAAGTTTCACTGATGAAGAGAAGTCAGGATGACCAGTAATAAGCAGAACTGACAAAAACATTGCAAAAATTTGTCAAATTGTGTGCATCAAAATTACCAGTTGACTGTGAGAACCATAGCAGACCAAATAAACATCAATAGAGAAAGTTAGAAAAGTCTTAACTGAAAATCTCGGCATGAAAAAAGGTGTATGCAAAAATGGTCCGAAGGAGTTCTTGCATCATGACAATGCACCAGCTCACACAGCACTGTCTGAGAGAGAGTTTTTAGCCAGCAAACAAATAACTGTATTAGAACACTCTCCCTACTTACCTGATCAGGCCCAAATGACTTTTTTCTTTACCAGAAAATAAAGGAAATATTGAAAGGAAGATATTTTTATGACATTCAGGTCATCGAGGGTAATACGCCGACAGCTCTGACGGTCATTCCAGAAAGAGTTCCAAAACTGCTTTGATGGGTAGACTAGGCATTGGCATCAGTGTATAGCTTCCCAAGGGGAGTACTTTAAAGGTGACCATAGTGATATTCAGCAATGAGTATGTAGCACTTTTTCTAGGATGAGTTCGTGAAATTAAGGGCCAGACCTCATATGTATCTAAAGATTTGCCTCTCTTCTGGTAATTGATACTAGAATCACTTGGAAAGGCCTGTACTACCAACCCATAGGAATAAAGCTTTAGTTAGACACTTGGATCTCAACTGAATCATCATATTTCAGTACATGATAATAACCTTAAACTGGTGGGGCTGGGTGAGTGAGGACAGCCATAACCTTATAAAAACACATATTTCCAGTCTTTATTTCTAAGGGCTTTCATTCATTACACCATGTTACCTCTCTTTTATTTTGATAAAGTTAAACAAATGGAGCCAGGCGCAGTGGCTCACGCCTGTAATCCCAGCACTTTGGGAGGTGGAGGTGAGAAAATTGCCTGAGTCCAGGGGTTCAAGACCAGCCTGGGTAACTTGGCAAGACCTCGATATAAATCAAAACATTAGCTGGGCATGATGGTGCACACCTCTAGTTCTCGCTACTTGGAAAGCTGAGGTGAAGGATAGCCTGAGTCCAGCAGGTTGAGGCTGCAGTGAACATGAGCATGCCACTGCATGACAGAGTGAGACTTCTACCCAAAAAAAAAACCAAAAAACTTTTTTTAACAAATAAATTTGAAAGATATTCATATTAATGGAAAAACATTTCTACTAGTCAAAGCACTTTACAGTTCTCAAGCATGACAATTTAGAATTAACGAGGTCTGATTTAAGTGTGATATAGTTAAGCTACTAAAAAATATATATCAAAATATATACCTTTCTCTCCCTTCTTTTCGAGACCGCATGAGCTGATTAATTTCCAATGCTGTGAGCCTCTTTGCCACACGATATTGCCAGGTATAAAATGCTACTTTTGAAGCTGCTATCACATGGGTTTTGGTCATTGCAACAAATAATGGAACTATTAAAAAGAGGCATTAAGACAATTAAGTTAGTTATACAAAATCACAGAATGTTTGTGCCACAAAGGACTTTAATAATCACTAGTCCAACCCCTCATTTTACAGACTATATATTCCTACACAGTTTCAAAATACTAACACACCGTCTGTAAATTTTTTTTTTCAATCAAAAGCTTTTAGAACCATACAAAAATACTAATGCAAAGTTATCAGAGACCCAAATGCAGAAGCTGAAACTGTAAACACTTAAAAGAAAACTCAGGAGTAAATCTTTGTAATCTTTGGTTAGGCAATAGTTGGTTTCTTAGATATAAAGCCAAAAACACAAGTGACAAAAAAATAAGAAGATAAATTTGACTTCATCAAAATTAAAAACATTTGTACTTCAAAGGACACCATAAACAAAGTAAAAAGACAACCTAGAGGATGGGAGAAAATATTTGCAAATCACATACCTGATAAGGAATTATATCTAGAATATATAAAAAACTCTTACAACTCAATAATAAAAAGGCAAATAGCTCAATTTAAAAATGGGCAAGCGCGTGCCTGTAATTCCGGCTACTCCGAAGGCTGAGGTGGAAGGATTGCTGGAGCCCAGCAGGCGAGGCTGCGGTGGCCGGGAGCGGCCACTGCACTCCAGTCTGGGCGACCGAGTGAGACTCCAACTCAAAAAAAAGAAAAAAAAAAGAAAAGGGCAAGCCGGGCTCGGTGGCTCAGCCTGTAATCCCACGCCTTTGGGAGGCTGAGGTGAGTGGATTGCCTGAGCCCACAGGTTCGAGACCCGACTGGGCAGGCGAGACCTCATCTCTACAATAAAATAAAAAAATTAGCTGGGCGTGGTAGCGCGCACCTGTAATTCCAGCTACTCGGAAGGCTGAGGCGGAAGGATCGCCGGAGCTCAGCAGGTCGAGGCTGCGGTGGCGGGGAGCGGCCACTGCACTCCAGTCTGGGCGACAGAGTAAGACTCCAACTCAAAAAATAAATAAATAAATAAAAATTGGCAAAGGGGCCGGGAGTGGTGGCTCATGCCTGTAATTCCACCACTTTGGGAGGCTAAGATGAGGGGACTACTCAAACCCAGGAGTTCGAGATCAACCTGGGCAACATGGTGAGACCTTGTCTCTACAATAAATAAATAATAAATAATTACCTGGGCATGATGGCATGTGCCTGTAGTTCTAGCTACTTGGAAAGCTGAGATGAAAGGATCACCTGAGCTCAGCAGTTCAGGCTGAGGTAGCAATGGTCATGCTACTATACTCTAGCCTGGATGACAGAGTGAGACTCTGACGATAGATAGATAGATAGATAGATAGATAGATAGATAGATAGATAGATAGATAGATAGATAAAAATTGGCAATGGATATGAACAAACATTTCTCCAATGAAGATACACAAATGGCCAATAAGTATATGAAAAGACAGTCAGCATCATTAACCATCAGAGAAATGGAAATAAAAACCACAATGAGATACTATTTCACATCCAACAGGATCTCTAGAATCAAAACATCAGACAATAACAAGTGTTTGCAAGGAAGAGGAGAAACGGTGGGAATGCAAAATGAAGCGCCCACTTTTAAAAATAGTCCAGCAGTTCCTAGAAATATTAAATGTAGAGCTGTCATGCACCCCAGCAATTCCACTCCTAGGTATACTCCCAAGAAAAATGAAATGAAAACACACACAAAAACTCATACATAAATGTTCATTACATTATTCATAACAGTCAAAAAGTAGAAACAACCCAAATGTCCACTAACTAATGAATGAAAATAAAATCTCACTCCCACCCCTACCCCCACAAAGGCTTGGTTCAGGCCTTTGTCCTTTTCTTTCATTTTGTATGTCTTATATTTCAATCTTCACTTAGAAAACTCACCCAAGTTCTTTCTTAAGAAATATATTCTTCTAAACAAATAATTTTTTTTATCTGTTCCATTTCTTAGAAAAAGTTGAATTGAACTTCTATTGTGTATCCTTTTATGAAGCAGTCTCATCAAATCCATTTTATGGATAATGAAGCAGTCTTAAAGAAGCAAAATAACTTTCCCAGGGTCACAAAACCCCAAATAAATGATATAAAATTAAACACACAAAATATTTTAAAGCAAAAAAAAAAAAAAAACTTCACAAAAAACCATTATATCTGTTTTCTAAATTCATGAATTAAAGCCGTATATTTTTTTATTTATGCACACTATACAAAGCAATCATTAATACGGCCAGAATAAAGAAATGACATTAATAGGAGCTATCATTTATGAAGCTCTTGCCATAGTTCAAATAAAGGACACTTAAACTATTCAACAGCCTTAGAAACTGAACAAGGAATTAGAAGCTAGTTTGATGGGATGAGGTTTATTGGGTGAATTAACAATTTGGGGATTTAAATTCAAGAAGATTTCAGTGCTAAATGACTCAGTTCAATTGAGTTTTGTTGTTGTTGTTGTTTGTTTTGTTGTTTTGTTTTGTTTTGTTTTCACTATAGTTGTCAAGATTTTTCCATTCTAAATGTGTACTGTTAGTGACCTCTGGAGGGAGCTCAAAGTCTTTCTTGGAAGGAACAATTGCCGGACAGCCAGACACAGAAAACTACGGCAAAGCCTCTAGGGGGCGAGCATGCCAAGCCAATCTTGGCTCTTTCTTCCCTGACAACGTCTTCGCTAAATGTTAAGTAAGACATTTGCTAAATATTTAGTAAATGCCACCATGGATACTCTGATGCTAGTAACTATTATGCCCTTAGCATGATTTGAAGTAAGTCTGAAAACTTTAACTGCTTCTTCATAATATATAACTTTCCCTAACTTTATAAGAGCATTTTTCAGCCAATGTTTACTGACAATTATAAATTATACTCATATTTATTTCTTTTTGATATATCCTAAATACTCACAGGTGTTTGTCGTTAGCCTGATTATTTCAAAGTTTAAATGTTAATGATTCCAGGTAAGATTCAGACTTCTTGAATTCAAATTGCAGGCACTTGCTAACTCTGGTATTGGATAAATTATTTGTTCTCTCTGAACCTCAGTTTACTTAACTGTAAATTGAAGAATTAATTCCAGCCCTCTAGAGCTCTCTTAAGGTTTAAAAGAGATAATAAATATAAAGTATATCACAGGCATAGAGTAAATGCTTAATAATTTTAAAAGACAGTATTTCTTAAATTTTTAAAGATATATGCCAGGCACCGTTCGAACACATTACATACAAAGGGGGGAGGCCCCAAAGCAACAGAATATTTTGGAGAGTAGGCCCCTAGTAGTACATGTTTCCCCCACTAGATAAGCGTTCTAGGAACCCACTGGCATCACTGTACCAGCTAGCATTGTGAGAAGCTGCATTAGGCTTCTGAAAGCATTTTGGGGGGATTCTTTCAATGCGTTTGCCCATTTCATGATGGGTGATTTATCAGCATACCTGCCCACACCATGCTGAATGTTCAGCAGTTCTGTTCAAAAACAGGATAATCCCTGTGCTTCACCCACCCTATTCAATGCATCTCACCCCAAATGACTCTATTGGTTTCCCCAATGAAAAAAGTCCTTAAAGGGAAAGATTGTGCTGATGTGAAAGAGGTGAAACAAAAAAAGGCAGAAGCGCTAAAAGGCATCAAAACTGACAAGTTCAAAAACTATTTTAAGCAGTGGAAAAAGCATCTCAATGGATGTATTGCATCAAACGGAGAGTACTTTGAAGATGACTAAAGTTTAAACATGTAAGAGTAAATACACAATTTATTACAAATGCATTCCTGGTTTTTTGGGGTCCCCCCTCATATATTAACTCACAACCGCCCTATAAGGTAGGCATTACTCTCCCCATTTAGCAGATGAATAGAAGCATAAAAGTTATAATTTATCCATGACACACATCTAGAGTGTGGTAGAGTTGGACACAAACCCAGTGAATCTGGTTCCAGAGTCAGCTCTTAACCACTGTAGTGGACAGATCCTCATTAAGGATTAAGTAGTATTAGTTAGGCATGATTACAATTGTTTTTACTTTTATTATCTACATGGGTTTTTATAATAAAACCATATACAAATTATCCAGTTAATACAAGAAGATACAAATACATCTGAGACATATGTTCTTTTGAATCAATATAGTGGTAATTTCAGCAAACTCATATGGACAGATAACAGATAATCCTATCCATATATATTTTGCTAGATCTTTATTAAATGATCCATCCCATCCAGACTAAGGTTCCAGGAAGGAAAAAAAAAAATTTAGCAGACAGAATATTTTAGGAAAAGAACACATCCGAGATAAAAGCATTTCATGCTCTTCTCAACTACTCAATATCTAAAAAGAAAAAATTATAAATATCTAGAAAGGTTACTAGAAAAAAATTTTAAGAAAAGAAATATGTTTCCATTCATTGAACTCTGTAACACTAATAAGCAGTAGTTACTAGCCAAGCAAGGACATAAAATAATTGAAAACAATCTAGGAATTCACATATTAAGTAAAGTTAACTTGTAATATTTTAATGCTAAGGTTTGAAATAAATGGCTACATCTGCAATGTTCACCTACTTTCCTACTTATTCACTGCTGAGCCCTTTAAAGAGCTGGTAAACTGAAATTGCACTGAAATGTTTTCATCAAATTAACATTATCTGGAATAAGTAGGAAACTTAGTGCATGTGTTAAAGACCATCATTAGAAAGCTGCTCATATGTTCCTGCTAAAATGACTGCAAGCACAGGCAACCCGGTACTTTCTAGCCAATTTTCACGCCTTTGTTCCTCACAAATGCTGTTTTCTCTCCTTAAAATATCACCTGAAGAAATACTTATCCTTCCAAACTCAGCTCATAAGCTCTAAGTAGAAAGAGATCCCTGATGTACTTACACATCAATATCCATTTATTCAGCACCTAGCACAACACCTAGCACACAGCAGGAAAGCAATAAGTCACCGATCAATGGATTAACTGTATTTTAATTATTTGTTTAGACTTTTCACAGGAAATATCATAACTGATTTCTTATTATTCCCAATGACCAGTTCGGTACCCGAAAGAGTATATACTTGTTGATAGTTTGCTAAATAAATGAATTATCATTTTTATTCACAAGATAGAAAATAAATATTTTCCATGTACTCAGTAAACATTATGGGCCAAGCAAAAGCTTAGGTCATGGGGATACGAACATTAATTAGGCATAGATATTTTAGAAGTTCAAAGTCTAAAAGGGAAGACAGACAAGAAAATCAATAATCACAGTGCAAAGTAAGAAGCACTTTGGATGGGAATACACCAAAGGTATTATGAGGGTGCAACAGAAGAGTCCTGCAAAGGTGCCTAACTCCTACATGTGGAGTACAGTGAGTCCCACAAGGTCCTTTTTAAGGTTTCTCTTGAAATTGTAAAGAGGAAGAGTAGGAAGAGAAACAAAAATAATACATTCTAGGACACTATCAGTCACACACTTTTTTTGTTTTTGCCTCCAGTTCTCATGAAAATTTGGCACGGAAACCTAAAAAAGCAATTTTACAGGACCTGTATGAAACAAAAATGTTGAGTCTTTGGCTGTTTTTGCTGCAGACCAATGAAAGCACTGTTTGTTAAAATTTCAGCCAGCAAGGCCACAAAAACAGTTTTGAGACTCAAAAATACAAATAATCATGCCCTCAAATATTTGCCATTTTATGAAGGGGAAGGATTTGCATTTATCTTTATTTAAAAAACAGTCTACCTGTAATAAAAATTACTTTGAGGCTAATCCTATCATCATTTATTTATATAAAACTTTGTATATTAAAAGAAAAAGCATATGATCTGAAGACTGGCAGAATTTATCCCCTAGAGAAGATTATGTTTCTAACAAGTAAAAGATATTCATGTGACAAGAGTCTGTAACAATTTTAAGCTAAGCTTTTTAATAAGAAATACTAATATATGCACATATTTGTGTACATATAGACATATATAAAACATATAAATATGCCTATGTAGCAATGAATATAGGACCTGAAGCTGAAATATTTCAATATATGAAAACAAATGAGTTATCAAGACCCTAAACTTTGCGGTCATTATTTCTCATATTTGCTGTTATCACCCCCAAGAGCTTAGCAAAATGTAAACATATAAAAGGCAAACATTAATATCTAGTTGTGTAGACTGAATGTCCAATCTGAAAAAAAATGACTAGTTCTTAGCATAAGAAAATAATTCAATGGGTTTTCAATTTCTTAGACTTAATAATTTTCATAATACTATATCTAATATACTACCATACACTTCAAAAGAAAACCATTACTTTTAGAAGTTACAGTGAAATGGCAACAAAATACTTGCTCATGATTTTTAAAACCTGCTTAGAATAAATTTGGAATTTTTAATGGGTTACCTTTTATAGTTATCGGATAGAGAGAATGGTAAATCTAAAGTAACAAATGTGCTTTGAAAACAAAAAGTCAGGAATTTTCTTAAGCTGTCCCTATTAATAGACTGATTTCATTAGAAAAATCTGGAGAGGGCAAATACTTTTACAAGCAGCTAAAGTGTTTTTATAGAAGAGAGGTATTTACAAGCAGTTTATTAATAATAAAGGTATTTTAATAGCAAAATTCTTTCTATAATCCTCAGCTTATTACACACTAATCTTTACACTACATACCAATTCTTGCACAATGACATTTCCCATTTAAAGCAAATGATGGCAGTATAGCAGTTGTGAAATTATAGTGGATTTTAGACAGAGTGACCTTATAATTTACTGTCTTAACTAGCATGCTTTTGAGAGTAAAATGGGGCATTATTAATAATTCTACCATAGTAGGCATAAACTGGTATTGGACCTGACACACTAAGAAATATAGTCATTCTTGTTTTAGAAAATACCATTCAAATTAAGAATATCAATGTTAGGTTTTTTAATGAGTGCTACAAAAACCTGATTGGAGAAGGAATAAATATTAACACTTCCTTACCAATGTCAATGTATTTGGGATCCAAGGGTGTACCAATAGAATTACAAAGAACTAGCACATACTGTGAACAAATAAAACAAAGATTATCAGAAATCCCACTAATGAATAATAAAGAAAATATGTTCAACATATATCATGCTTATCTCTTTTTCAAGTATCACCAAATGAGAAATAATTAATAAAACTGTTAGATGCAATGGCAGACAAAAAGAAAGATACACCATTAAATATAAAGAAACATGAATTAAAATTAAGCCAAGGCTGGTTCCTCAATGCAATGGAACATTGTGATTTTTAAGAGGACATGTAAGAAACATAAGTGCACTGGCTACTTTTCATCATTTATACCTCTAAAAAGTTCCTAATCAGCTACAGGCTAAAAATTCACTTATAATCCTATAGTCAACTATATAAGAGCTAACTTAATTTGTTACCGTTGCACCAAATGTCTCCATCTCATTCTCCTCCTTTGAAGCAATATATAAATGACATGAGAAATTCAGAAAAAAAATCAGTTAATTCAAAAAAGACATGATCCAATCTAGTGAAAATGACTTATATACAAATAATTATCAATGATTAATACTAGGAAAATAACCAAGCATAATGTACACTATGTATCACCTTATTCCAAAGTGATTTCACTTTTTCTTACTGTTAATCACCTTTTCTGTATCTTGTACCAAGAACAGTATTCCACTTAGTTTTCCTGACTAAAGTAGCAATTTCAAATAGTCCAATTTTTTATGTTTTAATGTGCTATTTACATAAATACTTTTTGTTTTTTTATCATCTAAATTAAAACTTGTTTAATTTCATTAATACAAACTAAATGATCAAAATTATAATAAAATGTCATAATTTATCCTTCTACTACTTAAAATAAGCATATATGACAAAATACCATAAACTGTATCTTTTTATTTACTTTTCGCTTTTAACATTTATATATGCTCACACTTTCAAGAATCAAATAGTTCCACAAGACTTCTTACTAACAATGGTTGTCCCCCCATCTTCCGATTTCCTTCTCCCTTTAACTCATCCTTTTGCAATTTACGTCCACAAACCTACATACATGTTTACAGTGTTGCTTCTTGTTTTGTTTTGTTTCAATGTAATGCGTTATCTGTTGCCTTCACTGTGAAAGATAAGCTTGCTTTCTTCTCCTTTGCCCACATTACCTTGCCCCACAACCCAGGAGCACACTTCCATCTCTCCATGTTTTCATTTTTAACGTAATTTTGTCAGATCAAAGAGTTGAATATGTTTATTACACTTCAGCTAAAAGTTTTTATAATGAATAAAAACAGTGATATCATTTTGACTATGTAAATGCTAATTTCAGCTAAGTCATCAAGTATATTATAATTTATTTTCCCTTCAAGCATATTTTGCTTTTCCTGTGCTAATAATTGTCTTGATGTTTTTCCTTTACTTGGTTTTCTATGCACTTACTACTAATTCAACTACCCAATTATCCCCTAGTTTTATACACACACACACACACACACACACACACACATCTTTGCAAATGTTCAAATATATTAGGTAGCCTACTAATTTCATCTTCTTGAATTTCCTTTGGAGTCTTTTGGCCTCTCATTTGACTCACTGGACATACTGCACAACTGTTAGCTAGTACACCCTTTACCACTGGTGTTGGGTTCTCCTGATTCTTCTTTCTTGGTGTATTCCTCATTTTGGTAAACCATACCCTGAAGCAACTTCCTAAGATAGATAAGCTTTGAAGGTAAATTTTTGGTGACTCTGAACACCTCCCTCACCTTTTTTGTATTCTACTCTCACATTTAGTTAATAGGTGGCTTAAGATATGAAATTCTAGATGAGAAATTATATTCCCGCAGAATATCGAAGGCAATTTCTACTGCTATTTCTATTGTATTACTATTAACAAGTTGAATGCCATTATGATCCCTGATCTTGTGAAATTTGTTTTTCCCTTCTGAAAGCATAAAGGATTTTTTTCTCCCCGTTGTTCTGAAATTCCACAATGATGTGCCTTGATGTGGAAATATTATGATTCACTGAGCTAGGCATTTGCAATCTAGAGCCTGAAGGGAAATTGTCTTGGATTTTTTTTTTTCCAGATATACTCCCCTACACTTGCCTGTTCACTCTTTTAAGAAATATTATTGAGGCCATTACCTTGCTAAGCTATAGTGCAGCCATGCGCTTTCTGAGCAATATCCAGGTCATGTTTCCTGGGTTTGCCCCCTCCCCTTCCTTGGAGAGGTGAATCTCCTCTTTCTCTCTCTCTAATTTACTTTCTAAATAAGCAATTTTTTCTAATCTAAAAAAAAAAAAAAGAAAAATTATTGAAATGCTAAACTTCCAGGATTAGTCCTCTAATTTTCTTATTTTTTCACTCCTATTTTTTAATTCCATCTTTTTGCTCCACTTTATAGGAATATGCCTTCATTTTAACTTCTAATCCTCCTGCTAAAGTTTTCTTTGTCATATTTGTAATATCCAAAAATCTCCCTTTCTGTAATGTCCTTCTCCTATTTCATGGGTGCAATACTGCTTAACTCCCTGAAGATAACCTTGACAATTCTTTTGAAATATTTTTAGAAGTGTTCTTCCTGCACACAAGGTCTGACAATTAAGTTCACAACTTGCCACCATATGCTTATGTTGGCACCACGGTATAAACAATTCAGTAAGGTTTCATAACCTTGGTATACTAGTGTCTCACAGCTGTGTTCATTTCAACGTGTGGCAGTGTCTTGCTGAGTGGTGTTCTATACTGTTGTTGCATGTTTTTGTGTGCCATCACAAGAATGTCACAGCTTGAATTAGTGTACCAAACAAACATCAAATTTCTTATTAAACTTGGCAAAAGTGGAAGTGAAATCAGGGATGTTAGTTCAAGTTTATGGGGATAATGCCAGCCATGAAGAAAACAGCAGTGTACAAATGGATTAAACAGTTTTCTGACAGGAGAGAAAGCATCATTGATGAAGAGAGGTCAGGATGGCCAATAACGAGCAGAACTGACAAAAACATTGCAAAAATTCATCAAATTGTGCATCAAAATTGCCAGCTAACTGTGAGAAGCACAGCAGACCAAATAAATATCAATAGAGGAACAGGAATCTTAACTGAAAATCTTGTCTTGAGAAAGGTGTGTGCAAAAATGGTACCAAAGGAGCTCTTGCATCACCACAGTGCACCATCTCACACAGCATTGTGTGTGAGTTTTTAGCCAGTAGACTAAACTGTATAACTGTATTGGAACACCCTCCCTACTCACCTGATCTGACCCCCAATGACTTTTTTCTTTACTCAAAGATAAAGGAAATATTGAAAGGAAGACATTTTGATGACATTCAGGACATCAGGGTAATACAAGGATAGTTCTGACGGCCATGCCAGAGAAAGAATTCCAAAATTGCTTGGACAGGTGGACTAAGCACTGGTATCAGTGCATGGTTTCCCAAGAGGAGTACCTCAAAGGTGACCATAGTAATATACAGCAATGAAGTATGTAGCACTTTTTCTAGGATGAGTTCACGAACTTAATTGTCAGAACTCAGTCTCTGCTTCTTCCAAGTTCTTTTTTTACCATCTGTTAGATTAGATGCTTCCCTCGAATGTCTGATAATCCTTGTCTATATGGTTTTTTGTTTTTTGTTTTATTTTAAAGATGTGGAGTGCGACTCAGGGTTAGGTATACAAATGGTCATTGTATAGGTAACGTTTGGGCCTCTCTTTGGTCCCCACTTCACCTGGTTTGAGATCAGATACCCTTATTGATTAAGTGTGCCCCCACCTCGGCAGTTTCCTACTATTGCCAAACCCTTTCTTATAGAATTATGATAACTGTTATAAGTGAGAACATGACTGTTTATATTTAAGAGTGAGACACTAAAAAGCTGTTTGGAACCAAGTTGTCTATGAGTGAGCTTCACTGACTGGGGTCTTGACTATAAGGTGATGAGCAGGGTTGCTTCCTTCAGTACTCCAACCTCAGTATCTTTAGAGGTCTTCTAAACAGGTCTCTTGAGAATACTCTTCCAATCTCCTACCTCAAAGCTTGATGCTTGGCTGACAAAAACAAAAATATACAAATGGTAGTTAATTAAACTAAAAAGCTTCTATATAGCAAAATAAATAATTAACCTTTTGTCACATTTGCTTCTGGGGGCTTCATCACAAATTATTTGCCAAGGCCAATGTCCAGATGAATTTTTCCTTGGTTTTCTTCTAGGATTTTTATACTTTCAGTCTTTAATCCATCTTGAGTTAGTTTTGGTATAAGGTGAAACATAGGAGTCCATTTTTTTGCATATGGCTAGTTAGTTTTCCCAGCACATTTGTTGAGTAGGGTGTCCTTTCCCCGTTGTTTATTTTTGTCAGCTTTGTCGAAGATCAGTTAGTTGTAAGTATATGGCTTTATTTCTGGGTTCTATATTCTGTCCCATTGATCTATCTATTTTTGTACCAGTACCATGCTGTTTTAGCTACTATAGCTTTGCAATGTAATTTGAAGTCATGGAAAATTTTAACATGGAAAAGGATTGTTATATTTTAACTATGTGATATTTTAACAAAAGGCTTTCTTTTAGTATTAAACTAGTCAATGTGAACTACCAATGATTCGCTGATTGAAGAAAAAAAATCAGGGGATACAAAACCAATGGAATCACAGTTTTTCAAAACAGGTCTAGACATACATGGCCAAGAGGATTCTGTATTTGTTCTTTTTACTTAGGATTGTTTTGGCCATTTGGGCTCTTTTTTTAGCTCCATACAAACTTTAGTATTGTTTTTTCTAGTTCTGTGAAAAAAGATTCTGGTATTTTGATAAGGATTGCATTGAATCTGTAGATTGTTCTGGGCAGTATAGTCATTTTAACAATATTAATTCTTCTGATCCACAAAATGGGTTGTTCTTCCATTTCTTTGTTGTCTACAATTTCTTTGATCAGTGTTTTGTAGTTCTTCTTGTAAAGATCTTTCACCTCCTTGGTTAAATGTACTCTCAGGTATTTTTAATTTTTTGTGGCTATTGTAAATGGGATTGAGCTCCTGATTTGATTCTTGACTTGAGCATTATGGATGTATAGAAATGCTGGTTTTTGTACATTGATTTTGTATCCTAAAACTTTACTAAAATCACTTATCAGGTCTATGCATCTCCTGGAGAAGGCTTTAGGGTTTTCTAGGTATACAATCATGTCATTGGCAGAAGGAGTTTGACTTCCTCCTTGCCAAATTGGATGTCTTTTCTTTATTTCTCTTGCCTGACTGCTCTTGTTAGGACTTCCAGTAGAATGCTAAATAAGAGCAGTGAGACCCCAGTCTTAATAGGTGGGAAAAGGGTAGCTGCCTATGAACTCAGTACAGGAGGAGACCCAGGGATCTACTTCTATATATGCCTTTTTATTTTTTTAAATTTTCTCCTTCCTACATAATCTATGGTACTTCCAAATTACTTTTGTGCTTGTTTCTTTCTCCCACACCAGGTATCCCCAAATCCTGTGTATCTTTGAGATTCTGTAATGTAAATTGGATGCCCTTTTGTTTTCTCCATGAATGACTTATGGTGCAGCTTTATCAGGTCTGTTAGGATAATTACCATGAATTCACCTACTCTCTAACCTATAAAATTTTGTTGCCCTTTCCTCTCCCTTTCTGGTCCCTATGGGCTTATGACTTTTTAAAAGAAAACCTTTACTGCTGTTTTAGCAAGTTTCAGGAGAGAATAAAGCTAAATGTGGCTGTTTAGATAGTCACCCTCAGTCAAAAACACTATGCTTTTTAATGGGATAAAATAATTTATAACCCAGCCAAAGATATTGGTAGTGTTTTTCTGAAATACTTACATAATTTTGCAAATATTTAAACTGTTGGTATTCTTTTTAAAGGATATATTTATGCTATGTATTTTATGCTATAAGATATTGACCTTTAAAGCAATATAACTCCAAATAAAAGTAAACTTCTCAACGTCAAAAGCTACCCAAACTGTTATAAGTGTTAATTTTTGCAATATGTTCAGCGTTTATACATACTAGACATGTGAATGTTCATTTTTGCTTATGAAGTTTTAACATGGAAAAGGATTGTGATATTTTAAATATATGTCAGAGACAAAGGTTCAATTTTAGTATTAAACTAATCAGTGTAAACTGCCGATGATTCGCTGATTGAAGAAAAAAACAAAACCAATGGAATCACAGTTTTCCAAAACAGGTCTAGACATACATGGCCAAGAGACCTATGTTTTGTTGCAGTTGCCAGAATAAAGACCATGCTTAAGAAAATAGATAATTATAGCCCAATTCTGTCAAATAGCTAACCCATGTATCTCTTAAGATATCAAGGAACACCTACCTGAGGATGATTTTCATCAGCTTTCGTAGCCAAAATGCAGAAATCACCACAGGTAGTAATAGAAATGAGACCCTTCACATATTTAACATATTTTTCATTGTTTTTTGTATCCCAAAAAGCAACACAGCATTCTGGGCGATCAGGTCTAGTATATGCATAAACTACTGTATTTGAGCAATAACCCCACTAGGAAGAAAAGAAAGGGGGAAAAGAGGGAAATAGAAAGAGAGAAGGCATATTTAGCATTGGGGGAAAATCATATTATTTTCTTTTTACTCTAGAAATATTACAGATATATGATTTACAAGTGCTGACAAAATATATCTTTCAGAAATGGAAGACAGGATTGAACCTTCAGCTTAATACCTCTGCTCATTAAAATAAAGACATCTGATTTTTTTAAAAGCTGTAATTCCAGCACTTTGGGAGGCCTAGGGAAGTAGATGGCCTGAACCTGCGAGTTTGAGACCAACCCGGGCAACTTGGGAAGACCTCATCTCTACATTAAATAAAAAATTAGCTCAGTGTGATAGCACATGCCTATAGTTCTGGCTACTTGGAAGGCTGAGGCGGAAGGATTGCCAGAGCCCAGCAGGCTGAGACTGGGATGGCCGTGAGTGTGCCTCCGCACTCCAGCCTGGGCGACAGAGTGAGACTCCAACTCAAAAAAAAAAAAAAAAAAAGAATGTGCTGCAAAGATAAATTTAGTTTAACATTCCTTGTTATTTGTAGGATTTAAGCTTCAATGGTGAAAATTTTCAATAGTCAATAACATCGCTGGAGGGGACAATAGATAAAATGATCTCTGCCAAAAGTTTAAATTCTGGGTCCCCAGGCCAAAACTCAAAATTAATCACTTTGTTTTTTTTCCAATCATATTTTTTATATTTGTTTTCATCATGCACATCGTTTATAGTCAAATAATTCCACATGGCTTATATAAAACAAACAAAAATAAAATGTGGACCCCCCCACCCACTCAATTTTCCCTCCAAAATAGCCATATACAACTCTTTTAGCTGTAACTGCTCTGCTATTTTTCCCATATTGTATTATCTATTGATTATGGAACTTGTACACTTACAGCTTTCCCTTCTAACACTCCCAATATGTGTATATGCCACTTTTTATGACTGTTTGACTTTTCAAATCTAAGCCACATTTAGCTTTTTATACCTTGATTACATTCTAAAATAAACATTTTTTTCTTTGAGTTGAAGTCTCACTCTGTCGCCCAGGCTGGAGAGCAGTAGCACAATCATGGCTACCTCAGCCTCAGCCTGCTGGCCTCAGGCGATTCAAGTGGCTGGAACTATAGGTGCACACCACCACACCTGACTAATTTTTTTATTTATTGTAGAGACAAGGTCTCACCATTTTTCCCAGGCTGGTCTTGAACCCCTGGGCTCAGGTGATCCTCTCACCTCTACCTCCGAAAGTGCTGGGATTACAGGTGTGAGCCACCACACCCAGCCCTAAAATAAACATTCTACTTCAAAATGTTTTAGATTTACAGAACAGTTGCAAAGATACTATGTAAAGAGTTCCTATATAACCCTTCATCTCTTGTCCCCTATTGTTAACATCTTACATTACCCTAGTACATTTGTCACAACTAGGAAACCAACATCACTATTAACTAAATTAATATTACTATTAACTAAACTTCATACTTATGGACTTAATTAATTTTTCCCTAACGTACTTTTTCTACTCCAGAATCCCATCTGGGAAATATTATATTTAGTCATCATATCTCTGTAGGCTCCTCTGGGGCGTTACAATTCCTTAGTCTTTCCTTGTTTTTGATGACCAGGATCATTTTGAGGAGTACTAAAGAGGCATGTTGTAGAATATCTCTCAATTTGGATTTGTCTTTCTCATGCTTAGGTTAGGATTATATGATTTTAGGAAGACCAGCACAGAAGTGAAGTGCTCTTTTCATCAGGTTATATCAGGGAGTACATGATATTCACATGACATCACTGGTGATGTTAATGATCACTTGGCCAAGGTGCAAAGTTTCTCCAATATAAAGTTACTGTCAATAAAAAAATAAATAAAACTTTCAAAAAAAACCCCCCGCTTTCTTTGTTCCCCTTTTCTATACTCTACTCTTTGGAAGTTAACACTAACTAAATGCAGACCCACAGTCAAGCTGGGGGAGTGGAGAACTATGCTCTACTTCCTAAAGGGTATCTAGGTAAATTGAAATAATTCCATAAGGGAGATTTGTTTCAGCTGGGCCAAGTGGCTCATGCCTATAATCTCAGCACTTTGGGAGGCCGAGGCAGGAGAATCACTTGAGCCCAGGGGTTCAAGACCAGCCGGGGCAACATAGAGCTTGCATCTACAAAACAAACAAACAAACAAAAAAAACCCCAGAAAATTAGCTGGGTATGATGGCACATGCCTGTTATCCCAGCTACTCAGGAGGCTGAGGCGGAAGAATTGCCCAGGAGGTCAAGGCTGTAGTGAGCTATGGTCGCACCACAGCACTCCAGTCTGGGTAACAGAGTGAGACCCTGACTCAAAAAAAAAAAATAATAAATAAAATTTGTTTCTTCTCTAGCATGTATTTATTTATTCAAATAATTTATTTATGTCAGTATTAACTCTTGGACACTTATTCTACAATGTCGGTTAATAAAATGCTATATAATTTATTTTATTCCTCAAATTGTTCTAGCTTTGGCTATTGAAAGCTCTTTCAGGTTGACTTTCCCTCTGACATACCCCCATTCTTTTGTTGTTTGAGCACTCTCTTACTTACACTAAAAGACAATTTCAGGCTTATCTGGTATTTTCTCTGACCTAATCCTAAAGTCAGCTATTTTTCCAAGGTGCTTTGCCATTTAAAAATTAAATATATAAGATTTTTCACGGCAAACAGTTTAATAAACCAATTTCACATTTCAGACCATGTTTTAGATCAAACACTAAACTTAAATATTACTTAGATATTATGTTGTTTATTCTCTTTTTTTTTTTCCTTTTGGCCCATTCTCTGCCCTTCTCTACCCTGCTCTGAGCACTGGAGGCTGATTTCTATGAACTCCATCCCCAGGCTACCTTGCTTTCTGGCTCCCAGTTGGGATTGGCCAATAGAAAGCACCAACATCAGCAGGTGAAGAGAGGAGGTGGTATATTTATTGTTCAATCCCTCTGTGCCTGGCCAGGTGGCAGTGTTCGTACCCCCCTGCAGATCAGCCCTTCCCGTAATAGCAATAGCGCTAGTGAGTTCCAGGCACCTTACTCCCTTGCCTTGTTTCTTTGGGTCCAGGGTTGGTGACGGCTTCTTATTGTTGCTAATCCCTGGGTGCTTGCATTATCATCCCTTGCTTTCCTTTAGCCCTGCCTACACACCTCTACAATAAGTCCTACATCAGAGTGTTTCATCTATTTCCTGCTGAGTCACTGACTCATGGAGTAATTTTCCTAACTATATATAGTACCCTAGAAAAGTTTATTTATTCTAAGGTCTTCACACAAGCCTCCTTTCCACTAGCTTCTAAAACAAAACAGCTTTGAATATAGTTTGAACTATAATAAAATTATTTAGTAAAAAGTGCTGTTTAGTTTATAACTGCTCTTAATACTCACGTTATAATCAGGTCGAATATTTGCAAAATATATAAAAGAATCAACAGCTAGTGCAATTTTCAGTCCACCTCCTTCCCAAGCTATTGCAGATATTTCCTTTCCAGGAACTTTCAAAGTACCCAAATGCTGAAAAACAAGAATTATATTTAACCTAAAATATCACAACTCAGTACAAATTACCACCAATCTCTTCACAGAGATCAAAAGTGATATAAAAATGATATTGTGAAAGTTTAATGCTCACTTTAAAATCATTTTCTTTAATTTTTATAATAAAAAACAAGAATATAATAGGAGAGATTTATAAATTATAGACAAAGACGTCAACATCAAATTTCATCAAATCTATGATGCCACAGATTAAAACATACATCTTTATTTTTATGTTAAACTAAGGAAAGAAAAAGCCTATTGACAACTTTGATTATAAAGTGTTCCCCATTTTAGAGTTGTAAAAAATTATACTTTTAGGAATCAATGAAATATTGTATTAGTAAACTAAATCCTGAAGTCTTGCCTCTCTTTTTCATATATAGTTTTATGTCCCACAAGCAAACAGTTACCACATCCCATTGCTTTTACTCATTCTCCATGGTTCCTTTTTTTCTTGATGGTAATAGCTTCCTAATTTCAATTTTTGCCTTTTATCTCTCTCTTTATTTGCATCCTCTGCCCTCCCAACTGAATCTCCATTCTGTCATCACACTTATCTTCCTGGGTCACAAATCTGATCATATCCTACTCACTTTAAAGTAAGGTTTAATTATTTTTTATAAAAATTAATAGCTCCCCACCATCACAGTCTTTAGCGTGGCATACAATGCCTTGTTCCCATCTGGCCCAACTACATTCTTTGGCTTAACAGCCCACTACTTAGCCATAATTACTGGGTGCCCACTCATGAGGGAACTACTATGCCTCATATGCTCATAGAATATTCTTTCTGCCTGAAATCTTTGCCTTTCCTCCTCCCCTAGCCTTACTGTTCCTTATCTTCCTGCAGCACTGCTACTCATTCCTCAAGATACAATGCAAATATTCCTTCCTCAATGAGTCTTGCCTTCTTCTCTACTTCTAAGGTTCCAGAGAATTAGACAATGAGCTACTTGACAGCACAACCTGCATCATATTCACATTTATTTTCTTATCCCTTAATTGATTACTTGGCAAACAGATATTTAGTAAATATTTGTTAAGTAAATCAATATATTGTACATTCAAATTAGTTTCTTCATATACTAACATAGTATGTTTTATGACTGAATTAATGAGTGAATAAATGAATACAAACACTTTTTTAGTGAGACTATAAAAAGATAAACATTTTCATCTATACTTCTTATTAGCAGAACAGTTATCATCCCAAGAATTTCAAAAAATTGTACTGGTACTCCTTGTTCTTAAGCAGATATCCTCCAAAGTCAATTTAATATTGCTATGTTTGCCCCCTCCAAAACTCATGTTAAAATTTAACTGCCTTTGTAAGAGTATTGAGATGGGACTTTAAGAGGTGATTAGGCCATGAGGTCTCTGTCCTCATGGGTGGGATTACTGCTGCTATAAAAGGGCTAATTCACTCCCCACCCTCATGTCTCTATTGCCCTCTCTTTGCCTTTCTGCCTTCTACCATCTGATGATGCAGCAAGAAGACCCTCACCAGATGTTGGTGGCTTGATGCTGGACTGCTCAGCCTCCAGAACAGTGATCCAATAAATTTCTCTTTATTATATATTACTCAGTCTGTTGTATTCTGTTATAATAGCACATAACAGACTAAGGCAAACATATTGAACTCCATTTTGCCAGGAAAACGAATGGAAAATAAACCCCACAGTTTTAACCTAAAAGGGTCCAATCTTTCTGTCTTGCTGCCTGTATGAAACCAAAGAGGAGAGGAAGGTCTCACAACAGGACTCTTGGTATTGGCCCCTCCATAGTGGGAGGAGCATAAGGTCATTTCCTAACTGCAAACCAGTCATGTAGTAGCAGCAGCAAGGAAAGAAAATGGAACTTTAGTAAGCACTAAGTGCCAGACACTGTGGTAGGCATTTCCTCATTGTTATCACCTTTAACCTTAACAACAGCACCATGAGGTATTATCTTTATTTCATAAAATAAATAAACTGAGTCTTAGAGGTGAAATAACTTCTTTAAGTCAAATTACACTATGGAAATAAAATTCAAAGCCAGATCAACCTGACTACAAACCTCATGCTAATGGCTAAGACCACAATGCACAAAACCAGGAGAACTTAGTCCTCAGAATCAAAACAAATTCTTCCCTGAGATTTAAGTTTAAATCTTTAGGTAACTTCCTTGCAAGTTATCTTTCCTATCTTAACAAAAACAAAAATGCAAAAATAGCCAGGCATGGTGGTTCATGCCTGTAATCACAGTATTTTAAGAGGCTGAATGAAGCAGGAGGATTGCTCGAGGCCAGGAGTTCATGACCAGACTGGGTAACAAAAAAACAGAAAAATTAGCTGGGACTGGTGGTGCACGTCTGTAGTACCAGCTACTTGGGAGGCTGAAGCAGGAGGATCATTCAAGCCCTGGAGTTGAAGACTGTGGTGAGTCGTGATCACGCCACTGCTCTCTAGCCTAGGTGACAGAGTGAGATTCTGTTTCAAAAAAAAATTAAAAATAAAAATAAATTTCCCATGTATTCACCACTCAAAAAATATCTACTGTGCCCTGAGGAACTATGCTAGATACTTTGAATTACAACTGGACCAAAACCTACTTAGAGTGTTCAGTTTAACAACTGACACATTTTTGGCAAGATAAAACAAATAGGCCTTGGAGGCCATGTTCTTCCACTTGAAGAAGGCCAAACTAATAAAAATAAACAGATAAATAAGTCAATGACAACAACAAAAATAACCAATAATGAACATGAATTAAGAATGAGGCTACAAACATAAAAATAATTAGAATTCTTATTTTTAATTATTTAGGAACCCTGAAAACTATGCTTTTGGTTTTCTTAGCTTTTACATCTTATCATAAATGTTGGGTGACAATGTACAGAAAGCAGTTACTCTCTGTAGAACATTCTACTGGGTAACTTTGAGATACTGATTCAAAAGCATCAGACGTAATTTCTTATTTCTTACCTTTACATAAATTGTTAAAATACAGAAAAATATTAATATTAAAACAACTAGTACAGGCTTTTATGTAGTCAAAAACACTTACTATTATAGTCTATGGTGAATTTATAAAAACTAACAGAGTACCCAGAAGGGAGAAGATATAGTATTGGGTTAGAAAATAAGATATGCAAAAATATATAAAGCTTAGTTATTAATTGAAAGGACGACCAAGAGAGGGAATCCATTTTTTTATCTTGTTCTTAAACCCTGACACAATGATGAGAAAGTGGAAGCTATGTCCTGGAGAAATCCATTTTTTATCTTGTTCCTAAACCCTAACACAATGATGAGAAAGTAGAAACTATGTCTAGGAGAAATACATGCTCTAGGTAAAGATTAACTTTGCTGACTTTGTCTTTTCAGAAACACAGACTCCTTAAGCATGACTGGTACCGGCCTATTGTAATTTGTCTTTTTAGAAATTCAAATTTTTCATGTATGACCAGTATCAACCCATTGTATACTCAGTGCTTGGTGACCAGGATGCCCCTCAGAGTCTCCAAGACATCCACAAGTGGTCAACAAGGAAGTCATGGTCACGTCTACCTGATTGCAACACCTCCAGGGGAAAGGATTTAATCCGGGGCTGTGGGGGGACTACTGGGCCATACTCATCTAGAGTGTAGGCCCACTTCCTGTCTGTGGGGTGTGAACCTTTCTTAAATAAATCTTTTCTTCTTTCACCTTTTTATGTGTTACAAATTTTGCATTATTCGAATCTCTGGTTGCCAGCACACACCTTCGGCATGCTGGCTCTGGCAGTGCTGCACTTCCCCACCCATGCATCCACACTCACCCTCCGTACCCTAACATTAATAAGCTCTCATTGTCTAAGTTCTTTAAAATTCACAAAATGCTAATTCTCCTACTTGACATTTTCCAGTGCTACTTCAGAAAATTATCTTGAAAAATTAAATTTTATTAGTAAAATGTAGTTACTATTGAGAAGTATAATATGTGCACTTATAAAATAAATGCTAGCCAGACTCGGTGGCTCAGCCTGTAATCCCGCACTTTGGGAGGCTGAGGTGAGTGGATTGCCTGAGCCCGCGGGTTCGAGATCCGCCTGGGTAACTTGGCGAGACTTCATCTCTACAATAAATTTAAAAAAATTAGCCGGCCGTGGTAGTGCATGCCTGTAGTTCCAGCTACTTGGAAGGCTGAGGCGGAAGGATCGCCGGAGCCCAGCAGGTCGAGGCTGCGGTGGCCGGGAGCAGCCACTGCACTCCAGTCTGGGCGACAGAGTGAGACTCCAACTCAAAAAAAAAAAAAACAATCAATGCTTATATTTTAATATAGCATCACCAAAGATTAATTATTAAAATAAGTTTTCTTCAAATAATTGCTTACTCTACAACAAATTAAAACAATGAAAAATTTGGAAGGACAGACAGATAAGTATATTTAATAAATAAGCACACAAAATTAGAAAAATGAAACTGAAACAACTACATTACACTAAAAACTACTCAAAAACCAATTGTGAAGAGATACATACTCAGATCACAGAAAATATTCTAAATAAATATTCCATGGTGATTTTTTTAATGTCAAACTTCTGGTTTTCTAAATGCACAAAATTATAACATTTCCTTTTATAATTATAAAATTATAAGATCATACAGGATTGTAAAATGAATTCTATAATAAAACACAACAGACTTATAATATAAAGATGTTTATCAAACATACACGTGATAGCTCATCATTATTACTCAAAATGTCCATAAAAGAAAATGTGACAGGTTTATACCTTTTCCTCTATTTTTTCCCCTACCATTCTCTCTGCACACTTAAAAGGAAAGAAAGAAGAAAAAACTTTAATACACTTACCTCACCAAATGGAGTGTAAAACTGCACAACGTTAATGTCTTTATCCTGCATGACCTCCTTCTGGAAGCCTGCCACAGCTAACACGCTGCCAGTGTGGTTCCACTGGACACTTACTGCATACATGCCAGTGTCAATCAAAACTGGATCTAGTCAAAAAGAGAAAAATGAGGCAACTGTGGAAAAATATTTAGCTTAGAGAACTTTCTAATCTTAAGAACAATTAAAAAAATTTTTTTTTAATTTTCCGCATTTTTAACAGAAAATTTCCTTACTTTGGTCATTCTCATGTCTCATTATTTGGCATCTTCCATTGTCAAAACAAATAGCAAGGCAAGGGCAATCAGGTTCCACATAGCCCTCAGTACCATGGTACCAATGAATTCCAGCAATACTGATAGCTCCAGTGACGTTCACCAAACAATTCAGTATCATCTGCATCTAAATACATTGGTTAGGTTTAATATTTTACATTTTAAAACAGATTAGTATGAATAGAGTATTATACAAAGAACACTGACAATGAAATCTAATAGTCAAGTTGCAAATGTAAGCTTAATCACTTACTACCCTGATAAACTACCCTTGGACAAATCACTTCACCTAAATCTACATTTTCCCCATGTATAAAATGACGATTAAAAATACACAGAATTTTTATGAGACTCAAAATACAAGAAGTATATGAAAGTACTTTGAAAGCATATCAAAGTGTCATACAAAAGTTAGCTATTTTACTTCCACCAATGAATGAATTCACTTAATGTCTTGACTCTCACTAAAAAAACTGTCCCATTAGTAGATCAGAGGTCTATGGTAGTTAAATCTCACAAAGCCAGAATTTTTCTCCAGATTATGCTACCTGGGCCTTTTCTATTTTATCTTCTTTCCAGGAATTGACTCTTCTCTCACTGTTTAAGTCTCCATTCTTCTTACAAACAGCCTTTAGTAGCTTGCTACAAAAATATCTTTGGGATCTGCATGTAAACTTTGGTTTCAGACACCAGAAGACACTTAAAAATCTTTAACTGGAAGTGTACGACCACACAACCCCAAATGTACTTGATCTCATTTGAAAATCTTAAACTGTACCTCATCCTACTCATTATCCCTCTGCTTTAATACAGTGAATCTTGTCCTTTCCAGCTGCCAGAAAATTGGACTAAAAGCTACACTTTAACATGATACATTAATTTGCCTTGAAGAAACTAAGACCTTTTTATATTAAAAAAATTAAATGATTGGGAAAAAAAATCTAAATTGAAAACTTTGCACAAGCCATCATAACAAATAAATGTGTATATAGATGTGAATTATATGTACAATAAATGTATAAAAGAATATAACTAAAACCAATGAATATATATACTTACTATAAAATTCCCTTGATTATCATAAATGTGTATCTCCCCATTTGCCATTCCAAAAAGTAAGATTTTACTATCAGCAGACCATGCTACATGGCATAGTTGTATACCCTTCAGGTCTTCTCCCCAAATACGATTGCCTAATGCAAAACATAAACATAAATATGAAAAGTTAAAGTTTATAATACTCCAACAATTGCTTTCAAAATCTTCATTTCTCTAAAGAGCTCTCACATTCTTCACAGCAGTCATCCAATTCATTTGGTCAATAAATATTGACTGAGTACCTATATGAGTTCAGTACATGAAGAGACATTTGAAATAGTAGTGTTTCAAACTATTCTCCCTTTCTTCTAAATTCTGACACAGGATCTCACTCCTAATTAGCAGATAAACCTATCTCCTACTTTGGAAGGAAAATAAAATCTCCCAAAAAAGAAAGTTCTCATTCCCATCTTCAAACATTCAGAACATAATTGAATCCATACTTGTATTTTCTGCTTTGTCTCCTAATATAAAAAGAAGAGCTATCACTCCAATCAGACCCTTATCTAAAGCTAATCCCTACACCTATTTTCTGATCTAATCGCTTCCTGCTTTGCAAAGATCTCCTTCCATTGATTATTTGCATTCTTCTCTTTCTCATTAAACTTTTCTCTCCAGGCCCTTTCTTATAAGCATTTAAACACATGTAGATCTATTCCTCTTCAAAATCAAAACCTCAAATAAAAACAAACAAAACAAAAAACACTTCCCTCAACCCAACCAAACTTCATGAGTTATTCACACCTATAGTTTCCACTTCAACTCCCATTCAATCCTTAACCCACCCCAATCTGGCTTCTGCTCCCAACTCCATTGAAACTGCTTTCATTGAGGTCACTGATGGCATGTTGCTAAAGCCAATTGATACTTGCCTCTTTTTTTCCTACCAACTCCTCCTTCTTGACAGTCTCTTGCTTTCCATGAACCCACATATTCCTGTATCTCCACATACTTCTACTTTTCAGTATCCTTTATGGAATTACCTTCTGTCCATCCCTTAAATGTTGCTGATCCTTAACTCCACAGATGGCTCGTAGGTTTGTTGGTCTGTTCCAGTGGTTTAAATTACTATACATACGCTGGTGGTTCCCAAAATTTTTTGTTCCATACAGGTATTTCTGAGTTGCAGACATATATATCTAACTATGGTCTGGGTATATTTACTTGGATGGCCTACAGCATGACAAAACCAACACGTCTAAAGCAGATATATTCCTTCAAAACCAGTCTTTCTCCACACTCCCTACTTCAATGAAAGGCATCACCATCTATCCAGTTACCAAAGCTAAAAATCTAGATATCACCCCGGGCATTTTCATCCTCTCACCCCCAATCTGATCAATAAGAAAGTCCTATGTATTCCACCTCCTCAGTATGCACAGAATCTACTTACTTCCATTCCTTTGTCATTATTCTGATAGATACCATCTACCATCATCTCTCACCTGAATGGCCATAGCAATTTCCTGATACACCTGCCCACTATCTTTCTTTCCTTTCTCCATTCTTCATATTGCAGTCACAGAGATATTTTTAAAGAACAAATATTGTCATATTGCTCCCATTCTTAAAATACTTTATTGGCTTCCCAATGCTCTTAGAGTTAAGTTCAAATTCCTTAATATAACTGATGATCTGGCCTCTGTTTATCTCTCTAGTTTTATTACATATTACTCTTCACCTTTAGTACTCTACTCAGTAGATAATCAACTTTTTTCAATGGCCCAAACGTGGTTATCTAAATTCAACTCCTCTGGACCTCCTCCAATGCTATTTCTTAGGCCTGAGACATTTATACACTAACCTACCTTGTAGCTAATGCCTCAACATTGTCATGACTTCTTCAAGGAACCCTTCCCTGATCCCTCCAAGTATGCTTTAGGTGTTACTTCTACATATGTCTGTATTTTCCCTATCTTAGCATGTACCACAGGGTATTGTAATTGCTTGTTTATTTATCTATCTAGGTCTGAAATATTTTTCATTGTTGTACCTTTAGTTCCTAAAACCATAATTGTTGCTTTACAGGCTCTCGGAAACATTTGCTGACTACATGAAGTTACATACACACACACACACACACACACACACACACACACACACAGAGAGAGAGAGAGAGAGAGAGAGAGACAAATTATTTTAACATAAGTTATCTCTATAGATAGAGTTTTAAATTAAACAAAGATTCAGACTCTCAGAAGGTCCAGTTTTAGCTATACAATAGAATTTGAAAGACATGTCTTAAGACTATAAAAAACAACCAACAATGACATGTCCAGTTCTACTAAAAATAATCATGAGTTGTTATAATTCTATATACTTTTTGAAACTAAAATCTATGAATTTGTACAGTCTAACAAGTATAAAGGCTGGCAGTGGTGGTTCTTGCCTGTAATCCCCACACTTTGGGAGACCAAGGTGCGAGAATTGCTTGAGCCAGGAGTTCAAGACCAGCCTAGGCAACATAGTGAGACCTTGTCTCTACAAAAAAGTCAAAAAATTAACTGAGTGTGGTGGCACATGCATGTAATCCCAGCTACTCAAGAGACTGAGGTGGAAGGATCGCTTGAACCCAGGAGGTCAAGGCTGCAGTTAACTGTGATCGTGCCACTGCACTCTAGCCTGGGTAACAGTGTGAGACCCCAACTCAAAAAGAATATTTTAAAGTATAAAGTTAAATTATATAATTAGGAAAATATGTTTAAAGTAATGTTGAAAAATTAATTCACTTTTTTCAGTGCCACTATAGGAAATCAAAATAGAATAGACTTGTTCTTGAATATACATTAAAACCAAAGGTTAGAACCAAAAAGTGGATCTTTAATGCCATCAAATTATATATCAACTGTTTTCTCTTTTTGATGTCTATTTTTCAATCACAATACTGACATATGATCATTAACAAATCTCTAAAGATAACAAATGTCAGCTAGATATTAATATTAGTTCTACATCTAATCAATGCATTACCCTCCACCGAACCAACTATCACAGCCCCATCTTCATAGACAATGCAGATCTTCTGCCCATCAGCATTCCAGCTCATACTTCGAACCACTGATTTATTTCGATTGTTTACCATCTCCTCATACCAAGAACCTGTTTTCACAAATTAAAAAATTACAAGTTAAAACCTTCACATCTATTAATTGGTACTTAAGAGTTGAAAGCATTCTATAATGTACACTGTGGGATAAATAACTGCAAAGTTTTCTATAACCTGAGATATTAAACTAAAAAACTTCAAATCCAACATAAAATTAAAAATTAACTTAGGCTTAAACTAATAATTGCTTCAAAGATTATCATAGAAAACACAATAAATGTCCACCCTTTTTCTTTTATTCTTGTTTCTTTCTTTTTCTGTCTTTCTGTCATAAAAAAAAATAAATAAACTTCAGCAGGGCTTGGCGGCTCAGCCTGTAATACCGCGCCTTTGGGAGGCTGAGGTGAGTGGATTGCCTGAGCCCGCGGGTTCGAGATCCGCCTGGGCAACTTAGCGAGACCTCATCTCTACAATAAATCAAAAATTAGCCGGGGGTGGTAGCACACGCCTGTAGTTCTAGCTACTTGGAAGGTTGAGACAGAAGGATCGCCGGAGCCCAGCAGGTGGAGGCTGCAGTGGCCGGGAGCAGCCACTGCACTCCAGTCTAGGCGACAGAGTTGAGACTCCAACTCAAAAAAATAAAAATAAAAATAAATTTAAAAATAAACTTCATTTGGTTTTGCAGGGCCAAAATAACTGATTTTTCTGAAAACCTAACTTTTCCCACTTGAACAACATATTTCAGATAATAACCAAGACTAAAACTCAAAATAACAACAACTTTATATGCACACATAAATTCTCCAATGATTAATTACAAGCATATTAAATATACCATATTAGTTACCATCACATAGAGGGTAAGGAAAAAATATATAGAGTATATTAAGTAAAACTCTAAGCCTGCTTGAAAAACTTCACAAATAGTTCATATTACATTAGTGACATCACTAACGTAGAATGGCAAAAACATTCTAGCTGACTGCAGGGTTGGAGTAAGATGTAACTTGTCTCTTAGTATAACCAAATAGAGGCAAAAAGCAAGGATTTTTTTTGTTTCATTTTTTAAGGCTCTACTACATTCTGATATAGAGAACCCTGACTTGAACCCAAGCAAATAATCATGTAATTTGGAATAACTAGTCAGAGCAGGACATGGATAGAAACAGGACTAAGGTCCAGAGAAGACATACCTTGGAAACAAACTTTACTCCAATTTACTGTACTTTCACATTGTCACACACACACACACACAAACACACACACACACACACACACACACACACACACAAACTACACTTCTTAAAAATTCAGGTATTTTGGCACATTTTTAAATAAAAAAATTTAATGGCATATGCTGAACCTTTTCAAAACAGCATAAACTAAGGTATCCCTTCATTTTGAAGATGATGGCAACAAGGCCTCAGGAGGACACTAATTATAAGTTGTTGTCTGGCAAAAGTGATACACCTAAGTTAATCCTTCTCTCACTCTCTTCTCTTCTCTTACACTCTTGTGAACAAGAGGCACAAATTGTAAGCCAGTAGTCAGAGCTGAGATAGTCTTTATTCATAAAGGAAAAGGAACCTAACTGGTCCAATACAGGAAATGAATTGTTGCCTTTGACTTCTTACTGTGTTTTTATCTAATGAGCTAACTCCAGCCACCAACCACTAATTCTCATTGGAAATCTAAAGAAAAAAAAAAACTATCTCAAGGAGAAATTTTTCTTTTAATGAGTCTAAGTTCACTGTGGAGACAGCCAATAGTCACCTAATTCACTTTCTTAATACAGGGTCATAGTTCATAGTAAAGCAAGGAACAGTAGGTCCACAAATATCACTGTGCAGTCAGGATAAACTCTGTTGCTGGGTAAAAGGGCTCTATTTCAGAGATGTTATTTCCACATCAAATACTACAATCCAAACTCCAATTTGTGAAAGAATATACCTTTATATAATATCCACACAGAGATACGTCCATTTTCATCACTGGTAGTCAACTTCTGAAACTGTTCATTCCATGTTACAACTTGAACAGAACCTAGAACATTATAAAACAATTTAGAAACTTACAAAAAGACATCAATTAATGTCAAATTTATACTTTTATATAAATAAGCACCAAAAGCATGTTGAAACCGGTACATAGCTGTACAACTAACCAGTTTTTAATATGACTCAAAAATATTCCTAGAATGCAGGTGTTGATATCACTAATTTTCTCTAATAATGCATAATACTAATTTTCATATCTATCCCTATTTAATGCCAGCAAAGGCATCTATCATGGCCAGCTATAGGAGCTGCCATATAGCGGATGACAAAAACAAATGTAAACATAATTTACCTTACCCAGTTGGTCTGACCCTTAAAGATATTTACAATGTCCAAAGGACATCATACTAAATATTTGGGGTTTTTTGTTGGTTGGTTTTGGTGACATGTCTCCTAATCTCTCTTCTCTCCCCCCAACTCCTACCATTTCCTATTAGTACACACTCTTGAGCATATCTTAAACCTCTGGGTTATATGAATAATTGATTTCTTTTAATGCTGTTATCCCTAAATTCTTCAAGACATATTTCCTAAGAATAAGGACATTCTCTTTCATTAACCATATTATAAATTAGGAAAATTAACATTGATACAATATTATTGTCTAACTCATAGTCCATATTCAAATTTTACCAACTGTCCAAAGAATGTCCTTTATAAACACTTGTTTTTCTCATTCCAAGATCCAATCTAGGATCGTACAGTGCATTCGGTTGTTATGTCTCTTTACTCTCCTTTAATCTGGAATCAAATGACAGATTCTTAAAAAAAGGATTAATGTCAACAGATAGCAGTATTATTAATATATGAAATAACAGTTATTTTTTTCAGATTTATTTAAGTTGTTTGATCATGCAAAAGTTGTGGAATGACTCTAGGTAGTGTTAATTATGGTTCAATAGAAACGATTGCTAACAGTCCCTGACTTACAATTTTTCAACTTTGTAATGGCGCAAATGCAATGCACATTCAGTAGAAACTGTACCATATGGATCCATACAACCATTCTGCTTTTCACTTTCAGTACAGAATTCAATAAATTACCGAGATATTCAACACTTTATTACAAAATAGGCTTTGTGATTTTTGCCCAATCGTAGGAAAATGTAAGTATTCTGAGCATACTTAAGGAAAGTCAGGCTAAGCTAAAATGCTCAATAGGTTATATATGTATTAAATGTACTTTTGACTTAACGTTATTTTCAATTTACAATGAATGAGTTTATTGTGACATAATCCCATCATAAGTCAAGGAGCATCTGTACTTTAAATTATTTAAAATGTACGCATTTCTGCATTAAGTAGATGGTTTCTAAATGCCTAAATACCATTCAAACACAATTTAAAAGAAATTACATGACTCACCACTATGACCTGTAAGAGCCTGATTCATAGAAAGGTGACTAGGGGCTGCAAGACCCCTCAATTTAGCATCATCTAAAATGAAACAAAACAAACTACTATAATAATTTATAAAAGCGAACAGATTGCAAGATTTTGACATATCTTGGTTGTTCTGTATTCCTGGGAAGTATTATTGTAATTTTTTTAAGTATATCTCATTCTGATCTATTTTTCTAGTAGTACAAATGTGAACAATAATACCTATCCCTTGCAAGGATATTATTCTGCTAAAAAAAAAAGGAAAATCTAATTTTAAAAAACATTGTTTATTCATATATTAAATGTATCGATAATCAACATTGCTACTTATTTCTTCCCAAAAGATCACAAATAGAAATGTTTACACATACAGATTGAAAACTACAGCTTACAAGGGGTCAAACAGCAAAGACTTTGGAAATTGGTTTCCACTAGATTTCAAAGAATCTCACATTCACTAATTTATGTATTCATTCATTCAACAAATATTTATTGACTGTGTACACTGTGCTATGTGCTACAAAAGGTTCTGTGTATAAAATGATAAACAAAACAGTCATTTCCCCTCAGAGAGCTTGTGGTCTACTGAGGGGACTGATATTAAATACATACTCTCACACACATAAGTATAATTATAAACTGCAAAAGTTTATAATTAATAAGAGACAGTAAACAGAGAAGGCTTAATTTAGATTGGAGAGCAAACCAGGGAAGGCTTTCTGAAGAAATTATACTGAAGTAGAGACCAGGAGGTAACCTGGAGATTGCCAAGCAAGGTAGGGAAAGAGGAGGAGAATTCCAGGCCAGGAAACAGCAATTGCAAAGACTCTGACAAACTGGAAAAAGGCCTACATGGATGAACAATGGGGAGAATGGAGTAAGATGAGACTAGAATGATGAACATAGGAATAATTATAAAGTCTGTGTAGGAAATTATAAGAATTTTAGATTTTATCCAAAGTGCAAGGGAAGCCTCTAAAGACTTTTTAAACATGTATTTATTATCCCTGATTACAATTACCCTACAGAGAATAATATTAAAATGTCATCTCAATCAATCTTCACTTAGAAAATCTGATTGTTACAAATAAAATATAGCATCTAAAATTTGCTTTTAAAAATACAAACTTTATGAAAATCCTAATTTGTAAAAATGGGAATTATAAAAGTCAATGCTAAAGAAAATTCTTCTTTCAGATAACAAGTATCTTAAAATATTATGAAAAATACTTCTTTATTCTGAAAACATTATCAGGAAAAAGTACTTGAATTCCTCTAAAACTACTAGTACAAATAATACAATTGCTGTTTTGGTAATGTTCACAAGAATACATATATATAGCTTAGCAATGCAATCTTCTACCAAACAATTAAGATACAATGAATGTTGCTGACATCTACATTAGGTTCAACATGTTTTTTTTAAACATAGGGTTCTTTCACTCATTTAATCTTTTACAAATTGTACAACACACTTAAACTTTATTATAATATTCTAGGCTGGGAGTGGTGGCCCACATTTGTAATCCCAGCACTTTGGGAGGCCAAGGTGAGAGAATGCTTGAACCCCAGAGTTTGAGACCAACACAAGCAACATAGCAAGACCTTGTCTCTACAAAAAAAAATCAAAAAAATCAGCCAGGTATGATGACATTCATCTGTAGTCCTAGCTACTCAAGGGGCTAAGACAGAAGGATTGTCTGAGCCTAGGAGGTCAAAGCTATGGTGAGCCATGATTGTGCCACTGTACTCCAGCCTGGATGACAGAGTAAGACCCAAACTCAAAAAATAAAATAATATTCTAAAAATATTTGGTGGAAACATTTTTCTTAACTTCTAACACTGAAAAATCCATTCAAATGCCTTTAGCAATAGTCACTATAAACAAGTAAAATTAGTGATATGTGATCAAGGGGTGATTAAATACGTCCATCATTTGTTTTTATGGTCTAAAATCACATATCTGCATAGTGGACATATTTTCTCTTTGTTAAGCCCTAAGGTAGTGCACTCTTGACAAAAAGTATGCTGACAGAGAAGAATAGGCTTTGAAATTTAGCTTGACATACTGAACAAATATCAACCACATGTGAACATGACTCTTGCTAGCAGCAACTCCACAGCTTGATCATGCAAAAAATATTTTATTCTCAGATCCCCATAAAAAGACCAAAAGTTTTTTTGGTTGGTTGGTTTGTAGATTTGTTCTCCCCAAGTTGGGGTCTCTCTGTCATCCAGGCTAGAGTGCAGTGGCACAATCACAGTTTATTACAGCCTTGACCATGTAGGCTCAGGCGATCCTCCTGCCTTAGCCTCCTGCGTAGCTAGGATTACAGGCTTGCTATCATATCTATCTATCTATCTATCCAGACAAGGTATCGTTATGTTGCCCCGACTGGTCTCGAACTCCTTGGCTCAAGCAATCCTCTTGCCTCAGCCTCCCAAAGTGCTAGAATTACATGCATGAGCCACCACCCAGCTAAAAGACCAAAAGTTTTAAATGAAGTAGAATAAAGTTAGCAATATCCCAAGATTCCATCCAAGAACACTACTAGACTCCACGAAGCCAATAAGGTAATGACAGCAAACTGGTATGAGAACAAAAATCTGGCAATGCTGACATAAATATTCTAAAAGCACATACCAGTAACCCAAAAAGCCTAATAAAAGAAGGCACCAATAAAATAAAGCATTTAAAACTCATGAAGAGGAATTTCAGAATGAAATCAGTTATTCCAACAATCCAAAGTACATCAAAAAGTTCAAAGAACTGTAAAAGATCGAGGTGTAATAAAGTGACTGAGTTGAAAGGTATAATATAGGAGAACAGACGATCTTGCTCATAATAAACTACTAGACAAGCACACTAAATCTTAAGAAACTTTTTCTTAGAAAAACTTGACTAACAATGCTTTTGTTTGCATTCATAAAAGTTGTTTGAAGTCCAATTCCAACAGAAATTCCTGTTATACGCCATACAATAAGTTTAAAACCTGGGATCAAAATATATGAAATATTGTTTTGCAACACTTGAAGAGGTAACAGAATTCTAAGGAGATAATACCATGTTCTCCAGACTCCCTGGAGGATCGCCTGGCTGCCTTGCTCTTCTGTGTGAATGACTGACTGCAAAGGACTACATACAATCCCTGACTACAGCTATGAACACCTGACCTGATATTTCTGGCCAACTGTGTTGTCCTGGGCACACTGGAAGGTTGAGGCACTCTCACTGCCTACAGTTCAGTCGGCTTACATGGCCCTAAATACTTTTCCTCTGATCGAAGTTTTTGTTTTCCGTATTCTCTATCTCCTCTCACGACAATGAGAAGATAGAGGCCTTTTGCAGTCACAGTAGAAATACTACTTCAATCCTACCCAGCAAGAAATGCCATCTCAATACTAGTCAGGGTCATCATCCTCAAACCCCACCACAAGCAACTCCAGCCCAGGCTGTGGGTCCCTCTAAAGAAGAAATGAGGGGCAACCCTTCGGGTCCCTTCCCACTGTGGGAGCTTCTCTGTCCTCTCAATAAATTCAGCTTTCTCACTTTTTGGCTGTTCGTGTCCCTCATTCTTCCTGGGCATGAAACAAGAACCTCGACCCTGAAGAGCTGTGACCTGAACAGCTGCAGAAGATCATCAGAGCCGAAAAGCCATGCACCCCAGAGGTTGGCTTGACAGCCCATGGAGCCTGCTGAACCAGGAGAGCTGCTGGAATAAGGTGAGAATCCGAAGCTGAGACACCCCGGGGGCCAGGCTTGCCAGCCCACCAAACCAGTAACATCCCCAGGGCTTGGCTTGCCAGCCCATTAGAGCCAACACTCCGGGGACTAGGCTCGCCTGTCCACCAAATTGCAACACTCTCAGGGCTTGGCTTGCCAGCCCATTAGAGCTGACACTTCCTGGGCTAGGCTTACCAGCCCCTCAATGACTCTCTCTGGGGCTTGGCTGGTCAACCCATTTTGCTGACACTCGAAGCCCTGGCTGACCTGAAAAATCCACATCAGTTTTGGTGTCCGAATGTAGGGCTTAATGGAAGGAGGCCATCAAACTCCAAATGGTGATGCAGATGGAACACCGTATGTAAGCTTCTTTCTACCAGGACCTTTAGATCGCCCTCCGGAGGATCCCCTGCTGCTGTCCCCATAGGACGCCAGTGATCAGCAGGAAGTAGACATAATGGTCATCATCCTTACTCCCTAAGGGCAGTTAGGGTTACTACTCCAGAGGGGGAAATGAGACAGGAGATAGCTAGAAAAAGTCTAGGCAGACAGACAGGAGGGTCCTCTGATAACAATGTAGTGAACTCCCAACAGGCCACTCAGGCTCAGCATTGGTTAAAAAAAAAAGCTCCCTGCAAGCCTCTCAGGCTAGAGCTTAAGTATTCACTGCTGGAATCAAAAAGCAACCAATCAGCTCACCATTAGGCTCCTACTTCCTGCAGATTGGTCCTTAATGCTGACCAGTCAGAACAGCTACAGATCACAGCTAGTGCTAGCCAATCAGCTTGGACTTAGGGCTATATAAGCACCAGGTTTGCAGTTCCAGATGGGCAACCCTTTAGGTCCCCTCCCACTGTGGGAGCTTCTCTGTCCTCTCAATAAATCCCGCTCCCTCACTTAAAAAAAATAATAATAAAATTTTAAAAAGGAGGAAATGATATCATCTGGTACCTTTTCTTTGAAGATCGCACCAGATAGAGTATGAATAACTAGGAGCAGGCAAGAGACAATGGAAGGAAACAAGTGATTCTCACAGTAGTCTAGGTGAGAGATGATAGTGGCTGGAGCTAGAGAGAAAAAAAGAAGGATGAATTCAAGATATAATTTGGTGTAAATATATATATATATATACACACACACACACACTTTGGAGATAGAAGCAACAGGATTTTGATGAAGGTGCTGCTAAGGAGAGGTAAAAGAGGGTTTCCAGCTTGAGCACAGGGGTGAAGTTGAGACATTTGCTGGAATGGAGAGAAATGAAAGAGATTTATGAGAAGATCAAGAGTTCAGTTTTGGAGCCGGGCTCGGTGGCTAAGCCTGTAATCCCGCGCACTTGGGAGGCTGAGGTGAGTGGATTGCTTAAGCCTGCGGGTTCGAGACCCACCTGGGAAACTTGGCAAGACCTCATCTCTATAATAGATCAAAATGAGCCAGGCGTGGTAGCGCGTGCCTGTAGTTCCAGCTACTTGGAAGGCTGAGGTGGAAGGATCGCCCGAGCCCAGCAGGTCGAGGCTGCGGTGGCCGGGAGCAGCCACTGCACTCCAGTCTTGGCAACAGAGTGAGACTCCAACTCAAAAAAAAAAAAAAAGAGTTCAGTTTTGGACACAGTAAGTATAAGATGCCTGTGAAAGATTTCGGTGGAAATGCTCAAGTCTGAAAAATTAGGACTTGGTTGGAGATATAAATTTAGGCATCATCACCCCAAAGGCAGCATTTAAGCCCAAAGGAATGAAAGAACAAATCTAGAGAGCAAAAGGTGTGAGAACCCAGAAGAAAGTTCTCAGGAATTCTAGTAGTTGTAAGAGGAGAATCTAGTAAAGAGAATGAGGACTGACTAGACAGGAAGGGGAGAAAAGTAATATGCTTAAATATAATGGTAACTTCAACCATTTGAATTATTTGTTCTTGAAAAATAACATCTCAAAATACAAGGAAAGGTCAAATGCTGATAAGAGTCAATAAAAGCCTTTCATTAGCTTTAGAACATGAAAGAGAGAGAGAGAGAGAAGGAGAAAAGAATGTATTAAAAGGACAGGCAAGCTAAATTAGTAATGAGGACCCTGAGAAGGTAAAGGGAGATGGGCTCCAGCAAAACATAAGACAAGATATAAACCTGATCTAAAAAGACAGGGACAAATTTTGGTTCCAGTTCCTTTTTTTCTAGAGCAAAAGAGAGAAAACTGAGAATGCAAAATCATGAAAACTTTCTGGAGGGTAATTTAGCTACACATATTAAAAATCTTTATAAACATACACACTATTTGAGCTAGTGAATGTAATTTCTAGAAATTTATCCTAGAAGATAATGAAAAGTTTATGCAAAGATTTTGATACAAAGATATTGCTGCTTTACTAGTAAAAATGTGGAGACATCTAAATGTCTAACACTAGAATTGGTTTAAAAAAAATTAGGATACACCAATACAATGGAATATTAAATAGTCATTAAAAAATACTATCATTAGCCAGGCTCGGTGGCTCAGCCTGTAATCCCAGCACTTTGGGAGGGCAAGGAGAGAGGATTGTCTGAGCCCGTGGGTTCAAGACCCACCTGGGCAACTTGGCAAGACCTCATCTCTACAATAAATCAAAAAATTAGCCGGGCGTGGTAGCGCATGCCTGTAATTCCGGCTACTCAGAAGGCTGAGGCAGAAGGATTGCCGGAGCCCAGCAGGTCGAGGTTGCGGTGTCCGGGAGTGGCCACTGCACTCCAGTCTGGGCGACCGAGTGAGACTCCAACTCAAAACAAAACAAAACAAAACAAACAAACAAAAAATACTATCATTAAAAAAAAAATAAAGTGCCAGGCACAGTGGCTCACGTCTGTAATTCCAGCACTTTGGGAGGGCAAGGAAAGAAAATTGCTTGAGCCCAAGAGCTCGAGACCAGCCTGGCCAACATAGTAAGATCTAAACGCTACAAAAAAGTTTAAAATTAGCCAGGTAGGATGAATGCAACTTTATTCCCAGCTACCCAGGAGTCTGAGGCAGGAGGATTACCTGAGGCCAGGAGGTCTAGGCTGTGGTGAGCTGTCACCTGGGCAAGAGTGAGAGACCCCGACTCAAAGATAAATAAATAAATAAATAACGGTGCTATAGAAGATGATTTATTTATGTAGAGAATTGTTGCAGCTAAGCTACAAAACAATTTGTTTATAATGTTACATCTTTAGCAAAGCACAGTACTTAATATGTAGTAAACATGAAATATCTGTGATTATTACTGGAGGAATCTTCTGCATCACCACTATTATTATTAAATACAGATACTGATTTTTTTTTTTTTTTTGAGTTGGAGTCTCACTCTGTCACCCAGACTGGAGTGCAGTGGCCGCTCCCGGCTACCGCAGCCTCGACCTGCTGGACTCCGGCAATCCTTCCGCCTCAGCCTTCCAAGTAGCTGGAACTATAGGCACACGCTACCATGCCCGGCTCATTTTGATTTTTTTATTGTAGAGATGAGGTCTCGTCAAGTTGCCCAGGTGGGTCTCGAACCCGCGGGCTCAGGCATTCCACTCACCTCAGTCTCCCAAAGGCGCGGGATTACAGGCTGAGCCACCAAGCCCAATTCAGATACTGATTTTGTCAGATACTGATTTTGTCAGAATCTCCCAGTCATATTTCTCATATTTATCTTTTTTAGCATAATTCATAATCATTATTAAGTTCTGAAAACAAATAATTTACTCCATGTTCCAAATTTTCCAGGAATCTATCTCCCATATTGCTCAGTAATTTCAAGAATACTCTAACCACAGCTTATCAAAAGGATAGAGCACAAAAAGTAGGTTTCTAAAAAAAAAATCCTTCAGTGTTAAACAAAATAAATACATTTCTTAATGTAACTGAAATTTGCTATATAGTTTAAGCAAAAGAAGTATATGCAAACATATATATACATTTGAGAAACATCACAGAGAAAAATTTTCTTTTAACAGCTATTAAAGCACTGAGATAATAAGCTATAAAATACCAGATGCCAAACTCTGATTGGTACTTAAGTACCTATCTTCCGAACCTACTTATTTCATATAATAAATGTAGTATGTCAAAACAATGATCTCTTCTTTGCTTATGCTTTCCGTGAGCCCTTTCTGTAGTGGTTAAGTAATGTGTAGTGGAAAGTGAGATAAACTTAGTTTCACATTCCAGCTCTGCCCCTTACTAGCCATGTGACCTTGGGCAAGTTATTTAACTGCTCAGAGACTCAATTTTCTCACCTGGAATACCTACTTCTCAAGACTGTCTCAAAGGAGATAGTGAAGGTTAAACAACCAGTATATGGAAAGTGTTCATAAATACATATGACTCATACTACATTCAAAGTTCTAAGGCAGTGCTACAAAAAGTGTGATCTGAGAACCAACAACTCAGCATCACTAGAAATACAAATGCTCAGGCCCCATCCCAGATCTACTCTTAAGAAATCCATTTTAACAAACTCTTCTGGTGATTCATATGCCTAATAAAGTTGGAGAAGCAATGCTGTAAGGAATCCAAAATGTAATGTAGTTTAAAACTCTTTATTTCACAAAAGAGTGAACTAAAGTCCAAAAATATTCAGCAACTTGTTGAATGTCATTCAGTAGTCTTGTGGCAGACCTGAGATTCCAACTCCAATGTCCTTATCTAGATCTCCAATCTAGAGAAATAAAATACTAGGGAGGCTAAAGAAATGTGAAGCTGTTTGCTGTGATTCCAAAGCACTAGAAAAAGGAAGAAATCAAGCTGCAAAAACAAAAGACTTATTTAAAAATGTAAAACATATCCTATTTTCTGTTGTTGGGCACTAGGTACATGCATAATCATTAACACATTTGATAAACAGCAAGGATAATATACACCTGTAAATAATCTGACAAAATGTGAGATTTTGTGACCTCACTCAAATGTTAATTCAAATGACTTTTATCACACTCCTAATAATCTAGCACAATAATTAGACATAGCACAAGACAACATAGTGACTTGGTTTTCATTCTTCATTGTTTTTCCTTTTCTGTCAATAACTTGAGCAAAAGTCATCTGAAGTTTACATTCAGCATTCTCTGAACCTTACTGCAAAAATACTCCAGAAAAACATCACAAATGCTTGGTTTTTTTCTTCTTCTTCTTCTTTTAAAAAGGAATTAGAAGAAGACAGGTGCGGTGGCCCTGCAATCCCAGCACTTTGGGAGGCTGAGGTGAGAGGATTGCCTGAGCCCAGCAGGTCGAGGTTGTGGTGGCCATGAGTGTGCCACTGCACTCTAGTCTGAGCAACAAAGTGAGACTCCAACTCACTTTGGAATTAGCGGCCAGGAACAGTGGCTCATGCCTGTAATCCTGGCACTCTGAAAGGCAGAGGTAAGAGGATTGCCTGAGCTCAGGGGTTCAAGATCAGCCTGGGCAAATTGGCAAGACCTCGTCTCTACAAAAAATCAAAAAGTTAGCCGGGCATGATGGTGCGCGACTGTGGTTGCAGCTACTTGGAAGGATGAGGTGGAAGGATCACCTGAGCCCAGTAGGTCAAGGCTGCAGTGGCTGTAAGTAGTGCCACTGCACTCCAGCCTGGGCAACAGAGCAAGACTATGGCTCAAAAAAAAAAAACAAACGAATTAGAATTACATATTGATAAATACCATGAGCAAAATCTCATTGAGCAAATTACACTACCCAATTTTTTACCAATTTCAAACATTTGGGCTTGCACTCATTTACCTGTCTGTGTCTCTAATTTCAAAACTTTCAGCAATCCATCTTCACCACCACATGCTATATACCCTTGGTTCTTGTTCCAGGATATACATTTCAGCTTCACGTTATTGGGAATGGCAATCTGAAAGTAACCACAGTCACTCTAGCAACTTTTCACGAATGTGTATGGAGTCTACAGGAGATGAAGACTGAAGAAAATTTTCCAAGAAGAAAAACCGACAGCCTTGCAGAAAGTGAGTGTCCTGAAAGCTGGCACGTTTTCCTGAACTGCCCTGGGCTCTACCATTCGGGAAAGAAATGCGCAAAAGAGACAGATAGTGACTGAGGAGGAAGCCAACGGGAAAGTCACCGGATGGATTTTAAAATGGGAGGGCGGAGGGAAGAAATGAACCCATACCAACTGTCCGTAACCCCTGTCCCCACACAACACTTAGGCCACCCTTTTGTAATCTCTTTTCTCAAGCCCGGCGGCCTGTGATGATCCAAAGAATTTAAGTCACCTGGATCAGCCACAGGTGGAGGAAGAAGTGATCTGTCCCGCAGGCCACTCAAAAGGACCTAGCCAGGGTAGGGAACGGGAGTGTGCTGCGAAGGGGCTGCTAGCTTGGCTAAGGCCTGTGTGGAGCTCTGGGACGCTCAAGAAGAAATCCGAGGCTGGAGCCATCGGGTAGGTTGGCAGGGGGTGGCCGGGAAGGATGCTGTTGCGGGAATGCAGCAAAAGCAAGAGCGCTCCCCGGAAAACTCACTTTCTTGCTCAGGTAGAAGAACATCGTGGGAACCCGGAGAGGTGGTGACACAGCCGCCAAGGCCGCGACGGGTAACTACTTCTCCAACCGGCAGCTCTGGGAAGCTCCCGTCGCCCTGGCAACCGCGGCCGCCCGGTGGTTTCCGGCGCGCCAAGAAACACTTCCGGTGACTTCCTCTCACAGGCGACCTGCGCCTGCGCGGACGTCAGTAGGTTAGAGGACGTAGCGTGAGGCTCGTCCCCTGGCCTCAGGGCCTCTGCCTTCTGCTGGGAGCTGGGTCGGCGTCCTGCCACTGGCATCCGTGCGCTGCCTCTCAGCGCCTTGTCTTGTGGCCACCCCGTCCCTCCGTATCTCGGACGGTCGAGTTGGAGCTGAGCTTTCGGTGTCAAACGAAGGAGGAAAAGCCCCTATTCTAATGAGGTCACAATGGTTTGGTATTTTGTAATCCCTAGTCCCGACAGTCCTGCAAGGGAACTGCGGTCTACGGTAGGCAGGCGCCATCGGCCAAAGGGAAGTGCGAATGTGCGTTTTGAGATCTTGCAAACCTTCCCTTGTGCCTTTGGGGACTGGAAAACCCTCTGGAGCAATTTGGGGATAGGAGATTTTGTTTATCCTGTTTGCTTTGAATTTTTTTTTTAACGGTTTAATTAAACTGTTGCCGCCGCCCCTAGGGATGTTGTATGAACTTTGGGTAATGACAGTGTACAATTGCTATTGGGGGATAACCCCGTTTTAAAATATTTGGGCTCTTTGGTATTTTCTTGCCTGGAGTTGACTTGTAAATTCTCTCTTTTTTCTACCTTTTTAATTTATTCTCCTTTTTCGTATTTGAATGCCCGAGTTGCAGTGCCTCAAAATCTAAGACATAGGGCAGAAATCCAAATAGAAGCACTCCTATAAAATTATTTTCTCTCCCATTTTTAAATTCGTTTCTGGTTTTTCCTCTTACCATAACCTGCAACTAACTACCACTGTTGAACTGTGTAATCTAGAGTGTAGTTTATTTATTAATAGTTCATTTCCCCACTTAAAGTCTTTCCCCATCTCAGGCAAAAGTCTTCAAATTCTTTGACCCAGGTCTTTTGCCTTACATTCTTGAATTGACAAAAGTGCCTAGTGCCTTTCCTAGCAAAACTAAACTCTGTCTAAAACCAAATCTTCCTTCAATCCTGAAATGTCTTTACTGTGGTGCCCCCATTCTGAGCAACCAATATGATTTTTGTGTCCCAACATTCCATCCGGGTGGGCTTCCCAGGCCATTTTATTTATTCCATGATGTTCCTGGCCTCTTAGAAGACCAATTGTGCCTAGCCAAATCTGCACAAATCAGGTCTCCCTGAGGAATTCTTCCCAAACTTAACTCCTATCTCATTTAATAGTATGTTTTCAATTGTTTGTGTAATCTGTATTTTTAGCATTAAACTGTAAATACCTAAAATACATTGGCACCTGCACATAGGCTCCCTATACTGGACTGATCTAAGGCAGAACTTTCCAATCAACTGGTCAATACATGATTAGTTAAAGGTCGTTATTGATGGCTACACTCTTGAAAACGCATCTCTCTCTTTAAATATCTTCCCCTTCTTCTTGCACATGAGCTCTCGCTTATTCCCTTATGCCACCTTTTCTCTGTGGTATATTCATATGTATTACTGATTCTGTGTTCAATTAAGTTTGGAAAATAATACTGTAGCTCTTTGTCATGCCCTTTCAAGAATTCTGAAAAGTAACAATAGATGTTTCATAGAATATATATACTGCCTTGGTGTTTTGGGGTTTTTTTCTTTAAAGTTTATATTTTCAGTTTACATCTGTAAATTATATTTGCTTTTCAGGTGCTAATATTAATGTAAAGCTCACCATTAATTTTATATTATCCTATTTCCCATCACATAACTGATTAAAGCCTTTCTATTTAATCTAAACGTACATTTCTAACCTCAAGATTGTGGAATTAAACTATAGAAAGAGTTGCATTCTGTCCTATGAAGAAAACCTGTTATACATTCTAAACAATTGTGAATTCAGCATGATTTAGGGAAATATGTTTGATAGACAAAATTAATAAGTCACCAAAAAACCAGGCATGATAATATGTAAAGATAACAACTTTTTTTATTAAAGACAATACAAACCAAAACAAATAATTGAGTAGTATACAATTTGAAGGACTGTTTTGTTCTAAAAGTTATGTTTTGAAGCTAGAAAAATTATGTGTATCAAAATATAAGTGAAAAAAGCTAGGATTATCAGTAATATTAAAAAGACAACATCAGGTTTTGTTGCTTTATAGCAATTTTATAAATATATAATTTTATCAATTGGATCCTGAAGCAAAATGGTAAAGTAAATTTCAGACTTTTTACCCTGGATAAAAAGTTTAACACCAGAAATTCACAACTAGTGCTCTTTAGTTGTACATTTCTTTCTAAGACCAGAATGAATTAAAAATGGCCTGTAATGTGTACTTGATGTGTTCACTATTTTCAGAAGTATGTATCACAAGCCCTTGATCACAGCTTCAATAATACTTCACCAAAATAAGCAAAAAACAAAACGTGTTACATTATATTCATTCATCTCAATTTAATTATATATATACTTTTATGTGTAAATACGTAGTACAATTTGCACTCTCAGTATTCAGACTGGTTTAGATTATACATACAATCAAAATAAAATAGATTTCAATTTCTATTGTGTGGCTATCTTACTAATATAAACATTTAAAAATTAAATGGCTCAATTAGTAGATGAAGAAAGAAACGTTAAACATTTCTTCTATTTCCTACCAACCTTTTCACAGTCATAATCTTAGAGTCACTAAAGTTTGCTCTCAGTAAGGATCTGCACATTGATTTCCTTGGAAAAGTGATGCTGATTCTTCAGAAGATGCTCATACTATCTATCCAGTAATATTCAGGCATTTATACAAGCATATTATTATCAGGAACACTGGCAATAACAAGTGTGCAACAGAAGGAATGAATATTAGATACACCAAGCTGTCCACATTTCCAAGTGAGAAATTTGAACAATTTAACGATGTATTTGTCCATATTCATTTACTTGCAACTTCTCTAAAATGTCATCAAGTGGCTAGTTGTTAAGGTGAACACCATTAGTTTTACACATTAGAAAATATAATCTGCAACTCAGGGGAGCAAGCTTAAGCAAGAAGTGGGGGAAAGATGCTTAACAGTGGCTGGTGCCAGGAAGAGGAGGTTGGCCAGCAAGAAGCTGAGGCCTGCGCATAAGTCTCTGGAGCCAGGGAGAACAACAGGCAGGGGCCTACTTGCCTACTTGGGACCTTCCCTTATGGGGGTGTCTTTTTTCTTTTCTTTTTCAGTTGGAGTCTCACTCGGTCACCCAGACTGGAGTGCAGTGGCCGCTCCCGGCCACCGCAGCCTCAACCTGCTGGGCTCCGGCGATCCTTCCGCCTCAGCCTTCTGAGTAGCCGGAACTACAGGCATGCACTACCACACCCAGCTGATTTTTTGATTTATTGTAGAGATGAGGTCTTGCTGCCCAGGCGGGTCTTGAACCCGCGGGCTCAGGCAATCTACTCACCTCAGCCTCCCAAAGGTGCGGGATTACAGGCTGAGCCACCGAGCCCGGCTTTTTTTTTTTAATTTTTTTTTTTGAGTTAGAGTCTCACTCTGTCACCCAGACTGGAGTGCAGTGGCCGCTCCCGGCCACCGCAGCCTCGACCTGCTGGGCTCCGGCGATTCTTTTTTTTTTTTTCAAAGATAAAATTTTTCAGAGCCACACATACACACACACACAAAATAAACACTTTCGAATAGTTCAACACAAGATGAAAAAATAATAACTATGTCCTATATTATTATAGGAGAAAAAGAGCAAAACTGTTTCTTCACCAGAAATCTAATTTAATCTAAAACTCAAGATATTCTTCAGAAATCATGATAAAAGTAGGCCACTGCAATGGTCTTCACATGTTTTTGCTCATATAAAATTTAACTGGAAAGGCATCTATTAGTGGGATGGATAAGAGGAGCAGTTTTTTTGTTTTGTTTTTTAAATTTTATTTGTGTATTTATTTTCTAGAGACAGGGTCTTGCTATGTTGCCCAAGCTGGTCTCAAACACCTGGGCTCAAGCAATCCTTCCCACCTCAGCCTCCCAGGGTGCTGGGATCACAGGCATAAGCCACCATGCCCACCCAAGGGGAGCAATTTTTACGAAGTCTTGATTAAAGGAATTGTTAAAGTGTCCCTTTGTTTGGTTCTCAGAAAAATATACTTCTCCAAGAAATGCACCTTAGTGCATTTAGGGTAAGAGATATGCCTTTCTTGTGTAAAGTTAGAAGAATGGTGATACTGAAATGAGAGATGGAAAAAGAAAATGCCAACCAGATTCCAAGTATCATCTTAAACAAGTGAAGGATTTGGAAATCAATTCCTTTAAAACTGTCTGTACCTACCCCCTTTGAAAGTCTCTGTATACTCCTGGGTTATATCTACCACAATCTGAATTCCACTTCTCTAAGGTACATAGGAATACAGCTGTTAACTTAAGCTGTTCAAGAACCTTTTCCTGAGTTTCCTTTAACTGAAGAACTGATTTTGAAAGTTTCTGAAACCACACCATGTTACATTTTGATATCTGCTTTTTGACCGCTTGGCTAACCAGAGTATATGACTATGTGTAGTCTGAGATACCACACTCTATTAATTAGCTGACTTATTCTGTACATGTACAGATTCTGACCTAAAAAAGCCATATTAAGAAATCAGCATAGCCGGGCGTGGTAGCGCACGCCTGTAATTCCAGCTACTTGGAAGGCTGAGGCGGAAGGATCGCCGGAGCCCAGCAGGTCGAGGTTGCGGTGGCCAGGAGCGACCACTGCACTCCAGGTCTGGGCGACAGAGTGAGACTCCAACTCAAAAAAAAAAAAAAAAGACACTCCTTTTATGTAAGGCCTCTATTAGGAACATAGACTGCTATGGAAAAGCACAAGGGAAAGAAAGAGTTGGGCAGCTTTATATGTAAATATTCAGTGGGTAAAAACAGTCAATTTACCCATTAAAAAAGAACTCTAAATTTTAAACATAGTTAAGCTGGGTGTAGTGGCTCACACCTGTAATGCCAACTCTTTGGAGATGGAAGCGAGAGGATTGCCTGAGCCCGGGAGTTCGAACCAGCCTGAGCAACTTGGTGAAACCTCATCTCTACAATAAATCAAAAAATTAGCCAGTCGTGGTGGCATGCACCTGTAGTTCCACCTACTTAGAAGGTTGAGATTCAAGGATCACCTAAGCCCAGCAGGTCAAGGCTGTGGTAGCTGTGAGTGTGCCACTTCACTCCAGCCTTGGTAAAAGAGTGAGACTCCGACTCAAGACACAAACAAATAATAATAATAAATAAACAAATGAGGCACTTGCCTGTGGAATGTCCTAAAATGTTTGACTCAATTGTAGTATCTAGGATGGCTTAAAGCAGAAGCAGAAAGCCTTCCAGAAAGGATATGTTTGCTGTTCAGTCTCTGAAGATAGGAGCTGACCTTATCCTGGAATGCCAGTGTGTCTTCACATCCACAAGCATCTTCAGTGGAAACAAGTCTCCGTGCTTCTTCAATGACTGAAGACAATGATAGTACACAAAATGTTATAGCTATCTAGGAATTATAACATCATGAAACCTACAATTCAGGATCTCCATTTTTAAGACTTACCTAAATGCATTTTCCAGGAGGTAAAAGTATAAGAACAAACAGAGAAGAAAATACTTTGGAATGTTAATATCACAAAAATTTGCATTCAGAAACATTGGAAAAATGTTTATAATTGTCAAGGCTGAGTTCTGATTATCTGAGGGTCCATTATATTACTCTATACTTCTGTGATTGTCAGAAATTGTCTGTGATATAAAGTAAAAATTTTTAAAGATAGTTGGTAGTGCGGGGAGGTCACAGATATAGAGATAATACAATCTTCTGATACTGTGTCTCAAGAAATAAAAATGAGGACAACAATCATCTCTTTGGGCAAAATATTTTAAACATTAAAACTAGGTAATTCCTGATTTCCTATAGAGGCCCATTATTCTATGGAATGGTTTGAATTGAGAGTTCTCTTTTACTCATAAATACTTTGGAACTAAAAATTCAGGTTTATAATATATTGACATTTAATCAAATGTGAGAGAATAATGAAAGTAACTCCTATTTCTTTCTGTAATTCAGTAAGGCAGCTATTCCTATCCAATGTTAGAGCCCCTAAAGTTGTGAATAGAAATAAGAGTAACTTCCCAGGTCTGAAGACTGGTGTATAAAATTCCAACTGAGCAGGACTATTGCCTGAAGACAAGGCATGATCCTTTGCTACAGAATTTTCTACCGCACTTAACAAAGATACACTACATGGCTGATGGTCCATAAATTCACTTAAATATAACCTATTTCCTACCCAAATCCTTTTATAAACAGCCAGTCCAAATTCCATCTTAGTCAGTTACTCCTCCATTAACCAGAAAGTATCTATTGAATATCAACTACATACCCATAATTCTGGTACAGAGTATAAAACGGGTACTTATGATACTTGTCCAGTGTCTGTCTTGTCTGCTAGACTTTAAGCTCTATGAGAACGTGGACTCTGTAGGATATTCTAATTAAAACACTCCATAGGTGTAATAATGGACATTGGAGACTACAAAAGGTGGAAGGGAAGGAGGGGGGTGAGAGTTAAAAAATTACCAATTAGGTAGAATGTTCACTGTAAGGTAATGGGTATACTAAAAGCCCAGACTTCACCACTGTGTAATATATGCATGTAAGAAATCTGCACTTGTACCATCTAACTATATAAAAAAAATTTAAACATTTAAATAAAAACAAGAACCTGCCCTATCCCATCCTCTAGAGGTGAGCTCAGCCTTAAATGTTGTTTATCATTCTACTGCTTTTAAATACATGAGGAGAACTCCCCCCCCAGAAAATGAAATTTTTTTTTTTTTTTAGGGTGGGCCCTTGTAGTATAGGCTTCCTCCACTAGGTAAGTGTTCTAGGAACCCATCAACATCAGTGTACCAGCTAGCTTTGTTGTGAGAGGCTGTGTTAGGCTTCAGTGAATTTTTTTTTCTTATGAAGATTCAATGGGTTTGCCCGTTTCAAAATGGGTGATTTATGAGCACACCTGCTCATACACCTCACTGAGTATTCAGCAGTTTTTGACCAAAAATAGCATGACCATTTTGCTCCACCCTTCCTATGTACCTGATTTCACCTTGAGTGACTTTTTTTTTTTGTTTCCCCAGATGAAAAAAGTCCTTAAAGGGAAATATTTTGCCAATGTGGAAGAGGTGAAACAAAAAACAGCAGAAGCACTAAAAGGCATCAGAATTGACGAGTTCAAAACTGTTTTGAGCAATGGAAAGAGCATCTTGATAGGTATATTGCATCAAAGGTGACTGAAGTTTAAACATGTAAGAATAAATATACATTTGTATAAATAAATTCCAGATTTTTCCCCCTCACATATACTTTTATCACAAATACATGTGAAATAATTTTTTCAAAGTATGATGAATGAGAGCAGTTCAATCTTCACCCCCCCCAAAAAAGTACTCCATAGAAAACTGTAAAACTGGGATGTAGAAAATTGAAGGTTGAGAGATGGATCCATTTATTATAGCACCAGAAAGAATAAAATACTCTGAAATAAATTTACAAAGAAGTACCAGAGACTTGTACACTGAAAACCATAAAACATTCTTGAAGCAAATTAAAGACCTAAAAGAAAGACATACCATGTTAATGGTTTGGAAGAGTGTTAAAATGGCAATACTACAAATTGATCCATAGATTCAACACAATGTCTATCAAAGTTCCAGTTTTTACAAAAATTAAAAGCTAATCCTAAAATTTATGGAAATGCAAGAGACCCAGAACATGCAAAATAATCTTAAAAAAAAAAAAGAACAAAGATGGAGGACTCACAACTCCTGGTTTCAAAATTTACTACAAAAAACTACAACAATAAAGAGAGTGAAAACAAAAGAGTGGTACTGACATTAGGTTAAACATATGGATCAGTGGAATAGAATTCAGAGTTCAGAAGTAAACAAATTTATGGCCAAATGATTTTCAACAAGTGTGCCAATAAAGAATAGTCTTTTCAAAAAATGATGCTGGGACAACTAGATAGCTATGTGCAAGGGAATGAAGTTGGACCCTTGTACCATATATAATACAACTAACTCAAAATGGACTACAGACCTAAATGTAAGAGCTAAAACTAAAAAACTCTTAAAACACAGGAGTATTAAACTTTTGTGAGCTTGGATAGAAAATGATTTCCTGCCTGGCTCGGTGGCTCAGCCTGTAATCCCGCGCCTTTGGGAGGCTGAGGTGAGTGGATTGCCTGAGCCCGCGGGTTCGAGACCCACCTGGGCAGCGAGACCTCATCTCTACAATAAATCAAAAAATCAGCCGGGCGTGGTAGCGCATGCCTGTAATTCTGGCTACTCTGAAGGCTGAGGCGGAAGAATCGCCGAAGCCCAGCAGACAAGGCTGCAGTGGCCGGGAGCGGCCACTGCACTCCAGTCTGGGCGACTGAGTGAGACTCCAACTCAAAAAAAAAAAAAAAAAAAAAGAAAATGATTTCCTAGATATAACACCAAAAGTGTAAGCAACAAATGAAAGATAATTTGGACTATATCAAAATTAAAGCCTTTTGTGCTTCAAAGGCTGCCATCAAGAAAATGAAAAACTCAGAGAATTAGAGTAAAAAATTTGCAAATCACATATCTACAAAATGTTAACAAATTACATATTACAACTCTATAAAAAGAAACCCCAGTTTTAAAAATGGGTAAAGGAATTTGACTACACAGTCCTCCAAATAAGATATACAAGTAGCCAATAAGCACGTGAAAAGATGCTCAATATTACTAGTCATTAGGAAAATGCAAATCAAAACCACAATGAAACATTGCCTCACATCACTAGAATGACTAAAATAAAAAAGACAATAACAAATGTTAGCAAAGGTGTGGAGAAACTGGAAGTCTCATTCATTGCCGGTGAGATTCTAAAATGGTGTTAACACTTTAGAAAACAGTTTGGAGCCAGGTGCAGTGGCTCATGCTTGTAATCCCAACACTTTGGGAAGATGAGGCAAGATGATTGCCTGAGTCCAGAAGTTCATGGGCAACATGGAAAGACCTTGTCTCTGCAATAAATCAGATTAATCAGGCTTGGTGGCATGTGCCTATGGTACCAGCTATTTGGAAGGCTGAGGCAAAAGGATTGCCTGAGCCCAGCAGTTCGAGGTTGCAGTAACCATGATTGTGCTACTGCACTCCAGCCTTGGCAACAGAGTGAGACTCCAACTCAAAAATAAAGAGAAAGAAAAAAGAAAACAATTTGGCAGTTCCTCAACATACTAAACATAAGGGTTCTATATGACCCAGCAATTCCACTTCTAAGTATATTCGCAAGATAAATGAAAGTATATATCTACACAAAGACTTGTACACAAATGTTCATAGCATTATTCATAATAGTTGAAAAGTAGAAATAACCCAAATATCCATCAACTGATGGATAAACAAAATATGGTATATCTGTCTATGCAATAGACTCAGTAATAAAAATGAATTAATCACTGGTACATGCTACAGCATGGGTGAATCTTGAAAACGTTATGCTAAGTGAAAGAAACCAGTCACAAAAGACCGCATATTGTATGATTCATTAATATGAAATGTCCAGAATAGACAGATCTCTAGGGGCAGAATTAGTGGTTGCCAGGGGATAGGGATTGGGAGGAATGGGGAAGTGATTGTTAATGGGTATAGGCTTCTCTTAGGGTGATAAAAATGTTTTAAAATTAGATAGTAGTGATGGATGTTCAACTTCATGACTATCCTAAAAACCACTGAAAGATACACTTTAAAAGAATATATTTTGTAAAATGTAAATTCTACTTCAATAAAGTTGTCACTGAAGGAAACCTGAAACACGTAGAGACAGACTAATGAGCCATATACCTGGAAGTGGTGAGCCTATCCTTACTCCAATTATCAGCCCCTCAATAGCTCTTCTGTTTTTCTAAACATCCACAGCACTTACCATCTGCCAGTTAGGTAGCTTTTATTAGCTCTCTTCTAATATTCTGTTATATTTTTGTTGTTTTAAATTTATTTTTGGAGACAAGGTATCCCAATGTTTCCCAGGTTGGGTGCAGTGACTATTCATTCTCAGGTGCAATCATAGTGGCTTTGCAACTTCAAGTGAAACTTCTGCCTCAGCCCCTCAAGTAGCTGGGACTACAGGTGCATATAACCACACCTGACTCTTATAATGTTAACACTGCCCTCTACCTGGAATTCCTACTTGGAATCTGTCTCCATTTTCTTCCTCAGGACCTCATAGAGTACTACTTATAAAGCAGTAGCTCCATGAATACTTATCGAAAAAAATTAAGTGAATGCTAAACAAATAAAATGAGGTGATAGCCTAAACCATTATAAATCATGCTGTGTTCCCCACTATTCAGGAGGGAAAAAAAGTCCAAGATTGATTTTTCTGAAGATCAACCACTTAGGTAGGGTGGTAACACCCGGACTTACTCAAATTCTAAAAGAAAGCTGGTGCTTATCTGCTGGAGCATGAAAACACAAGTCCAAATGCAACTCTTAGCTTTTCTTACCGAAATCAGATCTGCCTTCAGTCTCCCCATCTCAGTAAAGGTAACTTATTCTCCACTTGCTCAAGTCTGAAGCCTGAAAGGCATCTTTATTCCTCCTCTCCCTAGCCCCCACTTCCAAGTTCTAGCCAAGTCCTATTTATTTGACCCTGCCCCAGTATATCTTGGATCAATTATTTTTATCACCACTGTCATCCCAGCCCAAGCAACCACTGCAATAGCCTCCTAACTGGTCCCCGCTTCCACTCTTCATCCCCTTTAATCCATTCTTCATTGAGCAGCTGGATTGGTTGCTAAAAATATTACCAGAATCAGGGGCCAGATAAGCAGCACATGCCCATAATCCCAATACTTTGGGAGGCCAAGGCAATAGGATCACTTGAGACCAGGAGTTCAAGACCAGCCCGGGCAACATAGTAAGACCTCTTATCTACAAAAAATCATTTTTTAAAAATTAGCTGGGCATGGTGGCGTGCACCTGTAGTCCCATACTCACCATAGAAAGCTGAGACAGGAGAATCACTTGAGCCCAGGAGTTTGAAGCTGCAGTGAGCCATGATCATACCACTGCATTCCAGCCTGAGCAACAGAGCAAGAGTCTATCTTGATATATATACACACACTCATACACACATGCAGAATCATGTCATTCCAGCACTTAAAATCCTTCCATGGCTTCCCCTTGTCCTTAGAATAAAATATAAACTCACTTTTCCTAGGCCCAGATGATGAGCATGATTTTCTCCTGCCTAACGCTCCAAACTGTCCTTGCCACATTCCCAGCCTAGGCAACAAAGTGATACCTTGTTCCCCCACAGTTGATCATGCTTCATCACACTAGCTGCCTTTCATGTCATCTCCCTGTTTAAGCTGCCACACAGGACTTTGCATCATCCTTCCTCCTCCTTTCCCCAGTGCTTCAATCTCAACCTAACCACTGCTTTTCCCCAGGTTTCAAATGGCCCTCCCTCCCAACATGAAGCAGGCATCCTCCCTGCTTTTTCCAGCACTTCTCTTAGTGAATCTGTAAATTTATTTTCACTTGTCTTTTCCCCCATATGGTTATCAAGGTTCAGACATGTTTTGTTCATAATGTATACTTAGTGTGTACAGCACTGTAGAGCTATATATATTTACTGAGTAGTTGAAGGTATGATTGAAGAAACAGACAAAAGTAACTACAACACCAAGGGGTCCTGGGTTGAAAGAGAAGACAAAGTTCAACAGCAGAATATGGATAGCTCTGGTATAGGAAGGAAAAAATGGAGCTAGCCCCTGGAAATTAAAAATAACAATAATAACAAATATGAGTTTGCAATATTTGATTTGCACAAAGTAATTTATAGAATACATATATAAGTTACTAAGCATAATAAAAGTAAACACTAATAAACCTGCCCAGCTTAAGACATAAAACACTATGAATTCTGTTAAAGAGGCATCATTTAAAAAGTAAAATGATAAAAGCAATATAAGAGAGGATATTTGCAATACAAAAAAAAAAGAATTTATGATGTGAAAATGTCCTATTAATCAATTTAAAAAATACAAATAACCCAACAGAAAAATACAAAAAAGGGCATACATAGAATTTCCAAATATAAAACTCAATGACCGACCAATAAACATAGGATGAGATGCTTCGCTTCGTCAGTAACCTGAAAACAAACATCCAGTAAATTGGCAAAATTATAATTCAACAAAACTAAATGTTGGCAAGGACACAGTTCTTGGATCCTGACAAGCACAAACAGTGAGGGAAGAGGATCACAGCAAAGAAAACAGGTGGGTACAGTGCATGTGCCTGAAACAGCAGATAGTCCACTGTGGCTGGACCACAGGATTTGGGAAGAAGGGAATGAACCTGGGGGCAAGTATAGTAGAAAAGAGGTTCTAAAAGACAAGATGAGAAATTTCTTCTCATGGGCTGGAGGGAATAGGTGATAGGCAGTTACTGTTTCATGGAGTTGTAGTTTAGGGTGATTAAAACATTTCAGGGAAATGGTGATGGTTGCACAACAATATGAATAGCTTAATGCCACTGAACTGCACACTTAAAATAGTAAGTTTTGTGTTATGTATATTTTACCACAATAAAAAGAAGCAAATTTAGATAGGGAGAGACTTGAATTAGAAAGAAAAGAGAAAGAGAGAGAGAAGACAGAATCAGATCATGGAGGGTAGGCTGCCCTGCAGAGGGGTATAATTGCTTTATTCTGTAGACAACTGGGAGCCATTGGACGATTCTGACAAGGGGAAAGAATCGTAACTGTCTTTAGACACAGGGAAAGGCTTGCTCCTCAAAGATTTTTCTACCAAGCGAAATAGGTTTAAAGAGTTGATCTTCACCTGCACAAGTCTTCTTGTCCTCATTCAAGGTGTAGCCAGGGTAACATTCACAGTGGTAGGATGCTGCCCCATCATTCACACAAACGTGCTGGCAACCATGAGAGCCCAGGGCACACTTGTTACGGACTGACCACAAGCGGTACAGAAAAGAAAACATTCACGTTAGTTAAATAGATAACTAAACACAAACATCCAAAAGAAAAAAGCTTGTCTGCTCCCCATGAGGGCCGAGAATGGACCCTTCAGTTGTCAGCCACAAGCCCCATGTCGCAGGAGAAAGCCTGTTTTCCCTTCCCATTGCTCACATCCCTTCAGCTTCACATCACATACACTCCTTTTGATTTCTTGCAGATATCTGAGGGTGCCTTCTCTTTTTTCTACCCACAGCACTGGGTGGCACTGAGTCTTGATGATATTCCAGAACTTACCTTTGGCCTTTCCTGATGACTATCAGTGCTTCCAACATCTCCAGCTATGCATGGATCATCATCGCCATCATCAAAAATAACTTATTAGTGACCTAATTGCACATGAAGTTAAGTTTAATGCTGCACAGAAAGGACTATATTGGCCAAGGGCTGCCCTTGATAGCTTACAATGTGAAACAGAAAACACTGACCTGGAGACACATGCACACACACACAAGCACAGATAGAGAGAAAAATAATAACAATGTTATTAATAACAATAATGATGATTTGTATGATTAGACAGTGAAGCACTATCTATCACAAGTAGATAACATTTGAGTGAAGAGTAAAGTCCAAACTGGCCCAGGGCAAATGAAAACAGCAATTCTCTTTCAATAAACCCTTCCCGAAAGACAGTTTCTTCCTCTGCCATTACAGGCATTGCAAGCACCAAAGTAGTTTATTTATTCCCCACTAATTCTTCTCTTAAATGTGATTCCATACTCAAAACCCTTCCATAGCTTGCTATTGCCTATAGAACAACTTTGTGTGAAATACAAAGCTCTATGTAATCTATCCAGAAAGACCTTTTCTACTTTAACAGGGAAATTTCTCTTCATCACTACAATGTAGATTTTTTTTTCAGCAAAATGCCTAATAGCAATGTTTCCGTTTTTCCCTTCATCACAGCTTTATGGATAAATACTGAATGTGATTCCAGTCCCTGAACCTGATCTGGGGCTCCATATTTAATTTACAAGCCTTCCTATACCAGTAAAGGGAAAGTAGATCATTAGAGGCAGTCCAACCCATGGTACCCCAGCTTTAGAATACTATTCATTATTCCTTTAAAATATATAAATACTAACTTTCTCACCATCTGTCTTTCTCTTCTGTCCTCCTTTGCTATCCTGTGCCTTGTATAATGAGACAATGTAGCTTAACAGTTAAGAGTCTTTGTAACCACTGGAGCAAGTACATAGGTTGAAAAGCTGGCTCTGCTACTTGCTAACCTAGTAACCATGGGCAAGTCACTTAATTTGTGCTTCAGTTTCCTCCTTTTTGTTTTGTGTTGTTCTGAGTCGGAGTCTCACTCTTTCGCCCAGGCTGGAGTGCAGTGGTATGATCACGGCTACCACAGCCTCAACCTGCTGGGCTCAGGAGAACCTTCCACCTCAGCCTCCCGAGTAGCTAAGACTACAGGCATGTGCCACCATGCCTGGCTAATTTTTTTTATTTTATTTTAGAGACAAGGTCTCACCATATTGCCCAGGCTGGTCTCGAACTCCTGGACTCAGGCGATCCTCTCACCTCTGCCTTCCAAAGTGTTGGGATTACAGCCATAAGCCACCATGCCCAACCAGTTTCTTTCAAGTTACTGTGGAGGATTAAAGGCTTTCCTGTACCTGAAATGCCTAGAACCATGTGTGGCCTGGAGTAGGCAATGAAGAATGTTGGCTACTGTCATCTGGGAGTATTGTCTGGAGTTGTCTGCCTGAACTGAAAGTTTTCTTTGATGTATATTTTTTAAAATAAATCACTTCATTTATTTCCTAAGATCTGTTAGCTTAAATGGAAATTTGTTTTTGTTTTGTTTTCCCAGGTCCCCATTGTTTCTGGCAGCTTTAAGTAAGTACTAATGGTAATACTTGTCACCAGTTTGAGAAAAGCAGCCATGTGAGTCCTCTCCACCCCAGCTGACCTAGTCCTACTGCCCTGAATAAACCAGTGCAAGCCAGTTCCCCACTCTCCATTTCCCTTGATCTAAACTTTCACCATCCTCAAGGCCCAAAACCTTCCTAGGCACCCTGTACTCTATCCCTAGGTTCCTAGCAGTCCCTCCCCTGGCTTAGTTTGCTTTCATAAGGAGTTGGCTCTCTGTTCACCCAAGCTGCAAGTTGCTCAGAGGTAGAAACTTATACTTTTTTATATCCTCACAGTGCTTAGTGCCATTCTGGGAACAAAGTAGGTCCTCAATACTTTTTTTTATTGATCTCATTTTTTTTAAAAGGGAATTGGTGCCAGGCACAGTGGCTCATGCTTGTAATCCCAGCACTTTGGGAGGCCAAAGCAGGAGGTTCACTTGAGTCTAGGAGTTCAAGGTAACATTGTGAGACCTCGTGTCTATAAAAAAAAAAAAAAATCAAAAAATTAGCCAGGCATGGTGGTATACACCTGTAGTCCCAGCTACTTGGGAGGATGAGACAGGAGGATCAGCCTGAGCCCAGCAGGTTGAGGCTGCAGTGAGCCATGAGCATGCCACTACACTCCAGCCTGGGTGACAGAGTGAGACTCCCCAACTCAAAAAATAATAATAACAATTTTAAAAATAAAGAATAAGAGGAATCGGTGATATGAAATTTCCCTTCATCTATTTTGACACAATCCCATAATCTATCTCCTCAAGGGAGGAGAAAATGTATAGAAAATATAAAGCATATTCAGTATGCCAAAGCTACACACCACCTTGAGAGTTCCAAATTTCTCTTAGAAGTGTTTTTCCATTTATAAATGCCACCCTGTCCTGCCAGTGAGCTAAAATCAAATTAATGAGGAATAGCATTTCTGGCATGAGCTCATTGGCCAAGGCATAAGGCTCAGTTTCACTGAAGATTGATCATCTAGAAACTGTCAGGGAATGACTTGCCTAAAACTTACTGGAAGATCTGTATGGGTCTAATTCAGGCATTTACAAAGTCTTCTTTACTGAAATGATCCAGCTTTAAGATTAACACTACAGAAAAGTTTCAAGCCAAGTTTTAACTGGAAAAAAATCAGTTCAGTCTATCATACCAAATAGTTACTGTCCAACTGACTTCCTCTAAAGTTTCCTATTTGCTTAAAAGCCCCCAGTGTACAGAGTTATAAAATTTTCCTGGATTAGGACCCTACATTTAATTAGCTTTTCTCATACCCCCACACCCTAACCATTTCTTTCTGAAGTAATCTATGTTTGCAGAATCCAGTGAGCTCACCACTCTCTGAGCAATGTGTGCCTTTCTCTGTAAGCATAGCAGAATATCTGAACCCTGATTCTTTATGTTGACTTTAAGAACCTGTCTCCTGGCAAATTGCAGTTGGTTTCACTGACATAGAAAGAGCCTAGTATAAAGGAATTTGCTGAGTGAACCTTACCTGAACATGTTTTTTTATCTGCATTCAGAGTGTAGCCCTCATAGCATTCACAGTGATGGGACCCAGTTCTGTCATTCACACAAATGTGCTGACACCCATGGGTACCCAAAGCACATTTATCTTGAGCTGTCAAACAAAAGTACAGGAGAAAAGAAATTTTAAAATGGAAGATTTCTTTACTACTCATAGATAGAAACATTATATGCAGCTAGAAATATGTAAGAGGAAAACTTACTAGAAACTATGCAAAGCCATCAGCACTATTTGTTCTGACTAGAAGTTAACTGAGTTAAATAAAATTCTGCACACACAATAATTATTCTCTAACCTTTCCCAATTCCTTTTCAAAATAATCAATATTGAGTGTTTATAATCTAAGTGTCTCATAAATACTTTCTAAAGCTTAAATGCTTTTAGGTTTATTGTATTTATCCCAACTCAGAGAAATATAAACAGTTGTGTGGTCAGTTACACTAGATTTAGAAAAACATAAAAATAAAGCCTGAAGAAACTGTAGGTCAACGCTCTTCTATTTTATAAAGAAAATGAGCCCAAAGAAGGCCAACTGATTCAGAGCAGCATAAGAACTCAAGAACCAAAGTTTTATTCAATGAACTGTCTTCTGTACTGATATATTTTTTAATTATTTTTTATTTGTAAGTTTTTCATTTTGAAATAATTTCAAACACATTAAAAAGTTGCAAAAACAGTGCAAAGAGATCCTATATTTCACTCTGTTTCCCCAAATGTTAACTTATATAAACACAGTATGGCTATCAAAAGCAGGAAATTAACATTGGTATATGATTTACTAATCTACAGACTTTAATCAAACTTTGCAAGTTGTCCCATTAATGTCTTTTTCTGATCTAGGATCCAATCCAGAATCCCACATTTCATCAAGTTGAAACATCTCCATAGTCTCTTCCAATCTGGGACATGTCCTCGGTTTTTCTTCAACTTTTATTACTTTGACATTTTGAAAAGTACTGAAAAATTATTTTGTGAATGAGAATATCTTTCAGTTTGGCTTTATCCGATTTTTCCTCATGATTCTGAATTTTTAGCAAGAATACCACAGACATGCTGTTGTGTCCTTAGTATGGCATGTCAGGTGATACATGATGTCACTGCATGGCATCACTGATTACGTTAACTTTGATCACTTGGTTAAGGTGGCATCTGCCAGTTTCTCCACTATAAAGTTACTGTCTTTCCTTTCATAAGCAATAAGTGCCTTGTGGGTGTAATGTGGTTTTAACTTATTAAACTGCCTATAGCATTTGGAAAGGACTAGGTACAGAGAAGGAAATGAGCAACACATTTACACATTTGGGCCCAAGATACATGTTACCATTTTTAGCATTTCAGATAAGACTTAGAAATGGGAAAAGCTCAAGGGTGGCCGAGAGGAAAGCACACCAATTGCCAGTCAATGTAACCAAGCCTTCCAACACTGGATAGGTAGGTCAATCACTAGGCAGCAATAGCAGAGACTCCTCCCCTACTTACCTGAACAAGTTTTCCTATCTTCATTCAAGGTGTAACCTTCATAGCACTCACAGTGATAAAAGCCAGTTCTGTCATTCACACAGATGTGCTCACATCCATGAGTGTTAAGAGCACACTTATCAATAGCTATCAAAAGATGATCAGAACAAATGTGAGTACATGCAAAGCATGTCAGAAATAATTAATTATGGGCCATTCTGCTTATACACACACACACACACACACACACACACCACTAATGAAATGGGGGAGGGACAGCTTAGCACAAAAAAAGGGTACTGGACTGGGAGTTGAGAACCAACACTCTGGTCTTGACTCTTTCACTAACAGATCCTGTGACATGGGTTCCTTCCTTGTTTCCATCTCAATCTCGTCTATAATGAGTAGGTTGAATTAAATAATCTCTACATTTTCTTCCTCCCAAAATCTTTTGTCTAGAATTTAAGCAACAAAAACAAACAAGCAAAAAAAAAAAAAAAAAAAGAAGCTAATTCCCATAAATTCCCATACATCATTGACTCTATATAAGTATTCATGCAGCAGATAGGTGAGGACCTCTCTAAATTTTCTTCTACTTCTAGATTTCATGCGTATCTATGATCATAACAAGAAAGAGGGTAAGCTTGTATTTAATTAAATAAAACTCAGGAAGAATTCCAAATCCTCAAAAGGAACAAGAATGTTGGACCCCTGTCTTATTAGCCTTTTCTCCTACTAATCCTTTTCTTTAAAACTAGTAATAGGTACCATAATTTGCTGATTGATATATCATCTCACTTTTCTCCCATGTTCTTTGACAAACAACAGCAAACCAGTAAAAAGGCAGTTAGGTGAAAAAAAGTCAGAGGATCAAAGCATAAGGCCAGTCCAAAACCTGGAGTATAGGTCCCAGAATAACTTTGAGTCAGCCACAGCCCCCGAAGCAGGCCTCACCTGAACACGTTTTCCTGTCGGTATTCAAGGTATATCCTTGGCTACACTCGCAGTGGTGCTTGCCTTCCCCATCGCTGATGCAAACGTGCTGGCACTGGTGTGTGCCAAGCACACACGGGTCCACCGCTGTGCAGAGGAAGTTTACAACAGTCAGGATCAATGCGTAAGAAACATTTCCGATACCCGCCTCGGGGTTCCTACCAATTCTATCTTTACTTCACTATAAAAACTGGCTACTTGTTTTCTGCCTCTAACTTATTAGAAATAACACATTTTCAGACTTCTCTGAGCCACTTTAAAAAAAGGAGAAGAAAGAAATGCCACTCTTAAACTAAAATGTTATTAATTTAAAATTACAGATCTTGCTGTAGACTTTCTCAAAGGAGAAAGGGAATTTGGAGTTGAAGTCAAGCACTTACATGGGTCAGGCAATTTGATGTTTTATTGGGCTGATTTACCTGCCCATGAGAAGATTGTTGCTTCCCCAACACAAGAAATGGGAAGAAAAATAATGCACTGCCTATATGTTATGAGCTAGTTAATTGTCCTATTGCAGCCAGAATCTGGTTTCCAAGGGTTCTAGAGTTTGTATCTAAACAAAATCCTCACACAGGCATGTCTCTAGGCCTGGAACTCACTCACACTTGGGTGGTGATATATATTTGAACATGCAAATGGTAGAGGACAATTCAGGTAACTGCCTTCTAAATATGCAGCATGAGTTCTTAGCCCACATATATGTATGCAACCTTGGAGCCTCTAATATCTATCTACAAGGAGAACAAACTCATACTCTAATACAAACAGGTAGAAAGAAAATAAAAGGAGATTACGTTAGGTAAACTGTATCTCCATTTTTTTGCTTCTGGAGCCATTTATATCTCATTGGATTTTTTTTTTTCTAGTGACATGTTTTGAAAGATGAATCAATGAATTTAGTCATTTCTGAGAAACCAAGGAGTCCGTTGGAGGAGGCTGGCACTCCTGTGGCAGGTAACCTAGCCTCCATTGCCTCTGGCAATAAGACAAAGCTAATATTTTTCTAAGCAGGGCCTTTTCATGGAATGATCTTTCCAACCCCTTGACTACAACAAACTGCCCCTCAGTCTTTTTTTCATAGAGAGAACACCCAGAACAAGCAGGTCTTTTGTACCAGAAGGAAAAGATTGCCACTCACCACTTGTTACTTTATGGCCTTCACACCCCACCCCAGGTGCTAGCTTTGAGATCTAACTTTGCCACACACCAGCATCTTGTTGAAAAAGCTCTCACCCACAAGCATGGGAGTTTTCCTGGGAGAAAGAAAGCCACTTTCTTTTGGAAACCAATGAATGAATGCCAAGTAGATGCCACCAAAGCCAATGACGACTTGTGAAGGCCCAGTGTACTGGGACAGGAAAGACAAGGGGACCCTAGCCAGGTCTGGCTGAGATGAGGCCAAACTTTGCCCATAACAAGACTTCATCTCCCTTTTCCTGACAAACTGGTGATTGCTGGGTTTTACACTAATTTAGATATAAAGTCTCCTTGAAATTTAGAATAGTAATTATTGGCTCACTAGTTTGTCTCATCTCCCCCCCACCCAAAATGTTACTTGATGGTAGGGAGGGACTACTTCCTTCTTTGTATCATCAGTGATCAATAAATGCATGCTGAATAAATAAATATGGAACAAATTATATTTGTTCACCTGAACTAGAAATTTGTCCATACCTGCTTAGATAATTCCATATAAGACTTCAAAAAATTATCTCCAAGTGAGAAAAAAAAATAAAGCATGAGTCCTACAAATCATAATTCTGATCAGTGACTAAAAATAAACTCAATAAACTACAGCACTGTATGGATTTGTATTCATGGATTTGGCTAATTCATGCTAAAAATCCCAATGAAATTAGCATGTTCATGTTCAAACGCCATCCTAAAGGAAGAAAGAGATAGCAGGAAAGTAACAGAATAATTTTTTTTAACTGCTTTTCGCTATCTGTCAAGTAACTGACACACTACTCTTCCTCATCCCCAATCCTGTTCTTCAACAAAGAATAATCAGAGAAAGAGCCGAATCTGAAAACTAGAGTGTTCACTAAATGCACACTTGGCCTGACAGTGACACTGGAATATAGACCTCCTGATCCTCCCAAGGACTGATGCCACTCCCTGTCTTCTGCAGAACAAGCGAGGTTCTGTTAAATCTAGAGACGGTAAAATGAAAGAAAAAAAAAAATCTGGGGAAAAAGTGTAGTGGTAGGGCAAAGAGGACAAGAGAGGCATCTTGATTTTTGTTTTGTTTTGTTTCTAACCCCATCAGGGAACAGCAGGATCATTTATCCTGGATATTTGCAGACCTTCCCATTTCTAATGCAAACATGAAGATTTTATGAGCAAACCAAGTTATATATAATGTAGCTCTATATTCCTAAACCAACATAGTGTGCTTAAGTTGGTTAAAAAAAAAAAAAAAAAGCCAACACACACACACACCAAAAAAAACATCGACTATATTTAAGTTTTCCATAAAATTTCTACAAAAAAGAAAGAATAAATCTCTTGAGTGAGACTCCAACTCAGAATAAATAAATAAATAAATCTCTTTTGGGGGGAAATATAATGTCTGACTATAACATCCTTCCTAGTTGGAAGCAAAGACTTACCAACTTACCACAAAAGGTTTCCTGGAATCTAGAAGAAAGTTTCTCAATGACCCCATAGGTCTCCACATAGAAAACATGCTCATCTAGGGGTTCACTGGCGATCATCCTGAGGGACTCCATGTCTGCCCGGTCTACACCCACAGCATAGAGCTCAATGCCAGATGCTCGGGCCTGAGCTGCCACCTCATTCACCTGGTCCTGAGGCCTCCCGTCTGTCACAATAATGGCCACCTTCGGGATGTTGGAGGTGGGCCCTCGAGCTCCTGCCTCTACTGTGAAGGCTTCATCCATTGCTGTCTGAATGGCCAGCCCTGACATTGTGCCTGTTGACAAGGGTGTGATTCGAGCCACGGCCTGCTTCAAGGACTGCTTATCTGAGTAAGCCTGGAGATGGAACTCTATCTTCACGGTGCTAGCATAGTTAACCACTGCCACCCGTGTGTCAGTTGACCCGATGTCCAGGGTGTCGATTATCTGGGACACAAATGTTTTCACTTTGGTGAATTCCAGGGGCCGTACACTACGAGAACTATCGATGATAAACACCAAGTCCAAGGGTCTGCTCTTGCAAATGCCTGCAAAGAAAAGTGTCGGGAGCAGAAAAGACCAAGCAATGATTAAATCACAACCAAAAATGTGACAATCCTGAATTTCAGAGAACTGTGGGATTCTAGGAGGCCAGGCGAGGCAGCATTACCTGACCCCAATACCGCCATGGCCTACAATCTTCTCCAAGACTATCCTTCCTCTGGATGTTGAAAGCACCAAGACCTTCAGAATCCCTAGTGAGAATTCACATAAATATGTGACAGTTCCCCCAAATACCTCATCTATAGGCTGACTGAACCCTGAAATTTCACTTAGAACCTTATTCCTCTGCTTAAGGTTCTGCTCCCAAAGTTCCTCATGATTCCTAGGAATGAATGGATTCCAGACCCTTTTTTAAAAAAACTTTTTATTTTAAGAATTGGGGTCTCACTCTGTCACACAGGCTGGAAGGCAGCAGTGTGTGCGATCATAGCTCATTGCAGCCTTAAAGTGGGCTCAAGTGATCCTCCCACCTCAGCCTCCAGAGTAGCTGGGACTACAGGTACCTTGGCTATGAGGCAACAGGACAAAGTATCCCTGAATGGTATTAAAGCCCTAGACCTTCAGGGCCAGCCTCACTGCACACTTCCTTGCCCAGGTCTCAAGCAATGCCAGAGTTTGAGGCAAGGCACTCTGGGGTCCTTCTAGTGCTTCCTTCTTTTACTCCACTTCCAAGGGATGAACACTGCCCTGTAGTAACCCTAAATCCTCCCTCCATTTGGTTATTCATTCCTGTTTAGTGAACTTTGGGGTCCAACTAGAACCCCCGGGGACAGGTAAAGTAATTGAAAGTAGAAAGAAGGATGATGACACAATCTGCTATCTGTTTAATGCACTTCCATCTTTATGAGTATGTCTTGTTGTAAGCAGCAGACTGTGACCTGCTATCTGCCCTGCTGTCCCATCAAACTCTCTTGGTCATCTCTCTTTCACTTCCTTTTGGTAGGCCTGCATGTATGAAGCCCTGGAGCTACAAAAGCAAATGGGCTTTTGTGCCCTTAAGGCACATATTTGTTTTCTACACAAAAGCACCTGACACACTAGAGTAACACAATACATCTTAGTTTCCATCCATTCTTTCCTGTTCCTCCCAATAATTTGCACATCTCATCTTCTCACCACCAAAATTAAACCTACATGTCAGTACTAAATAAGAAAGAAGCCAGGTATTAAGCTTTTTTCCCCAAGCCATTCCCTCTTCTCACCCAACACACAAACACGCACACATAATTACACACATGATTACATGCACACACACATGCACACATGATTCTCTATGTGGAAATGAGATCCTTGGGCATGAAGTGTCACTCAGGGCTCTTCACGTTCCTAATGAGGGGCTAGAAGTTGATGCTACTCTGAGAAGGCAACTGACTCAGTGAATAGAGAAATTAGGAAGATTCAAAAGGAACTCCTAGGTTTATGGAAAAAGCCTAGTCTGGAGCAGGATTATGCCTCTGAATAGTTTTCTTTCAAAAGCTGAAAATTATCTTCTTGGTCTTAGCCCCCTGCTTGGAAGTATTCAGTTAAGAAAATAAACAGGCTGGGTGTGGTGGCTCATGCCTATAATCCCAGCACTTTGGGAAACCAAGGCAGGAGGATTGCTTGAGCCCAGGAGTTCAAGACCAGCTTGGAAAACATAGTGAGAACCCCCATATCTAAAAAAAAAAAAGAAGAAGAAAGAAAATAAATAATATCTTACTTTCAGAGATCACAGGGTATCAACACTAACACTGTGAAATCAACAGTGCAGAGGTTGTTTTTATACCCATTTTACAGGTAAGAAATCTGAGGTTCAAGAAGGTGTGAGAACTAGAAAGTACTAGAGCATGGATTGGACCCCAAATTTCCTGACCCCCAGACCCAGGGGCTTTCTACCATACCCCAAATACCTTTCTCTGAGGCAACATTTTCCACCACAAAAATCAAGATTATCTCATGTACTCAATAAACATCCTGCTTGTTAACTTTGAGCCACCATCCTGAAATATGCTGTATGTCATGTATTTAGTTAAGTCAAAAGGAATTAAAAATCTTTCTTTTTCAAAACAACTCCAAAATTGCACTGCATCTCTTGAGAGTTCCATGGATATGGTGCCAAGAATGAGTGAGGTGTTGAAATCTCTCCAGGAGATGAGTCTGGAGATTTTTGCATAAGTGGAGTAAAAGGGAAAAAACATGATAATGTGAACCCTGTAACTAACAATGCTTTCACAAACACACAGATGGCAGCCTTATAAATATCGTGGTTATGTTCTTATAACTAAATGTGAAGGATTCCTTCTTCTCCACTTGGTTTTCCCCGCCGAATTCTCTATTTGGGAGGTTATACGGGAAATGGTAGGCAGAATAATGCAACTCCCCCTCTCCCAAGGTGCCCATGTACCAATCCCAGCAACATGTTAATTTACATGGCAAAGGAGACTGAGCGCATATGATTAAGTTACAGCCCTTGGGATAAAGAGGTAGTCCTCAGTTATTCTATGGGCCTAACGTGATTACAACCGGCCTCTAAAAGCAGGAGAGAAAGAGACAGAAGGAGGAGGTGTGAGGAATTCAGTGTGAGAAGGACTCAGCCTGCTGTGGCTGGCTCTGAAGATAGAGGCAAAGGGCCATGAGCCAAGGAATGCCGCAGCCTCCACATGAAATGGCAAGGAAACAGATTCTCCCCGAAAGGACCATAGCCCTGTGGACTTTATTTTTGCCCAGCAAGACCAGTGTCAGACGTCTGACCTATAGTACTCCACAATTATAAATGTGTGTTGTTTTAAGGCACTAAATTCATGGTAATTTGTTACAGCAGTCATCGAAAACTGAGGCTTGACCGGGAGGCAGGAAATTCTGTGAACTGGTTCCTTTCTGATTTGTACAAACCTTTGGCAATGATCACTCATTGTTTTTGGATCTCACTCTCATTCTCTATCCATAGTAGCAATTTGATTCTCAAGAACAAAGAAAGTGAGAATCTGAAATCACCGATTTCTTACAGCCATGCTAGAAGTAAAAGCCCACAGAGATCGGGTTCAGTGGCTCACACCTGTAATCCTAGCACTTTGGGAGGTCAAGGCAAGAGGATTGCTTGAGCCCAGAAGTTCAAGACCAGACTAGGCAGCATAGTGAAACTTTGCCTCTACAAAAAAAAATTTTTTTTTAATTAGCTAGACATGGTGGCATGCACTCATAGTTGCAGCTACTTGGGAGGCTGAGAGAGAATGATTGCCCAAGCCCAGAAGGTCAAGGCTGTAGTGGGCCATGATTGTGCCACTGCACTCCAGCCTGGGAAACAGAGTGAAACTCCAACGCAAAAAGAAAGAAAGAGAGCCCACAGAAAAGCTTAGTAATTTCTGCTTGCTAAAAGGAGAGAATGCAGGAAAGTGTGGAATGTGGCATTTATTAAGAGTTTATCATTCACAATCATGTGTGGATTCCAGGTAATAAAGGACCAGCGCAGCTTAGGGGGAACAGGCCAATCAAGGCAGAATTCTTCCTCCCTCCTCTAGGCCCTTTTCCAAGGGAGGTGGGTCAGAACTAGAGGTAAGGTTAACTTCTAGAAGACTTTCCCCCATTCCTGTCCTGGAGCAACCAGCTGGCCACCAGCTGAATCCAACCCTTGTGGACACGGGCTCCTCCTGCCTCAGTGGCAGTGCTTTCACCATTTCAAATACTCAGGCGGATGCAGGAAAGAGTCCCTTGAGCTCTTCAACATATACAAAAAGGTGCAGAAGGAAAGAAGCAACACAAATCCACCTGAAGCATGCAGCATCACTCACTGGCCAGGTGACCCTGGACACCTAGAAAATGGTTTGGTACAGCCTCTCTTAAGCAAGAATGAAGCTGGACTTCTTGGCAATGAAGATAAAAATCTCATGTAAACCATATTAAGAGCTTGGTAGGTTGGAGAAGTGAAAAGAGCCCTTGCTTAGGATTTTAGAACCCTGAGTTTTTTGCTGGACTCCAACACTGATTTGCTGGATCCCTTCACTTTGATAAGTCTCAGTTTCCCTGAGCATGCTGTCCAGGGTTGTGTCAGATGATCTGTCAGCTTTGCTCCACTTCAGGGATCAATTACTGACTAAAAAGGGAAATAGAATTGTTCGCCAAAGATCCAGTGTCTTGGGTCTTTGAGGTTCTAAGGGTGCATCGGTTGGGATGTGGGGCCAGTCAGCTCATCAGTACACCTGGTTGGGGCAGAAGAACAGACATGAGACCAGGATGGTTACAGGACAGGCCTGGGGCAACCCGAGGCTCCTCGGGCTTCCTTCCTGGCCTCACATCACCTCCCCTGACCTTCCAGTCTGAAGTCTGGGGCACATCCTTGCCTCCACTGAGGCAGCTTGAAAGATGTGGGAAGGAGAGGAAAGATCACGCTCTGGTCCTGGAGCGAGATGGAGGGATTTTAAAAGAACTGAAAGCAGGATCTCAGGAAGGGTTTGTTCAGCTGACTGAGAGATCAGGATTGGGACAGAGCTGGGCAGTAAGCCCCAGCCTTCCCGGCTGCCCTATCCTCGCTGGAGTTTGAGCTTCAGGAGATCCCGAGTTCTAGCCTGGATGTATGAGTGACCTTGGGCCTCTCCCTTACCTTCTCTGGGCCTCAGTTTCCCCACAGGACTCTTCGGAAAGGGGACTTTCTCCCGCACCAGGGTCTGCCTGAGGTCGGGATGCAGTAGACAACCGGAGGGTGCCCGACTCCCCGCCCGCCGGTCTCCCCTCCCCGCCCGATTGTACCTGCGCCGCGGGCGCCGCCGGACTCGCCAGCTCCGGAGTAGGGCGCGCGGGTGGGAGCCGCGGGCACGGGGCGGCGTCTGGGCTGCCCCCGGGGCCGCGGGTCCCCAACCTCCGCAAGCCCGGGTGGACTTATGTTGCGGGAGAGTTTTATCATTTTCGATTGAATTGTGTAATCATCCTAACTAAGATAACCCTATAGGCAATACTGAAACATATACATTTATATTTTTAACCTTAGATTTTTTATTCAGCTTAGTTATCAAATAGCTCAATATTTTATTTTGGTATTTACTCCTGAGAAAGTTTCCTAATGTGACTTTCAACACATAATATTAACCAAAAAGAACCACCTTAAAATATCTTAAGTTACCTTATACTTTTTAATTGTTTTACATCACATTTTAATATTCCATTTTGCACAAGA